GAGACCTTGCCTAACTTTCTCGCGCTTCAGCCAGTTCGGCTCACTTCGACTAAGACTACCCTTTCCATAGAAGCCTTGCTCCCAAAGGGCTCTAGTAGAGACTTCATCCGTGATATGGACCGAAGACGTAGCAGGAGACCACACTCCAAGATGCACAGCAGCCGGTTCCGCCGGGGGCGGGGACCAGAGCTGGCCTAACCAAGCGTATGCGACATGGAAGAAGGATACGGGGTTGTTTGGATAAAAGGTCGGAAGAGGAAATGTTCGGATCGGCGCTGGAAGGGCGTAGATCTGATGCAGTGAAGGTCCTCGCTTCTGGGATTGCTGGGGTGCAGCAGGATCCGAGGTGGGCGGGGTACCGACAGGCTCTTTGGTTGATGATTGAATCTCAGCCATTTCTCGCCGGTGTCATCTTGGTCTGTGGAACTGTCAGCGCGAGTCTCGGATTGTGATGAACGAGTCAAGCAAATTGATGACAGCGTGTTGCTCAGATACCGTTGTAGTCTATAAATCAAGGCGTTCACAGAGGCCAAATGAATGGATCCTCTTAGCACAATGAAAGGTGTCATCACCGCAACAGGGCACCCAAGGCTTGGAGATGCTTGGGTAGGAGAAGACGAGGAAAACTCGCCGGGTACAAGAGTCAAACAAAAGAGAATGCTTACCTGTCTAGGACATCGCCCTGGCGGGACACTGGCTGAGGATCAAACCTCGTGGCCATTCACAGCGGCGCACTGTTCAACCTCTAGAGGGAACAATGGCGATCGCTTTGAGTGTGAAGCCGGGGCGTCGAAGCAAAGAGTGCTTCGATGTGTTTGTGGTTGTTGAGAAAGATGATGATGGGAGAAATTTAATTTCGGGCGGCTGAAAACTCGAGGTTTTCTTGAATTGGAGCTCCCCACTTTGATGCCTCGTGCGCAAGGCGTCAGGTTACGGAGCGGGCTACTAGGAAATGCCCGAGGAGTGCCGAAGGAAAAATTCACTCCGGCAGAGGGGATCCCAATCGCTTGAGAGGATGAATTGCAGAGATGGTCAGCATAGAATGTCTTTCGTAGATTTGTTGCATTTTTATTCTCGTTTTTCTCCTTACGTAGTAGGCAGCAATGGCAATCATTCTCCTTCACTGGCACTCAGATTTGGATAAATTCACAATGGATCGGTATAAAATATGAATACAAGTTATGGAAGCTTATACCTTGCATAATAGTAGAGCGCAATTTCCCGCCCCGAGTGGACGCTACAGTCATCACCTTGCCAGCCACAGAAGCATCTGCCATGTCAAATGCACAAGTCGACAGCAAAAGGGTTTAGAAATCACAAGACACCATGGCTCTGCGCCATCCTAAATGCTCCTACTAGATAAGTAGGTATTAAAATATTATAAGATGGAGGCTTATTACTTAGTCTTTCAATTTTTATTATTTCCTTGGATTATCATGCTTCCATAGCTGCTATTAAGCAAGGATAAGCAACTGTCTCTGCCACGCGGGTGAGAGAGGGCCGGTCCTCCCACATAATTTCTATGGGGCGATCATCACCCGCGTCCCGCGCAGCATGTACCGCTCTCCCTCGACAACTTGCTCTCGACAACCCTCAACACCCATGAGCTTGGTACCTGGTCAAATCAAGTCATGGATTCCTGGAGAGACTACTTCGCGCTCGGCTGGCTCATCTTAGCCGGCGTCGTCATTCTAATAATCTGCATAGGTTTGCGCTCAATGTAAGCCGCCATTCGCTGCCGACCTACCCTTAGCTCTAGCTGACACGCAGCAGCTCCAGAAACTTCAACCACCCCCCAGGTCCTCCAGTCTCTCCTGGCCTCGGTCAAAACGCGCCGCATGTCACGATAATTCGACCTGTCAAGGGCATCGAACCCAGACTCTACGATTGCATCGCCGCCTCGTTCCGCCAGGCATACCCCCAAGACAAGATCTCGATCCGCCTTTGCCTCGAAGATGACAGCGACCCGGCGTATCCGATCCTCCAAAAGGTCATCGATGACTTTCCCACGTTCGACGCCCGTATACTGCTCGAGAGGGATGATTCTGTGCTGGGCGAGACCATCAACATGGGCCCCAATCCCAAGATCCGTAATCTGAGCCGAGCGTACCGAGAGGCCAAGGGTGATATTATCTGGATCGCTGACTGCAACGTCTGGATGGGCAAGGATGTCCTAGGACGCATGGTGGACAAGCTCATGGGCTATAAGTTGGGCGGCGGCTCGAAACCATACAAGTTTGTCCACCAGCTACCCATCGTTGTTGATCTGGTCGACTACTCGAGGCCTCTTGCAGCGGATGGTCAAGCACTGTTAGCCTCTTCATCTGAGGAGGGCTTTGCTTCGGACCCCATTGTCGATGAGGACTCGGGAGAGACGCCAACAGTCTTGTCCCAGGGCGGAGGCCGTCTTGACGAGATGTTCATGGCCACGTCGCACTCCAAGTTCTACAGCGCTATCAACACTGTCGGCGTTGCACCTTGCGCTGTTGGGAAGAGCAACATGTTTCGCAAATCTCAGCTGGACCATGCTACTGATCCCATTCTGAACCCCAGCCTACCTCAAGACCAGAACCTGCCAACCGGCGTCGACTTTTTCTCTCACAACATTTGTGAAGACCACATGATCGGTGACCTGTTATGGAACACCCACTTTCCTGGCTTCAGAAAACATGGACTTGTCTGGGGCGACCTTGCTGTGCAGCCCATGTCGGGAATGTCTGTTGCCGCGTACGCTGCAAGGCGGTGTCGGTGGCTGAGGGCTCGAAAGTATACTGTACTTTCAGCAACCCTACTCGAGCCGTTTACAGAGTCTTTTCTCTTTTCCACGTATCTCTCATATGGAATTACCACATTGACCTATTTCAACGAAGCATGGGGCATTCCTCAGACTTGGAAAGCAATGGCAATCACTTGGCTTCTCTCGATCACGATCTGGATGATTGTGGACTGGTTCAACTTTAGCTGCTTGCACTCTGGTAACACCATCGAGACAGACGAACATACACCCTGCTTCGCCAAGGGCTTTGCCTCTTCAGAAGGTCTCCCAAGCAGACGATTCTCAGAGTTTGTGCCAGCATGGATTGGACGAGAAGCCCTGGCGTTTCCCATTTGGGCATGGGCCGTTCTATGCGGGAACACGGTGAATTGGCGAGGCAAGGAATTTTACATTCGCTTTGATACGACAGTGTATGCAGTCGAGTCTGAGGAACGCACTAGGGATGTCAGGACACCAGAATTGGAGAGGGGAACGTCACGAAACAAGCATCGGGTTGATTAGACGAGACGATGAGAACATGAATGCTATTGGCATGAGTTTAAAAGAGAAGGAATCAGCGAATAATGAGTTATAAAACGGCATGATCATGGACATGATAGATACAACAGCGGATAAGAAAAGAATAGAAGCTTGACCTTTAATGTAGCTACCAAACATGGTTCCAGAGTTGTGCCTGAGCATGTCGATGGATAGGGGCGTAATGGTGTGTCACAGCATCTGCAGGCAGCAGATCTCCCCAAGCAATTGGCCAGAGCAGAGTCAACCAATCTCAAAATGGTTTGGTCCTGTCACCAGGACTTCTAGTTCTCTGCTTTCCCATTTTTCATAGCCTTGTCAATGATATGATTGCTCTGCAGGCTTCCGAGATGTCAACCTTTGAGGACTCGTTGAGCGGCTCATGTCATTTAGACTCTCAACAACCGATCTCTTGGCTCTTTGAACATTGGCGTTTAGCCATGGAAGTATTTAGCCTCGACTACTAATTAAAAGATTCCATCCGCGTTGACCGGAAAGATCAAGCCCACAACTTGCCAGAAAAAAAGCCCAGGACCACCATACCTTTCATATCACCCCTTTGATATTCTACTAGATCTAAACGAATATTAGACACTCTTCAATAAGGCGTCCTGGCACTCGAGTTTTCATATGTTTTCAAAGTATCATGTTTCCCTCTACCTGTAACTCCTTGTCGTTTTCAATGCTTGAGATGCAAGCACCTCCGAGTTCCCGCCTACAAACATTCCCCGGCATCCTTTTTTTTTATCCCAAATGGCCTTGCCTTTTCCCTTGATATTCTATCATCCTTTACCTCTTCGGTCTTCTTCTCACAAACCATTTCCAAAACCGACGGTGGTCGTTCAGCTCTAAGACATCTCGACGTCCTTGTCCTTGCTCTCCACAGCCTCTTCCTTGGAACTCTCGCCCTTAGTGCTCTCCTCTTTCAAACCCTCCTCCTTATTCTCCTCCTCCATAGAACGAATCGAGGCCAAAAAGTAATCAGAAACTACCTCCTTCTTGTTAAAGAGGGCAAGATCGAGGGGAACGTAGTCCCGCTCGTTTGCCAGCGCCGGGGATGCACCCTGCTCCATAAGCAGCTTGACTGTGTCAAGATGTCCGCCCAGGGCTGCCCAATGTAGACCCGTGTTTCCGTGCTCGTTTGCCTCGTCCAGGAAGGCTTGCTTCTGCTCCTTTGGCCGGTTGTCAAAGTACTGGATGAGTTGTCTGACGATTTCTAAAGTATTATAAGTTAGAAATGACCCAAACTCGTGCAATACTCATTCGAATTAACCAAAATTCAAAGAAAAACCAAACCCTGCATACCTAAATGTCCATTTCCCGCTGCCATATGCAGAGGAGTAGCCTTGGCTTCATCTTGAGCAGCAGCCACAATCTCGGCGGGGTCAACCTTCTCCCGCTCAGCCAGAGACTTGATGGTCTCGGTCAGGTCCTGCTGCTCTCCGGCTCGAGCAAAGTAGATGAGATCATCAATCTCTTCTTCTGTGAGTTTGGGCGCCATCTTGAAGGGGGTTGTGCTTGGTGATGTTTTCATGGATCGCCTTGAAATTTTGCGACGAGGTGAGGGGACTGTGTGCGCATTTGCCCCGCAATTTCTGCACTGTGCGGGGCGGTTCTGGTTCAGGGTAGGTAGACAACTAGGAAACAGAGCATTTCGCCGGAACATTCCTAGCAAAATGGGGTCGACTATACTACCCCAACCCAGCCTCTACCAATGTCTAGCAGAGCCTCCACCCTTGATCAGACCTCCAGTAATCGCATGTAAACCCTTCCGAATAACCTCATTCCCGGGTGATTTCCCTTTGGCGTCCTTCTTAGCCATCTCCCTCTCCCTTTCAAACTCCCTCCAAGGCCTACACCCATGACAAAACCGATGCTTGCACTCTGTATAATCCCATCGCCACGGCGTCGTGTCCTGCCTGCAGATGTGTCCCTCGTTGGGTCCCTTGTCACACCTGCAGCACGCCCACCCCTTGACCATGCACTCGAGGTACTTGCATCCAACCTCGCGGCACGACCCTCGCGTGTAGACGACGGTAAAGTCAACGGAGCCGCACGCGCTCTCGGAGCTGTCGGCCATGTCGTCGCCTGTCGAGCAGTTGATGTAGCGTCGCTTGCGCTCGTGGCCGCAGGCGAAACGTCGGTATTCGCAGGTGCACATTGTATACCATCTCGGTGTGTTGCTTTCTCGGGTTCGGTAGTGTTGGTGTTTTGTCAAAAGATGACTTGGGTAGGATTTCCGTGCCAGAGTCACAAACTCGTAATTTATCTCTTTTGTGTTTGCTATTCAGTCACACAGATTGCTTACAAGCTGGCCAAACATGCTCTCTATCTTGTTCCTTGGTTTAATCCCCCCGTTGTTCTCTGTTCGTCACAGTGTCCGTCTTTGCATCACGCTCCATGTACGCTTCCACAGTTGTTCCCTGCGGCCACTCAAACACCTCTTCACCCAAAGTCTTGAACCCAAACCTCTCATAAATCGGCTTCCCCTTAGGAGTCGCCTCGAGGAAGCACGGGAGCTTGTCTGCGTCTGCCCGCTCAAGACCCCAACGCATCAGCAAACTCGCTGCTCCCTTGCCCATCCAGTCCTTGTGCGTCCCGATGCACTCAAGATACCAGTGTGGCCTATCGCCCATATATTTACGGTGCCCTTTTGTCATGGCTCCAAAGAAGTCGACGGCGAGTTCTCCGTGGCTTGGCCAAGCTTCTACAGGTGGCGGATCATCGATAGAAGCTCCGGGGAGACACCATTTTGCAAAAGCGATAATTTCCTCGGCCGAATCAGGTGTGTTTTTATTGGTGACGACAAGTAGTTGACAGGAAGAATCCACAAGCTCGTCCTTAAATGAGGCGTCCCAGAAGCGATCTGAAGCTTCAATATTCTTCATGAAGACGTGGCCTCCGATAATGGTATCTCCAAAGGCCGAGTAGTAGACGCCGCGCATAGCGTGGATGTCATCCAATTGGGCTTCGCGTAGCTGAAGCGGCATTTTCGTAACCGAAGAGCTCAATAGAGGTACAAGTTTCGAGATATGTTTCGACTTTGACTTGATACGAGGTCTTTATAAAGTCGGAAATGGCAACATCGCGCTATTTTGCCGGGCTCCCCACACATGCCGTTCTCCAGGGTCCACGGCGAAGGAGTCATAGAGGCAGCTACCCCGGAGCAACTGCAGACAACCTCTCTACCCGCTGCTTTTGATAAGAAAACTACCTGCCATTTTCAGGATTGAATGCTTCCTTTGATTCTCGCGATGCTTCGTTTGGTGTTGAAACGTCATGGCTGTTCTCGGCTTTAACTGGGCACCATCGGAGTTCATTTGCCCCGCGCGCCCTTCGCATTGGACACATTGACAGCAACACTATAACTCTAACTCAACAGGATGGATCTTTGCATATAAATGCAGTCTTCCTCTTAGTTACAAGCCTTCCTCAACCCAATTAGAGTAATCCATTCCCAGATTTCATCATGACCAACGACTTTGCCAAACAGCTCAAGGCTCTCCACAAGCCCTCCACCCCCATCGTCTTCCCCAACGTCTGGGATGTAGCCTCTTTCAACACAGTCGTCTCGCTAAACGACGATGCATCAAAGCCAGTCAAGGCACTTGCCACCGCATCCTGGGCCATTGCTGCCTCGCTAGGCATCAAGGACGAGGAGCTCACCCTGGAACAGAACTTTGACGCCGTCGCCAAGATCGCTTCGCTCTGCAAGGCTGCCGGCATTCCGCTGTCAGCTGATCTGCAGGATGGGTATGGGGAACAGATTGCTGAGACGGTAAAGAGAGCTGTTGAGATTGGAGTTGTAGGCGCCAATATTGAGGATACCATCCCTGCCACGGGTGCCTTTTATCCCATTGATGAGCAAGTCCAACGCCTCAAGACAGCCCTCCAATCTGCCGCAGATGCAGGATGTCCAGACTTTGTCGTCAATGCTCGCTGCGACATGTTCCACTTCGACACAGGCCTGGATGAGGCTGACACGATAAAAGAGGCCATCACCCGCGGCAAGGCGTACCTGGACGCGGGGGCTACAACGGTGTTTTACTGGGGTGGTTCAGGGAGGGGACTGCGGACGGCATGGGTGGAGACGCTGGTGAAGGAGCTGGATGGGCGGGTCGCGGTCAAGCTTGCGCACGGAACGGAAGATGCGTTGTCTACGGCTGAGTTGGCGAGGATTGGAGTTGCTAGGATCAGTGTTGGACCAAGTCTTTTTCTGGTTGCGCAGGCTGCCGTTAAGAAGGCGGCTGTCAGCATACTCTCTGGCGGGAACCTGTAAGCACACTTGTTCACCGAGACATAGACTACTGTTGGCATCTTTTGATGGGTTATCAAGACTTAACGTTGATGGAATCTATGTTAACCGTGAATATTCACTCCGGCAATTCTCCATACGCATCCTGTCCCATCTCTTGAAGCCGTTAGAATAGCCTCTGATAGTGAGGGAGCCAAGTGAGTGTGGCTCAGTGCAGTGCTCAGTGCAGGGGAGCTTGCTAGCTCGTTGCCCAATCAAGTTTAGCGCCGGCAATGCCCAAGCCAAAGAGCACCTCCCCGATGACTCCTCCTCGCCTTCAGCCAGCGTTCAAACCATTCACGAATTCTCTAAAATCTTAGGCCCCCAATCCCTCCAAACCGACCAAGCCAATCGGACTTCAGATCGAATCTTGTCCCCTATGGAGAGCTTTGATGCCTATCCACGGGGGTTGCCTAAGCCCTGTTTGCCCCTCTGCCTGGGCTGTGAGATGCAGGGGTCCAGTTCCGCCTCAGACGGCAGATTCGTTACGGGTACGGGTCTTTGCTGATGGTAGGCGAGCTAGATGCGGATGAGTAACATGCCGTGAGGCGAGATGGACTGCTGCAGCCTGCTGGCAAAGTGTATCAACTTGTTGTTTTGAAGTTTATAAAGGACCTCAACAGAGTCAAAGGAAAATACTCCTCATCTTCATTCAACTCAACAAACCTTGACTGTGGTCACTTACAAAACCACAACAAAGCAGCCCCTCCCTTTAGTGACATTTAGGGAACTCACATTCTTTGGCACATCATGTCAGACACCATGGAGTCAACAAAGAGCGGCGACGACTCGTCAGTGGTCATCGTGACCCCGGCTGAGACTGAGCCTGAAGTCAAGGAGGAGAAGACAGAGACAAAGACAGAGTCCACAGAGTCCACAGAGGGTAAGCCAGATCATTCGACATCTCAAGCAACATCATGGGTTAACAACAGCGAAGAAAAGTCAGAGGAGAAGAAGGACGAGGACAAGAAGGAGGGAGATGAGGAGAAGAAGGAGGAAGAGAAGGAAAAGGTTATGGTCGGTCTTTTGGCTGATACCAAGGATCTCTACGCCAAGTACGACGAGCACGGTGATCGATCATGGACAGACAAGTATCCCACAGATCTTGAGGAGGCGGCTGAGAATGAGGAGACTCAGAAGTACGCCGTCATTATCCGCAAGAGTAAGTCTACCTCCTCCCAAATATTTTTGAACCTGCTAACTTCCACAAAGAGAAGCCCAAGGAGGCCGACTCCAACAAGCCCCTCATCATCGACAGTCTCGTCGTCCAGTCTCCCTACCTCAAGCGCGTCCTCGGCAAGGTCTTTGATGGGTACCCTGGTGTCTTTTGCGGTGTATCCCGACTCAAGTTCCATGCCCCTTTCGAGTGCTTCGTTCACCGCTGGGACAAGTTCTCCGCAGCCAAGGATGACACCACCTATGATGAGGCCACTCGAGAGCATGTCACTCTGCTGTACAACATCATGAAGGAGGAGCTTGGTGAGATTATCCAGCTTCGAGAGGATTACTTCAAGAACAGAGCTGTTGCTTTTGAGCACATCTGGACTCTGTTCCCTCCTGGCTGCACTGTCTGGGGCTCTGAGAAGGGCAAGCCTGTGGCTGTCAAGTTCAACGCGGGCCACTTTGGGAAGAACAACTGCGGTGTCACTTTCTACATCTTGCAGTGCAAGATCATTGACTGGGATGGCAAGTACATGGGCTGGACCGATCTCACCTTGAGGATCCCCGAGTTCTTTGGTACTGTGCCCTTCTCGGAGCTTCCTTGCTATCCTCTCGAGTATCACCCTCGCGTTGATGCCGCCAAGGCGCTGTTGACGGAGCGCGGCCGCAAGTTTGATGAGCTTGGTGGTTACTGCTACAAGTCGTACAACGGCACGGCTATCTGGCACGTCAACTCTGAAAAGACTCGCAAGGAGACGGTTCAGTCGCGCATTGTTATTGATGGAGCCAACTGGGAGAAGTTGAACCCCGACCACACTGTCTGGCTCAGCCCCATTCACACCAGCGAAGACTTTAGCGACGAAAAGGATGAGGACGCTGGGCCTAATGCCGCTCCCCAGCGGCCTCCCCTGACTGAGGACCAGCTCCTCATGACATACCCCATGGTCAGGGGCTACTCGCTCAAGAACAAGCGATGGATGGAGTTCTTTATCGACGACGTCTCCGAGGTCAAGTTCAACGACCAGGCCTTTGAGTCTCTTGTCCTTCCCAAAGACCAGAAGGATCTGATCCTCGCCTTCGCCGAGAGCCAGGTCAAGTACAAGAACGTGTTTGACGACATCATCTCTGGCAAGGGCAAGGGTATCATCATGTTGCTTTCCGGTGGTCCCGGTATCGGCAAGACTCTGACGGCTGAGTCGGTGGCCGAGGAGATGAAGGTGCCTCTGTACATCATGAGCGCTGGTGATCTCGGCAGCGATGCGTACGATATCGAGGAGAACCTTGGCCGCATCCTGGAGATGGTGGCTAACTGGAATGCTGTCCTCTTGCTGGACGAGTGCGACGTCTTCCTCGAGGCTCGATCTCCTCACGATATCGAGCGTAACCGAATCGTGTCCATCTTTCTGCGAACGCTCGAGTACTACGAGGGCATCCTCTTCCTCACTACCAACCGCGTGAAGAACATGGATTCTGCCTTCCAGAGCCGAATTCACATGTCTCTCGAGTACCCTCCCCTCGACCGATCTTCTCGGGAGGCCGTCTGGCGGGGCTTCCTCAACCGCGCCGTCAGCCTCGACGCCAAGGTCGCTGGTGGAGCCGCCCACGACATTACTGAGGATGAGACCAAGGCTCTGGCTGGCTTGGAGCTCAACGGTCGCCAGATCAAGAACGTGCTCAAGACAGCCAATCTTCTGGCTTGCCACAAGGGGCAGAAGCTGTCGTTCGAGCACTTGCGGACTGTCCTCCGGGTTGAGGGTCACTCCCTGTGAGGTGTTATGAAAGGTTTCTTTGATGACTTTATGAGTTTGGCTTTGCGATGATACACCGGAACTTGAGAATTGCACACGCAGGTAGAATTATCACTATTTCCTTTGGACTAGAATAGCAATACAGACTTTTGCTCAATGCCCCAAATGTTTACTCAATGTCCCTACCCTCCCAATCCTCTCGATTCCGTCGACGTCGACCACGTTCTAGTACTGGGCTCTCCAAAACCAAGCGATCCCGACAGGCGTCACTCATGTATCGCACTAACTCCTCAACGCAATGATGACCCGACTGACCATACCATCCCAGTATGCCATGGACCTGCGACACCCATCCTGCATTCCCCGCCCTGAACGGGTCGATCATGTCGTCAACCAAGGCGCATACCGCATTTGCAAAGTGATTATACATTCCGTCCGTAATCCTATAGAGCCCAAAGATAGAGGTCAATCTTTCTTTCTGTTGCTGTGACCATGGTGTTGCGGGCTCCGACCCGCGGGACAAGATGAGTAGAAAGTAGGGCTCTGCCACGTTCCGTAGGTCAAAGCAATCCCTCCTAGCGCCGAAGCAGTTCCCCCGTTCGTCGTGATCCCGATTACAGACGGCGAGACGCATGTTGACGCCCATGAAGGGACGGGGTTTGCAGGGGCAGGTCTCGGGGTCGCGGCACTGGTCTTGTGGAGCGCTGATACACCAGCAGCCTCCACGGAATGGCAAGGGAAGACCAGTGATGTAGTAGTACGGTTCCAGAACTTCATTCTGTTGAACTTCTTGGGAGTTTTTGATCTTTTTCTCCATAATGTGCTGGAAAGCTGTCTTGAAGTCCCTGTAGAGGGGAGACTCGAGGAACTGGGCTCGGATAGCGGGATCCATAATTGAAGAGTAGGTCTGTTTTCGGTTCAATAAGTTGCTCAATAGAGATTCTAGTATGTGTTGTGTGGGAGTTGTTGAGAACGGCAGGCATGGGGTTTAAAGGAGGCCTTTTGTAGGTGCTGCCCGTCGTGACTAACAACAGTGCCTAACGCTCAAGTGTTGTCAACTCTCCACAGATCGTGATATATCTTATTTATCATTGCATTTTATACCCCGGTAAGAAGGAGTAGATTTAAGGATAATGTGCGAATCAGTGAGGGAAACCATCTAACGTTAGGCCATTGATTAGGTGTCGGGGGGGGGGGGGGGGGCACCTTCACGAAGGACGCTTCTCTTTAGTCTTTGCTCACTCTAATTCAGTTGAGCTACGGCTCTTATTCGTCAACTCACTGTTCAGCTTATGCTTTCCTTAGGCTATAAATGGATCAGGTTTCCTCAGAATGTCTTTAGGTCTATCATCAGTGAGTATATAAAGGCCTCATCAGCGCGTGTTGGTCTCATGTGGCGTTGCTCGCCGGAGCCCCTAGTGCGGAAGAATTACGAGCAGTTACAGTGGAAGTTACAGGCTAGTGTATGCCTCCCGGGCTCATAACTGTCGCAAAGCCGTTACGGCAAAAGTGAAAGATACCTTCCAACAGGTACCGCAGCCAAGCTAGGTTATACCCTTCGTCACAGTTCTATATACTTGACGGCATCATCAACTCTGTCCGCTTTCATGGAATAATTCTTTCTTCTGCAAGAGTTGGTCATAGTCCGCACGCTTTTAGTATCCTCAAAGCTCATCAGAGCATGCCCAACGGCCCTCATAAGTTGGTGCTGTTGCAAGCCGCCGTAAGCTGCTGCTGAAGACTGTTCCCTGTGATTAAATGACTTGAAACTTTGACTCCTTCACCAAAGAAGCCCTGGCAACGTGTCCTCCACCAGAGAATTCAGAGGGATTTTACTTTTCCAATTTATCTTTGCCACCGTCACCGAGCCGAACAATTGCCTCCGTCACTGATACCGGTCCGAATTATCCTCAGCAGTTCTATTGGGGAGTGTCTCAAGGGGAATGAATCAAGGTTTTCAAGTTGTTGAGTCACAGGGAGTGACTCAAGGGGAAGGGAAAAGGTTTCGGTCGTGATGGATTCTCTTAGTTTTATCTTAGGTTTATAGTATTTTATAGTATTAGGTTTTAATATTGCCGTATGTCTATAAATTTTTTTTGATCATGTGTCTGATAAGGTTGTTAGGAAAAACTTGTTCTGGCGCTTAGTTCCGTGGGAGCACTCAATATGGCATAACTAAGGTTTTAACACATGTGGTCATACTGTAGCGTATTTTGACTCTTTATCACAGCCATAATAGTGGGGCCAGACACGTGGTTTCGCGTTTATGCCGCTAAAAAGGCGGAAGAAGAATCCCAAAAACAAACAAAACCACAAATGCGGTGGTTTTCCGTCGCCGTCAAGCAATTTCCCTTCTTTCAAACACGGCGCTTCACAATGGCTTCTCCCTCCGACCGTCGACCACTCGTCATTTGCGGCCCCAGCGGTGTCGGCAAGGGCACGCTCATCAAGCTTCTCTTCAGCCGCCACCCCGACATCTTCACTCTCTCCGTGTCGCACACGACTCGCGGTCCTCGAGATGGCGAGACTGATGGTGTCGAGTACCACTTTGTCACCAAGGAGGCTTTCCGGGAGTTGATCGCCAACGACGGATTCGTCGAGCAGTAAGTCCAACCTGGCGGGGGAGGAGTGAGTATACACTAACGTTTGTGTGTAGCGCCCAGTTCGGAAGCAACCTATACGGTACGAGCAAGGCGACGATCCAGGAGCAGACAGCCAAGGGCCGAGTCGTGGTCCTCGACATCGAGATGGAGGGCGTCAAGCAGGTCAAGGCTTCGAGCATCGACGCTCGCTACGTCTTTGTCGCACCCCCCGGCAACGAGGAGCTCGAGAAGCGCCTGCGAGGCCGCGGCACCGAGACAGAGGACAGCATCCAACAGCGTCTCGCGCGGGCCAAGGACGAGCTTGCCTGGGCTGAGTCGGCCAAGTTTGACAAGATCCTTGTCAACGATGATTTGGAGAAGACATACGATGAGCTGGATGCTTTTGTCTACGAGAAGAGCCTGCCCTAAAGGTGTAAAAGGGTACTCTAATTTAATAAAAATAATACACGTAGTACAGTAAAGGTTTATGATGAGTTAGACCTAAACCTGGTCCCTTCCACGTTTCGTCTCCGTACCTCCCCTGAACTGAGAATGATAACGAACTTTGGGGGCTATCAACTTGGCCGAGAAAGACGGACCTGTCAGTTTATTCTGCCGGTAGTAAGAAACCACAACCAGCAACTCATCATAACTGCGGACAACATCACCCCGGAGGCCATTGTCTCCCAGAACGGCTCTTCGAACGAGTGCGTTCTTATCGCAAAGCCGTTACGGCAAAAGTGAAAGATACCTTCCAACAGGTACCGCAGCCAAGCTAGGTTATATCCTCCGTCACACACAAGGGTTTAACCTCGCGGCCTCTGTTGCTCGCCGGAGCCCCTAATGCGGAAGGATTCCGAGCAGTTATAGTGGAAGTTATAGGTTAGTGTATGCCTCCCGGGCTGGTGACTTTATCTATGTAATGGAGGGCTATTCGGGCCAGGGCTTTGCGAGTACTCCTTCCTTCAACCAAAATAACAATCAAGCCTCTTGTTCAAGCCCCAAAGTGATTACTGCCGATTGTACGCACGGATCTTGGCCTTCATGTACTCCTTTTCAAGACGCTCCGTCTGAGCCTTGATGGTCTCGTGCATCAACTCTTCGACGTTGCGCTCAACAGGTCGACCATACCACCCAATGATACCGTGAACATGAGCATTCCATCCTTTGTTCCCAGCTGTGAAGGGGTCGTGAAGATCTGCCATCAGGAGGCACACGGCGTCGACAAATTTGTGATACATGTTGGGAGAAATGTTGAAGGTTCCGACCTGGCTGCCGACTCGGTCTCTCCACGCTGGTCGAGAGAAGCTTGGCCGTGGCTTCAAGATTGTACGAAGGTAGGTCGTCACCTCGGTTCGTGGGTTGAAGCAGTCTCTGTCGTCACAGTGATATCCATTGTTGTGTCTGCGCTCACAGACACCAAGACACATATTCTGCCCAAGGACGGGACGGGGCTGCTGCGGGCAAGACGTTCCGCGCTTGCACGCCCACTTGGGATTGTCGGTGCACCAGCATGCGTAACGGTGACGTTCGGGGAGGCCGTAGATGTAGAATTGGATCTTGGGGTCTTGGGCAGAGTTGGGTGCGCTGGGGTTCGTGGTGATCTTTCTCAGGACGAGGTTTCGGAGGCCTTGCTCCAAGTCCTTGTAGAGCTGCGAGTCGCGGAAGTGGGCGAGGCTGGCTGAATCCATGGTGCTCAAGGTATTTTGGCCTTGGTCGGATAGATTCGAGGTGAGGTTTACCTACCAGAGACTGTGGGAGAAGCGAGATGCAGATGGCAGAGAGCAGCAAACGGGAAGATGGAAGTGAGTGCTATTTTGTAGACGTTGTTTGTTGTGATGAACTGAACAAGTTGAACTTCAACAAGGTATTGTTCACACTCCGTTGAAGGGTTGGCATGCCTCGTTTACAAAGCATTGTATATCCCACCGAGAACAGAAGATTCAGATTTAAAGTCGTCGACCCTGTGAGGGTATTTAGTAAACAACATGCAAAAGGTGGACGCGATAGGACTGCTGAGTGACGGGTTACTCACATACAGAGTTTTATAGAACCCCAGAGGAATACGTTAGACAGAGGTCGTAGAAAGAAATGCCAATCTCGCGTTCGGATTCGATATGGGGAATATCGTACAGACTAGGTGGTAAACCTGAGAATATCGAGACCATCTCACCATTGACTCAAGACCACACATGAGATGGGATGGTGACGATGATAGTTGGCGGTGCACTGTCAGGGCACTGCCAGCACACCGCTCATGGAATCACGAATTTACTGATGCTCTAGTCTCATGACTTTACATTTCTCTGCTGACAGTTCTTATGATTAATTCGTTTGTACTAGCTTCCAAGATTGCCTCTATCACCAGGCCAGAGACGTCTGGGAGTCACGTTGAACCAGAATGTGAATGGAGGTCTGGCAATAGTAACCGATGCTTTCTTGTCACTACTCTGCAGCAATCTCTATGTCGTGTAAAAACAAAAGACATATCTTCAAGCCCGGAAAACCAGCCCAACCCCACATACGCACTTGACCGTGATATCGTGAGTTGGTGACTCGAACTGGATCAGGGCAGTTTTTCGGGGTCTTCAAATATGAGCTTGTTCTTTAAACTACTGAATTGGATGCGATTTTAGCCTGCAAAGGATCGTGATGATTTCGTTTGGATCTACAACGTGTGTTATGACAATGAAGCGCAAGTAGAGAGTGAGCAAATACTCCTGTTTAGGTTTACACTTAGTTATTCCCCTTTATCGATAGATGGAACAGTGATGTAATTCATGCATGGCAGGGCGATAATGACACCGTGATAATACTGGGGCTTTACTAGGCAACGGCCCATTTCATCAATTCACCCAAACATCTCGTGCTTGAATGACCCCGCTCGGGATCCATACCCGAGTCTACAATACAAGACTTGGATTTGTCAATAACGCCCTTCCCCTCAACCTCTTGAGATTTAAAACTCCAGCCTCGACCCTTTACAAAATCTTTCCATTACCAAAATGGCTTCTTTCAAGGCTTCTAGCATCCTCATTTTTGGGGCTACTGGCGCTATTGGCAAGTACATTACCAACCACATTGTCAACGCCAGACCTTCGTTCCCCAAGATTAGCATCTTTACTTCTGAGGATACCGTCGCTAGGAAGGCTGATTTCATTGGCGAGCTCAAGTCAAAGGGTGTCAATATCATCACAGGAGATGTTAGAAACGAGAAAGACGTCAAGAATGCTTACCAAGGCGTTGACACCGTCGTCAGCGCCGTGGGCCGAAACGTCCTCGAGACTCAGATCGACCTCATCCGACTTGCCGAGGAGTCATCCTCTGTAAAGTGGTTCTTCCCCTCCGAGTATGGCACAGATATCGAATACGGTCCTCAAAGTGCTTCTGAAAAGCCTCACCAGCTCAAGCTCAAGGTCCGCAAGTACATCAAGGAGAATGTGAAGCGTCTCAAGTACACGTATCTGGTCACTGGACCGTACGTCGACATGTACTTTACCTTGTCGCCAAAGGCTGTCGAGGCCGGAGGCTTTGATATTGCCAACAAGAAGGCCATTCTTATCGACAATGGCGAGGGCAAGATTGGCTTCACCACAATGCCTGAGTGAGTTTGTGCTTTGCCCATGCACATCAAAAAAGAAATTACTGACTCCTTTCAGCGTCGGAAAAGCCGCAGTGGCTGCCCTTCGCCACCCCGAGGCTTCTTTCAACAAAGCACTCAAAGTTCAATCCTTTGTTATCACCTCCAAAGACATTCTAGCCGAGTTTGAGAAGCAAACCGGTGGAGAGTCATGGACGACCACAAGCTATACCCTGCAAGAGCTCAAAGATGCGGAGAAGAAAGCATGGAGCGAAGGAAATCCAAATGCTGTCTCTTACACACTTCGACGTATCTGGTCTGAGGGTGGAACACTCTATGAAAAGACGGATAACGAGAGTATTGAGTTGAAGGATTCAGAGCTGGAGACGCTTTCGGACGCTGTTACAAGAGCCCTTACAACTGGTTGGTAGAGTAAAGTCTTGAAATGAGCATCTACCAAAGTATAAAATCACAGGATGACCTGCTCAAGCAAGGTCAAACTTTCTTCCCTTCCTCAGAGTCTCAAACGTCCTATACATGCGCTCTTCCTGCAGAGGGGTAAACTCGTGCAAGCTACTTCAAATCAGCACTAATTCAGAAGCAAGGACAGAGCAAACTTACCAATCATGGCTACTATAGTCCATGTAATTGTGAATCGGATCAAGACCAGGCTGATCAGGGCACGAATCTTGTCCAACAGGGCATCCCACAGTGGCACTCAGCGTTGCAGGCGTGTCATCGATAAAATCACCATCACCCGTGCAGCTAAAGCCGTCAAAAACATGAAAAAGACCAAACCAGTGTCCAACTTCGTGAGTTGCAGTCTTGCCCTTATTGTCCTCTGTCGAAATCCACGGAACGCCTGGACCTCCTGGCATCGTGCCTGGGCTCACATGGCAGCCGTCGTACACAGCCCAAGACGTACCGTTGATGCCCGTGTTGACGGGATCTTCGACAGGCCAACTACAGATACCTGTGACAGAGCCCTCGGTCATCAGGCCCGTCTCAAAGTAAATGTTGAGATCGTCATAGTTTCCCTGACGAAGAGCCAGGTCCTTTTCTCTGAATCGAGTAACCGACGCCCATTTATCATTGACAGTGTGCGTCACATCCTTGACGACGAACTGAATCCTGTGTGGCGCAAACGTCTCGTTCAAGACTTTCATCTTGGAGTTGTGAGCTATTAATCACGGATTCCCATGTCATGACTTACTTGGTCCGCGAGCATCTGGTCCGTGACAAAGCCAGCTTGGGCTTCACTCTCAACCACATGGAGGTAAGTCGAGATGGTCAAGCCCTCGGCTCGTCTCGAAAGAGTTGAGGGTTGATCATTGCTTGCCTCGGCTCTCTGCGCAGCTCGCATAGCACGTGCAGCCTTGACGGCTTCACGAACTGGTCTGACAGAACCGCATTGATTTTGAGCAAGACCCAAGGAAAGCGAGGATGCAGCAAAGAAAGCTGCCAGAAGCCCTTTGAGTTCCATATTGAAGTAATTGCCTCAGCAAGTTTACACTACCGGGTCATGTCGTGGTCATGTATTAAGCTTAAATGCGCGGATAAAAGCGATGTTGCTCGTACTCGCCTCTAAAGGGGCTAGACCATCCTCAACCCATAACAGTACCGAACGGCCTATATGCTCCTTGTAGCATAGATCGTCTATAAAAAGACGGTGACTTAACCCTGGTCTCTTCGTATTAACCATGACGCGATAGTCCCGCTCGCATTGGCACCTTGGCCCCATGACCCATAGCGCGCTCGTATTCCCAAATTCTTCCGCTTAGAGGTTTCAAATGGGCATCTCCGATAGGCTCGGCGACCAGGGGCAACAGCACTGATCTTCTAGAAGACGGAATGATTTAAGCTTTTGGCAGTTCGTCAGGGGCAGGGAGAGAGCATATAAATTCGGGGCTGTACGTCTGTCTTTCACTGACTCAGTTCCTCATTGGGTAACAGTCTAGGTATCCAGAGAAGACTGCAACATCATGGCGTTTCGAAACTTTCTTCTGGCTACGTCCTTGGCCTCTGGCTTATCTTCGGCCGCAGTTATTGACCTGCCCATCGTCCACCACAACAGCTACGTAAGTGAAATAAAACCAACAAGATGCTCCCTGCTTACAGAGTTGTAGCATCTCGTGGAGTTGAACGCTGGAACACCTGCCACGACATATCGCTTGCTGTTCGACACTGGAAGTGCAACCTCTTGGATTGTCGATCAGAACTGTGCCGAGGAATGCAGCAACTTTAGCGGGTAGGTTCACTGCAGCACCCGGACCGTACGCATACTAACTGTTCCAAGTTACAAGAGGACTGGATATAATGTAGACAATTCAACCACCGGAAAACTGACTGGCAGATGGGGCGAGATCGAGTACTTTGGTGGTACCACGGCTGGTCTCATCGCCAACGATGTCTTCAAGGCCGGCAAAGTTTCTTGGAACCAGTCGTTCATCGCCGCCAGTCAATCATCATGGGGTAACATTCCCGGCGAGGGATTCTTTGGATTGGCATTCAACTCAATCACCGTTGGAGCTGCCGACACCATCATGTACACACTGGTGCCCAAGCTAGACGCTCCCAAGTTTGGCCTCTACTACGGCCCAGCGAGCGACACCGCTGACGGCGTCGGCAAGGGCCGTTTGACGCTTGGTGCATCCAAGGCATCCACCTACACCGACGGCAAGCTGGTCAAGGTGCCCATCGTTCCCTCGGATGGAAAATACAATGTCTGGGCCTCCGTCGTCAACTCAGCCACCGGCTCGCGAACCGTCAACGGCAAAAAGGTCAAGAAGACGACAGACCTCAACGCCGGACGAGTCGTCTTTGACACAGGTGCCGGAAGAACCTCCCTCCCCAAGGGCCAGATCGAAGCCGTCTACGAATCAATCGGCATGAACTGGACCGCCATCATGGAAGACGGCTACCGACCCCTATGCTCAGACTTTAACTCTACTTGGTCCGTCTCTTTTGCTTTCGGGGACGCTAACGCCCGTAACCCGGCTGTTGTGACCTTGACCGGAGACCAGCTTGCCACGCCGGGCTTTGCCATGGAGGAGAAGTACTGCTGGCCTCCGTTTGATGAGGGTGACTATGAGGGACTCACACTAGTTGGAAAGGACATTCTTACGAAATTCTACACTGTTTGGGACTTTGGCGCCAAGGAGGAGGCCAAGTATAAGCCCACTCTGAGCTTTGGCACATTGAAGAAGGGGTTCAAATAAAGTATCTAGCTGCTTCTAAGGTTATTAGGTGACGAGATGGACTTCAAATATTTGCCCAATTGTAAACTCTAATGCCCCACGTTTGTGGAATCCCTTGATATCAAGCTCGATCGGAGGGTGTGTGAAGGCCACGTGCAATCGTGAATAGAGCGCTGTGCAGTGAAAGGCGCAAACAAGATTCAAGTCTTGATTGGATCTAATACTGACAGCTAATATTGCCTTGCCAGATCCGCTTACGTCAGTAGTAATCACGTATGTAAGTGCTGGTGTTGTAGTTGTCTTCTATCTCATTGGGACGATGCAGTCTCTGAGTTAGCATATACGCCTCCTCTCGTCAAGTCCCCTCCGCTAGATGTTCCTTCCGCCTTGAACAGCTTCGTTTGATGTTTTAGACCAAATAATCCAGTCGTACATTTTGTGAAAGACGTTTATTAGTATAGTGAAGGGAAAAACCTCGAACGGATACAAAACCCTTCTTCAGGCACAAACAGACAAAACTTGAACGTGTCCTTGGAGCCCACGTTCGTTCCTTGAATCTCGCCGCTCTGCCCTCTATACAACGACTTCCCAGTTTACCACCACCTCAGCTGCTATGAGTCACTCACAACAAGTGAACGACACGGTTAACAAGAACCCAATCAGGTTAATGCTCGCCAAAGCCCCAATAGTAACCAGGTTCCAGAGGATGTTCAGCACACTTCTTGATGTCCTCTAGCTTGTAGCCTTTGGGCAAGTTCTTGGGGTCCCATTCCTTGACAGCAAGGCGTCCACACTTTTCCTTGTCGCCTGGAGGGTGGCCGGCTGCCATGGCCACCACTGGAAGAGCAGCAGCAACAAGAGCTTGGGGCTTCATCTTGGGCTCTATATTGGTCAGACGGTGTTTAATTATGACTAGGTTTGAGTTTGAACATACTGAGGCCTGGGTTGCCTATGAGCGTGGAAAATTTGATTGTTTGATGGACAGGTTGTCGGAGCACAATGAACTGAATAGATGTGATGATTGATGTTGAGATTTCGAATGATTTAAGTTGAGGCATCAAAATACAAAGAACATGTCACGATTCTATATACTCGCACTTCATCCTCCAATACGTGGCTTCTGCCAAACAATTCTGATGCCTACAATTCATGACGCTCCTTGATGTTCTAGCGAGGCTCTATTGAACGACGTGTTCTCAAAAAGTGCGATCAAGCAAACAAACATGGGTCCGCTGCGCCCCAGAAATTCCCAAACAAGATTTCGCGGTTTTTGCAATTCACGATTGCCTAGCCAGGATCAAAGGAAGAGGCCAGATTTGTTAGTTATGGGGAGGATCGTGAGTCATTTATTGGTGGTTTTACGCCCAGCAAACGACCTTTGTCCCTTTGGCTTGGCAACATTGCGTTGACCCCTGTTGACAAGACCAAGAACAAGAAACCATGGCTTAGCAGACGCAAGACGCGTGAATTGCTAAAAATTAGGCAGTAACTTGTAGAAAAAGAAGCAATTGAAAACAAAAAATGGAGAAATACCCGGCAACCACACTTGAAACAAAACAACTGACATCACCAGCAATCGCCCGCTAAATCAATAACAGTCTAGCCCCAGCGAGAAAGCCATGATTTATTATCCTCTGCTGCTGATAGGTCAGACCCTTTTCGAGGCTGATGGTAGGTTGACAAGGGTTGCCCTTGATCCAGGCCTTGAGGACCTTGATGGCCTCGTCGAGTTGGCTTGGAGGGAGAATGGCGGGAAAGTCAGCACATGCTCAATCTTGGCTCAGGAGACTGAAAATTTTGCCTCTTTTCAATGTTCAGACACTTTCTTGATACTCGAAAAAGTTGTTAGGTTCAACAGATCACTTGTGTTACACAATGTCCAACATGCCTGGAGGAAAGCCCCCTCGTATGCGATCAGCGTGCACCTCTTGTCACGCCGCCAAGGTGAGACCATATTTTCCCCAAAGTAGTACAGTCCGCTAAGTCTTCCTAGGTCCGGTGCACAGGAGAAAAGACGGGATGCAAAAGATGTCTACAGTCAGATATGACTTGCACATACGAGGTATCGCTCGTGGGCAGAATGACCAAGAAGAGGCGGAGGCAGAGGTGCAATGGCAAGGCTCACAACACGGATCATGACACCTCGGTTGAATGTCTTTATTCTCTATCGAGATCAGTTTCTTGTCGAGGTCAAGACTGTCTGGACCCATGCAAGCTCGCCATCAGCAGCCCTGGTTGTTATGACGACCCCTCAGCTCAGCATCCGTACGACCACACCCTTGATCAACCTAGAAACGACAATCCCCAGCCACAGTATTCAACCATCGAGTTCAGAGATGACAGCGCGTACGGCTCCTACTCTGAAATCGAATCCATACTTCCTTGTCTGAGACAAGCCGACATCCTGCCCCTCAGCCCGGACTCTACCTGGCTTTCTCCAAGCACATCAGACTCGCCTCCCAAAGAGCAATGGAGTCCGGAGCCTCAACCAACTTCGATAATTTCAGAGCTATCTACCCTGCTAGAGTCGCTGGAAACACAAACCCGATCGAAATCTCGAGGCCTGGATGAGATACTCCAGACCAACCGAGCTTGCATGACCAGTCTCGGCAAGATCCTAACCACAAGCGAGTACTATAGCTACAGGAGTGGTGGGATACTCGTAGTCTCCGCTTTAGAACTCATCATTTACTCATTCGAGGAAGCGGTCAAGTCCCAAGGTTGGGGAAGCGAGCCTAGCTCACAGACCTCCGGGAGCTTGTCAAGCGTGAAATTTGGGGTATTCGAGGTGGATCCCGAGGAGCAGGTTGCAATCGTAAAGAGGATAGTCTCCAAGGAGTTACAGAACTGTCTGGAAATAGTACGGAACTTGGCAGGGGAGTGTAGGTGCCAGGGGTTGGAGGGGCGCAGGTCATTAGTAGCCCAATCATACTCTGCACTCGAGCAGAGGGTTGATAGGTTAATATTAGACCTTCAAAACTGACGAATAAACATGTGTCATTACTTGTCACTATTTAAAGTGCATCGTGAGAGGCAGCAGAAGAATCAAAACCCTATTGTGCATGGCTGAAGGACCCAGATCCCATCCCCTTGGCTTGTCATCAGTCCAGCTGCCAGTCCAGTAAAGAAATTGAAAAATAGGAAAACGCTATAACTCGCATAATCTCTGCTACCGTCACTAAACTGAATAATCGCCTCCGTCACCAATACCGGTCCGAATTGTCGTCCATCCTTGTTTTCAAGTACGCAGCTCTACCGCCAAGCTCAGCAGTTCCCTCTTAGTTATAGCTATTTTAATTAAGAAGGATAATAAGGACGATAAAAATATTAATAGTAACTAAAGGAATAAACTAAGAATAGATATATTATCTTGTAGGAAAAAGAAAAATAACATGTCTAATAAATATGTTATTACAAAAGTAAAACCCCTCCGAATTCTCTCCATCACGGAGTCTTGTTCGGGGCCCACCCTGTTAGTGTCCGACCCTTCGGTGGCCGAGAACAACGGACCCGGATACATTCACGGTGACTTTCTTCGGTGACCGACCAAAGAACAGCGGACCGAAAGTCCGACATAACCCTCTTGTCCCTCCCATATTTTTGAGTTTTTATAAAACCGGCTTCTTCCTCTTTTTGTATCGGCATCCTCCAGATCAAATCAATCGCTCTAGTTTGACATTTGTGCCAAGACTTTTTTCATTCTCCACTGCCAAGATGGATCACGACGGACCCATGGAGGAGATTCCCCACAGCCATCATCACCACCATCACCTTCAATACCATACTCATCATCACCATCACGGACCTTCTCATGATCCTGATATGACACTCGGAGAACAGAACAAGGCTCATTTCAAGTATGTGCCTATACATACCCGGTCAATCATTATACTGACTTGTCGCAGCAATGTCGCTCCCGCTGTGTTTCAGTGGCCTTGGATCGTGGAGCTATGCAATCAGATTACGAGGGAGCTTCGTGCAAACATTGACTGGATTGGAATTCAACCTCCTTCAACTCGACCAACGAAAATTCTGGATTACGCCTGTGGAAACGGTGTTGCATCTCGAGTACGTGCTGCCTTGATGCTGAGTCTTTGATCAGCACTGACGTGAACAGGCTCTAGCACCGTTTGTTTCCAGCGTTCGAGGCGTAGACATCTCGTCCGGAATGGTGGAACAGTACAATGACATGGCCTTGAAAGGAGGTTTCTCACCCGAGAAAGTCAAAGCCGTCCAAGGCGATCTAGTCGACCCCGAATCAACGCCCTCCCCTGAACTCAACTCGCCCGAATTTTTCAACTTTGACCTAATCATCATGTGCATGGCTCTACATCATGTCCAAGACCACGAAAAGATGATTGAAAAACTCTCGGAGCGGCTTCGAGGAGGTGGAGTGTTGATCATTGTCGACTGGGTCGCCATCTCGGAGAGTAACTGCCCAGACGCGCCCCAAGCAAAGGCCTTGTCAAATCAAACCATGACTCGAATGGGGTTTACTGAAGACGATGTAAAGAAGGCTTATGACAAAGCTGGTCTGGAGGACTGGGCTTGGAAGTGGGCTTCGACGAGGTCTCAGGTACCAAAGGAGATTGAGGGAGAACAGCAGCTGTTCTTCTCCCGTGGACGAAAGCCAGCTCAGTAAAACATTCTCTTGCTTCGGGGTTATTTTGATACACGATATTGGTTAGACTATGCGAGTTACAGCGTTTTCCTGGGTTGGGGTAGTACAGAGCAATTAAACTGATAATGATAACGGGCTATCAACTCGGCCGAGAAAGACGGACCTGTCGATCCGGAAGTCTCCCTCCCTCGGTATTATGTGGGCTGCCTCGTGGTGGTGGCGTGTCAGCGGCAGTTGGAAAGATAAACCGGGGAATATCAAGACTCCGAGATCACTCGATGCCGGCATCTTCGGAAGGCGAGGATCTGACAGCAAAAGACAGCAATTATTATTTCGAAACATGTTTAAAATGTTGCGAGGCCGCCAACTCATCAAGCATTGTTACAATCATGGCTTTGCCCTGCTGCGCCATTGCTCCTCGATGACGTGGGACCAAACTTTTTGCATGACGTTTTCACTGTAAATTTTTGGCCCACTCCATTTTTCCGTGATCTTCACTCTCTCTTCGTGGGCGGCAACTGCGCACAAGACACCTGCATATTTCGGTCACCGATCAGGTATAGATCGGGGGCAAACAAATCCTCAGCAATCGATCCGGTTTCTTTTTTGACAAGTTGTCGCGTGACTTGCCCCTTTTCCCCCTAAATTGAAGCTGACATTGTAATTCTTACTCCTTTTCCCCTTTTGTTTTGAAGCTTTGATTACAATCTAAGGGAGACTTTTTGAACTGGCGAATGGTTTTGTCACCTTTTTGCATGTGAAGAGACCCTCGTCATAGCGCACCCTGGACGTACGTCACCAAACGATCACTGGCATAGCCAAGCAAAGCAAGCCTCGGCCCATTATTTGTTGTCACCAATTTTTATTTTTGGCTTCTTTTTTTTTTGTTCCTTTTTCCCTTCAACGTCGTTGCCTTTTTGTTTCGTTACTGTACCTATTACATTCCTTTCTTGACATTGCATCGCTTTGTTTTATTCCCGCCGCTCCGTTAAACAGGAGCCTGTTCTCCCTGTGTATTTGATTCAACATCACCATCATCGCCGACTCGCGATTTGAACTTTCGCAATGGATCCTTTATCACCCTCCAAGATGGCCTCGTACTTTGCGCGTCTGAGCCCCGTGCCCGCCTTCCCCGAATACACCGGGCCTTACAAAGTCGGAACCGTCGATGTCGAGATTCCCGTATCTGAGCTTCAGGCTCCTTCGCCTGCCCCCGAGGGCGGCGACAACATCCACACGATTCAGTACCGCATGTTCTACCCGGCCGTCTCGGAGTCTGATGAGAAGCGCATTGGCTGGTTGCCTACTCCTCAGCGACAGCATCTTGTCGCATACACCAAATTTCTTGGCATTGGTCCCATGCTGGCCGAATTTCTCTCGTGAGTGGCGGTCTCGATGCGCCGCAATTGTTCGCTAACCGATAACCCGTAGGTTTCTTCCGCGACATCTCCATTACACTACGATCCCCGTCCACAAAAACGCGAACCTTCACGATGCGACGACCGAGAACAAGCGATGGCCGACCATAATCTTCTCCCACGGACTGGGCGGAAGCCGAAACTCCTACTCATACATCGCAGGCTCCCTAGCCTCGCACGGCATCGTCGTCATCTGCCCCGAGCACCGCGACGGCAGCGCAGTCGCTTCATTCATTCGAATCCCCGAGACCCGAAATGGAACCGTCACATCGAATGGCCGAATCGAGATCCCATACCAGAAGATTTCCCATGACGTTTGCCCCGAGGTTTATCTGGCGCGCGAAGCCCAGCTGAGAATTCGATGCTGGGAGATGGGATTGCTTCATGAGGCTGTTCTTGCGCTTGATCGTGGAACTCCCTACACCAACCTGAACCGATCGACCCCCAGTCTTGACCAATTCGTGGGCAAGCTCAACATTCACGAGCCTGGAAGCATCATCTTTGCGGGCCACAGCTTTGGTGCAGCTACCATCGCTCAATTCCTCAAGAGCACATACTACGCCAGTGTTCCCGAAGTTGCCGCCATGGAGAAGCCCCTCTTCACACCCGCTGAGGGCAGCGAAATCCGCCAACAGATCTCGGAAAAGACACTCACCATGTTGCTCGATATGTGGTGCTTCCCTCTGATGGCTCCCAACTCTGAGCCACTGTTCAATCTGCCTCTGCCCGTGTATGCCGACAAGGCCACGGCCCCTGGAGGCAAAGCCATCTTGGCCGTCGAGTCGGAGCACTTCTTCAAGTGGAAGGAACATCTCAATGCCAAGGCGCGAATTCTGAGCCCCGACCCTACAGCCAAAATCGTCACTCCTCAGATTTTTGAGCGGCCTAGCGGAATCAAGATGTCTGAGCCCAACTTTTTCTACGTCATCAACTCGGCTCACCTGAACCAATCCGATTTTGGCATCCTCTTCCCGTGGCTGACCAAGAAGATTTTCGACGCCGAGCAGCCCGAGCGAGCGCTGCGCCTCAACCTGCGTGCTCAGCTTCAGGTCCTCCGTGAGAACAATGTTCCCATCGCGCGTACATACGTCGGAGATCTCGTGGATGGAACTTCCTTCGATAAGCTCGACAAGTTCAACAAGGCAAACGGCGACTCGTGCAAGGACGGCATCAACAACGACCAGGCCATCTTTGACAAGAGCGGCAACAACCCCGTCGACTTCTGGCGCTGGATCGACATTATCGGCCTCGGCGACGCCGAAGACAAGGAGTCGGGCAAGACTGTCAAGGAAAAGGTCGAAGAGGGTGAGCAAGAGATGAAGGGTGAGCTGGACCCCAGCGAGGAACTGCAGGGAGTACCGCCCTCCATCACCGGCACCGTCAGTGCGACTGCTGCGTAAAAAAATACACTTAACGAAGGATATGAGGGTTTATGAGAGCGAACTTGATCTTCTCATCAAGCGTAACTGTTTTTGAGATACCTTTTAGGCGCAAGGATAGTCAGGATTTTGACTTGGGCGTATTGGATGCTTTTCTCTGGATAAAAAGAGCAATCAGATAGACATCAAGGGCTGGATATTTGCTTTGTATGTAAGAATACACCTTTCACTCTGCCACTCTTCATGGTCGGTCCAACTCAATTACCAGTGTCGACCCCTCATTCTGCCAGATTCCTCCCGTTCCACCAAGGACGCATCTCATCGACACGAGATTCCACATTCGCCCCATTACCTCGTCAAGGCCCACGCTGATGTCTTGTCCTGGGGCACACACAGTCGCCCGACAGGCACCCGCGGTCGCTGAGCGGCATCTTCCACCCTCGATGGCGATGTTTCCGGTGTCGTCGGTGAGTTCGGTCCAGGCTGATATCGCGGCAGGACAATCGAGTCTGTCGGGGCCGGGTTTCTACGCTTTCTGTTAGCTATCAACACTGCTCGAGTCATTGAGTAACTCGCCTCAGTGCACGCAAAGGACTCCGGTCCTCCTTCACCAGGCTTCTCCAAATGGTCACCCGCATCAACCCCAGTAGTCTCCGTCAAAAGGTCCCACGCAAAATCGTCTATAACCGGGTCCTCATCGCGAGACACTCTCAGACCACGAGTAGCCTCGACGCATAAAGCCTGAGAGGCAAAAAGAACAAGAACCATCGCCACCAACATGATCAATCGTTTGCGGATTCCGAAGAGTGAAGGCAAAAAAGAAGAATGTCTCAAAGCTGGGGACGAAAATGAAGTCTACTGTCGTGTTAAACTTTGACCAGTCCGGATGCATCATACTTCTTATACATGGCTAGACCCATCACAAAAACGTCATTTGCCATACAATACACTTTCTAACCACGAGTTTCCCATTGGGGAAAAAGCAACACAGAAGGACCCGGGGAAGGCGATCGTCACGGTCTATTTGGCGTACAAACGCACCTTCCCGCGACCATTTTCGCCAGATGAAGCGTTGTACGCGTCAAACCCGCTCGCTCGGCTGTGGTTGCTGGTCATTCCGGATCCGGAGGTGACACGGCATTGGGTCCAGTAACTACCTACCAACTGGAACCGCCTTCTAGAAGCTTTAGTGAGGAACGAGGAATGTCTCATAGAAGGGTTGACGAAGGCTAGCGGGCGGGTTTAATGTCAAGTTGGAATAGATTTTTGACGCCATTTCTATCACGCTGAGAGGAGATGATCTAACACAACAAACGAATTAACACGAAATTAACGTAATCTGGCCATTTGATACAAAATCCTACTGCCTGTGCTTTCAGTCAAGGTAGAAAATACTAAAAACCCGTTTCATCATCCTTTGAGAGCCAACATGAGAGGATCGTCTGCTTGCAGCCCATACGTCTCGGCCAGACTCTCTATATCGCCTTTGTGGTTGCAGTCGTCGGCATTTGCCCCCCTTTTAATGAGAAGCTTCACCAACGAAGGCTCGCGTTTCATAACGGCCAGATCGAGTGGTGTTAAACCCTCGCTATCTCGAGCGTGAATGTCTGCCCCCTTGTCGATGAGAGCAGGCACTAGCTCCTCACAAGATTGTAACCAATATAACTCACAAACCTTGTGCAGGGGTGTTCTGCCCCGTTCATTCTTTGCGTTAACATCGGCGCCTTTCTCAATAAGAAGTAGAGGTTCTCCTTGGTACTCTCCGGATCGACACGCCCAAATGAGGGGCGTATTTCCCCTTTTATCTCTGGCATTGACATCGGCTCCCCGCTCAATGAGAAGCCGCTGTGCTGCCTTCCGTCTATTGCTGCAGGCATTGAGTAGGGGCGTTCGGCCACTGAAATCTCTTGCATCAAAGGCAGCTCCATTGCGAATGAGAAGCTTTGTAAAAGACTCACAAAGCGGGTCGCTGTCCATGTAGGAATGCTCATAAAACTCCATGATACGATGAAGGGACGATCTACCAGCTCTGTCTTGCGCGTTGACATTGGCCTCTCGTTCAATCAACAATCCTGCCAATGTCTCGTGGCCGCGAATCGAGGCTGAAATGAGGGGTGTTGTGCCATCTTCAGCCCGGGTTTCAATGTCCGCTCCCGCCTCAAGCAAGAACCTCACCACTTCTAAATGGCCGCTCTTTGAGGCTTCAATGAGGGCCAGCTTCAGATTGCTTCCTTCCGCATCGGGGTGAATTTGAGCTCCACTCTCGATAAGAAGCTTGACAATTGCTAAGTGGCCCTCCTTTGAAGCTCTAGAGATGGCGGTATGATCTTCGCAATCACGGGCATTAGGTTCTGCTCCGCTCTCCAATAGGAACTTAACTGTCGCCTCATGACCGTGCGTCGAGGCTTCGATGAGGGCTGGGTGCGGGGTCTTACTCGAGTTGGGTTGGATTTGAGCGCTGTTCTCAATGAGAAGCTTCACCGTTGAGAGGTGCCCAGACATTGAAGCAAAGGACAGAGCAGTATAGCCCTCGCGACTTTGGGCGTCGATTTCAACACCTTTCTCGACCAAAAGCTTCACTATCTTATCGTTTCCCTTGTCTGCGGCTGCTCTGAACGCCTCTTGCACATTTTCGGAATTGAGATCCCAGTCTGCGTACGCCTCGATGAGAAGCTTCAACGTTGGGGTGTGGTCATTTTCCGAGGCAAGGGACAGAGCAGTGCGGCCCCAGGAATCTCGGGCGTCAAGTCCAACTCCTTTCTCGATCAAGAACTTGACCATCCCTTCGTCTTTCCTTTCTGAAGCGCTGATGAGCCCCATTCGCAGAGTTTGGGAATCAAGGTCACAGTCCACATTCGCGTTGGTAAAAACCTTCAATATTGATGCGAGGCCATTTTTCAGGGCGAGGGAGATGGCCCTGTGAGTATGGCGGCTCCTAACTGCGGCTCCTTCTTTGATGAGGAATGACACAATGGCTTGGTGCCCTGCTTCCGAAGCTCGCATGAGTGGTGTGTAGTCCTCCCGATCAATCCCACAAACATCAGAACCCTTCTGGACAAGGAGCTCCACGACACTTTCCAGGCCCTCCTGAGCAGCCCAAGTTAGGGGAGTGTGGCTCCTATATGCCACAAAGCGTTTTTTGGACCCGAACCCCGTCGCGAGCTCAACTCCTTCGCAGATAGTCCATGTCGAGCTCAGCAGAGCAGCAACGACGTCTTTGTGGCCATTGGCCACAGCTGCAAAGAGAGGGTACTCATATCTCTCTCCTCGAGTGTCGATTCTTGGACTGCTTTGGAGCCAGTTTCGGATGAGCGAGGAGAACCCCTTGTCGGCAAGGATGTAGATCAAACTTGCTTCCCGACTGTATTGGCGGATGTGAAATTTCTCGAAAAGATTAAGTATGGTAACCCAATCTGCAGCCGGAGTTTGAGATAGGAACTCTGCTTGAGGGATCGCTTGAGCGGCGGCGTCCGAATGGTAAAGAACATATTGGCTTGCATACTCCAGAAATGCTGAAGCCTTCAACATGCGATCGTAGTAGTGGGGCGTAACCCGGCCTCGATGAATAAATTCATGCACAGGTTGATGATTGATGTACATGCTGCAGCATTGTTTGAGCCTCTCATGACCTTGACTTTGCCAGTCAAAGCCAAGGTCAGGCCACAGTTCTTGAAGGCCCCGATCTTTGACGAGAAAGTCCCTCACAGATTCGTGTATGAACTGTACAGTTGACCTTTTGGCATTCGTAATCTCGGCGAGTCCTTTTGAGGAAGTAATGACATAACTCTCAATGCATTCAGTGGAGTCTGAGGCAGTGACATCAGGCATTTCGGGATCAACCAGGTCCTTCAGGGCCAGCCCAGACCAGAGGGCATGGTAATACTCTTCAGGTCGCAGTGGTCGCTTTGCACAGAGGATCCAAAGAATAGAAAGCATCAAGTCCTCCATATTGTTCGCGTCTCGTCTTAAAATGTCCTTGAAGAGCTCACTCAGGCCACTCGGGACTTCTGCAAGCCGCTTCCGCAAAGCCAGTCGACCTCGGCGATTCTCCTTGTTTAAGATGTCAACCACAAGCACAACCCAGAGGAAGACACCGGCAGCCTTCTCAATCATTTGAGGGCGAAGCTCTTCAACGAGCGCAGTGCTTGTGATCCGGAGGTTACTTTGAATGTAGTTGGACATGTCGTCGGAGTGGCCTTGCTGATGCTCCAGCGTGAGCTCAATGCCGTGTCGTATGCGGATGTAGGGGTAATGTCGGCTCGAGAAGCAGATTCGAAGTTGCACACCTGTACTCGCGCAAGATTCTGCCAGCTCTTCAAAGTAGCGGACCATCTCCATAACTTGCTGCTCATCACACTCATCAAGCGCATCGATGAAGCAGGTGAAAGTGCGCTGACCGAGGTTGGAGACCGCATTGTGGAAAAGTTCTTTCAAAACGTTTAGTTGAGGGCACCCTAGTTGGCCCTGTGGAATGAGATCAGTGTCGTCCAGGACTTCTTTGAGATCGGGGTATCCTTCTAGTAGTTGTAGCAGTAAAGACCTGTACATCCCTGGGATTGACTTTTCAAGATCTTCGCCACGCGCGTGGAAAAAGAAGGACGCAGTGATGGCACGCCCATGACTTCTTTTTGCCTTCATCTTGCGGTAGATGAACTTCATGATTGTCGACTTGCCAGCACCCGGCTTACCCCGGATCCAGAGAAATCCATGGTGTGCGTGCTTCTGGGGATTAAGCCATTCCAGATACTGCGGGTGCTTCAAAAACCAGTGGCATGTCTTGGAGTGAGCCGTTTTGATACTGATCTTGCGAGAGTCAATTTGCTCGAACCTGAGCGATTCTAGCAGTACCTGTCGTCGATTGTGCGATGTGTCTCGGGAGACTGGCTTGTCTGTGAGCACCTGTTCTCAAGGACCGGTTGGAAAACTCACGAGAATTGGGAATGGATGCATTCTCAAGTACCCCATTGTTCACGGGGAGTATCTCGATAAACTCTCTTGCATATGCGGCAGCGGCAGCAGCGGCATAATTTTGCCACTCTTTTGACTTGTGTGAATCCGAGTAGTCACAAATGCCCCGGATAGGGAGACAGGGGAGAACATCCATCAAACCGGCGGCCTCCATCTCGAAACAGATGATATCAAGTTCGCGTGCCACGTTGTCTCGTGTGGTACTGTCCTTCATGACGTGGTTTCCGGAGGCAATGGCACCGTAGTGAATGTTGGGGTGGTTCGCCAATCTTGTGCTTCTGGGCAACAACTTGGACTGATCGCATTTGCTGCAACAGGAAATTTGGGGTTCGTGGCCGTATGCTGGGACAAATAGGCGATCTGAAGATGTCGGACGACTGAACTCGGGATATGTTACAGCTATGTCCCTCAAGATGGTCGACACTCGGCTGGGTTCTAGCATATGCTTCGCTCGTATGCTGGATACGACTGTGAGAAGTGCTTGATCGGGAAATCTTGGGCTCGCTGTTCGCTGAACCTTTCCGCCCTCAACAACCTTGCCCAAGTCGTACGGCATAACTCTTGTGCCGACAACGACGTCTCCCAGACGTATATCGGCCATGGTAGGCGCTCCACCTCCAATACCAACCATGAGGCCCATACAGATGGATGGGAAGCTCCATTTCAGGTTGGTCAGCACGTTCGTAGCATTGTTCGGCCCGTACTGGCCGTTTGGCAGGCATGCAATCACAATGTTCTGCGGCCCAATGCTCCCTAGCATGTAGGCGTTCTTATCGTTGGCGTCTTGAGGCAAATCAGCGTGGGTCTCGTCAAGCATGGCGCGGGCTGCGGCCATCTCTATATGTAGTGCGCATATCCAGGCGATGGTGTACCGATTGTGCGGCAGGGTGTCGTTCAAATTGTGTTGAAATGTCTTCTGTCGTTTCGGGGGGGTCGGCGGCCTCGCGGCAGCCTGGTCGTAAGACCAAGTTCGTTTTTGGTTCATCTTGGCGGTGTTTTGGTCGGATCCGGACTGCCTGTGCCAGGTGAGAAGTCACCAGTAGGAGGAGACACGAAACAACGAGTCGAGGTAGAGTGTGAGAGAAGCAATCGTAGAGGCGCGGTTCTCGGATGAAGAGGATGCAAGAGGAGAAACTGGCAGCTGCGAATGGCGAAAGAGAACCAGGCTGTCGCCAGCAAGGCTCCCCGGGTTGCCTCACTCAGCCACTCTGGGTCGCCCAACGTTGTCGCATGTGTGCCTACCGCCAAACGCACGAATCACAGAGCCCAGTGGGCGAAGTCAATGGCATCAAGCCCCCATGTCAATCAATGAAGATACAAGCAATAAAAGGTAGGTTAAATGTGTCATACTGCCTCTATTTCATTTGGCAATATCCTTACCTAAGTGAACAATTTTTCACCGCGTTCTGGTGTCAACAGCTTCAGGTCGGGGCAGAGGTATGTGTGAACTCACCATTTGTGCCTGAGTGGTGAGCTTGCCCCTCGGGTAATGGAACCGACTTTGTCTCCGAAACATGAGCCCCCGCAATGGATACCCTCATCTACGTCATTGGGATCTAGCCTGGTGGTATCAGCCTAGGTAGGTAACTATGGAACCTCGTTCAATGGAGGGCAAGAATCGCCTGGAACTAGGTTTGGAGACTGAGGTGGAGGCGGCGATCTCCCGCTACGTTAGATCCCGCTAAGCGCCAACCTTGTAGCGCTTATTTTGGTCTCACTCACGATGCGAGGTTGGACACTATCATTTATCACATAGCGTTGATGAACACTTAGAGCGGGAGGCAAAACAGGCATACAATGAAACCACAGGCAGTATAATTAATCCCAGCGAAAAGAATGATTATCGCAGTCCAAGTCGAGAGGCACTATTACGTTGCAGTTACTAGCCCTAGATACCCAAACAGACCCATTGAAACGATGGTAATGTTCAAACCCACGCCCGAACAAAGTCAATTACATCCAGTAGTGAGTAGCGGCGATCACACCCATAACAGTGACTGCCAGAGCCTTCCAGGACAGAGCCTCAATCGCTGTTCCAGGACCAGTTGGCACATACTCAGGTACATGAGTTGGCACTGTCGCCTGGGTCGGCTCGGGCTCCTTGGTCGGCTCGGGCACAGTAGCTGTGCCAGGGAATGCGCCTAGAACCTGTGGTACCTGTTGTCAGTATCTACTCAAAGATCATGCATGATCGAGGGTTGGCTGAGGCATTGACTTACTCTGTCAATTGTGTGAACAGCTCCATTGACGGCAATAGCATCGCCTGCCAGGATCTTGGCTCCATTGAGGTAGACGATCCCGTCTTGCACAGTGACCTTGACCTTGCCGCCCGCAAGGGTAGGGTAGACGAGGCCGTCCTTGAGAAGAGGAGTGTATGCGGGGAAGTTGACCAGAATGTGACCCTTGATGAACTCGGTGAGGTCGGTGTCGGACCACTTGGTGACGTTCTTGAAGGCGCTGTTGTCGGGCGCGAGAACGGTGATTCCGGCGGTCGAGTCAAGCAAGGAGAGGAGACCTGACTTTTTGACCAAGTTGTGGAACTTGTCGACGCCGAGGTGAGGCAAGGTGGAGGAGATGCTCTCAGGCAGGGTGAGGTCTCTGTGTTGAACACTGTGTTAGTGACGTCGAAAGCCAAGCATGGGGGGATACTAACCCGTCAATGGGACGGATAACGCCATTGTCAAAGGGAATGTCATGGCCCGCGATATTGACATTCCCCCCAAGGCCAGTGTAGACCTGTCGCGTCCCTCCAGCCGGTCTCTCAACAAGACTCTGGTTGTTGACCCAGCCGAGGTTCACATACGCGGGATCATCCAAGAAGGTCATCCGAGCCTCGCCTCTCGACTGGAAGGTTCTAATAACCATCCTCCTATCGAAGCTCGAAGGGAGGGGATACCTCGAGGACTGTTCTCCCGAAAAGTAGTACCCATTCTGGTACTTGAGCTGACGCTTGACGCGACTCGGCCCATCACTACTGGATAGTCCGGAATCGGTCGGGGCATACACCACAAGGCCAGGCTCCTTACTGTTGAGCAGCTCTGGGTTGCTTTGGAGCTGCTGCTGAAACAGAGTGAACCCGCTATCCTGGAGGGTGTTGGACAGAGTGTCCGCCAGGGCAGAGGTGGCCAGGAAGGTGGGTGCGAGCAGATGCAAACGCATGATGGGCGTGTGAATTGAGCAAAGTAACGAATGAACAAATGGGTGTAGAGCAAAGGCCCAGACACCAGAGGAGGAGAGAAGATGGGGGGCCGGAGAGGAGGGGGCCAGATGAGTGTGAACTGCAGGACACTTGGGCTGGTGCTTCTTAGGAGGTTGGCAGACGCATTTAAGTACTCGGTAAATGGTACAGCATCATGCCATCATCCGTCCTATACATGTCGAAGTAACCAGGCTATGCATACCGCGTCTTGGAGCAACATGGTCAAGTTACATCCTACTACGTAGTCCAGGATCTTAGTCGCGCCAGCAATTAGAGTCAATATTTGGCGGAAAAATCTCACTCTTCCCGCGGAACCCTAGCTATCACAACATGCATTTCCCTCATCCCGTCACGTTTGTCCTCTGCTTGCTTCCTCACAGCCCGCAGCGGCGTGCAGAAGGCGGGGGGAAAGATCAACAAAGCCACGTCTTACACGCTTCAAGGCAACATCCCCAGATTGGCCAGCCTCGGTGCAAGGAGGGACATAAACGTGCGATATAACAGTTTGTATGAGGGGAAAACGTCCACAGCCTGCCTTAGCTGAACAACCCGCGTCCGCCATGCCTATGCGGCTTGACGTCTAGACTTGCTGTTGCAACCCACGTACAGAATGTGCAAAGTCTTGTCATCACACGGGAAATCCTTCCGGCTGGGTTAGTTTTGTATCTCACAGAATTACGTTATTCTCCAATGGCGTCGCGACGGCAAGTTTCCTCTTCTCTCCGGCGCCGGTGTGGCTTGGACATGCGCATGAAGAGGGCGGTACAAGCCTGCATGGCAGTTACAATATTCGACCTATCCCAAGTCTCCTTTCCTCAGCCTGATATGCCCACTATATTCGGAGATCCCGGCTTTTTGACGTCCCGAGGAGTAATATCCCTAGGGCTGAAGCCAACGAACGCCATCTTTTGTATAAGCAGCCTCGACTGGGTTTGGCCCCCAATCAACGTCTAGATGAAAAGTGCAACTCATGATGGCCTCATCTCTTCTCACCACTTGATTATCCAACAGCCCTGTGAGACGAGAGACAATCAGCTGACATTTCCCTGCATCTTGGTCAAGGAAACTGATTGGGTCTTGAAGTGTTACATTATTCATACTGTTATCCAACTGCCGAAAACCCACGGCCAAACTGGGCGCGTGGAGCATCTAGGACATGAGGCTGAGTCTTGGCCATGCAGCCTCATTCACTTGAAAGTTCAGCTTTGGGAGAGCCTAGTCTGTTATCACATAGTTTGTAATTGTCCTAGGCACCGGGCCCAGCCTCAGAGGCCAAGCCCGCCGCACCCTCTCGGATGTGCCTCATGCTCCTGGATCAGTCAGGCTCGAAGCTGGATGTCTGCCGCTGTTTCCTAAAGGGCGCCCTTCCCCTCTGTGCAGAATCTCTCTTCAAGCGCATCAAAGTTACTTCTTGCATGAAATCTCTTTGCCACGCGTCCCAGCTGCAATCCAAAGATCCCGACGTATGGCAGTAAACCCCTTAACTCGAGGTATGTGCTACTGCATAACATCAACTGGCGGGAACTGACAGACCTGTAGCTATCTGAATCGACTCAAAATGGCCGACATTTACACCCCTCCCAAGGACTCTGCCTATCTCCTCTCGACGGGCTTCCAGATGCCCCACAAGAACGGAGACAAATGGGCCATGGCTTTCGATAGCTATACCGGTACAATCCTGACGGCAGGCCTCTCTGTCGTCATCACCATCTTGTTTCTCTGCCTTTGGAACCTCATCAGTTTCGTCGGCATGTTCTTTGATGGCAAAAAGACCAGACGCCGATACGTCGCGCTGGTCACCCTCTGGAACTCGAATGACCCTTGGTTCGCCTGCAAGGAACTGCTTCATTACGCAGTCCAGTGTCTAAAGGACTCCAAGACTTCGGGTGACTTCTGGTACGGTTTTGGGTTCGGTCTCACGGCCTTCATTGTGTTTGCCGGGGGCATAGTGACCAGTATCATGGTCCCGTCAGCCCTTTTGATTGGCAACGTCGCCCCCGTGAGACCGAGCTCCGTCTTCTACCCCGAACTTCCAGATGGTTCTGTTAGAGCGCTCCAGAGGTTTGGCCTCCTTGCCCCTGCTGCTATGCGTTCTCTGGGCAGCGTGGAGGCGGCCGAGGTCACACTGCGCGAGAGGGTCAGCGTTGAAGAAGAGCCCAAGTTCTCCGACCCAAGGGCTGCCGAACCTGTCAAGGGCGTCAAGTATAACTATTCCCTCTCTGGAGTGGACATGGGCCTCAGATGGGGATCCAAATTGTCCTTGGAGGTGACTGGTGCCTGCATCACTGAGTATGGTTGGGTGGACAAGCGAGCAAACACCAGTGACAGCCCGGGCGACGTGTACCATCTTTGGAACATTGATTCAAGAGATCAAACTGTCTTCGTACCCATCAGCGAAGACGTTATCCGTGATGCTCCTTCGGCATCCTTTATTCCGCACCCAGATGGACACGACCAGCTTCTGAAGAATTCCAATGTGTCCTATGCCGTCGTCATCAACTCTGCCCGTCGGACCAGCATCACCAAGAGCAACGACCCGTGGTATGCCACTGAGAACCGCGATGAGCCGGAGGGGAAAGACCGATACGAGGCTGATTATTGGATGAAACGATATAGACCCATTCTCTCGTGCTGGCAGAATGACCAGTGGAGTTATGGGTCTGAGTTAGTCAACTCCGTGGATGAGCTGAAGAACGTTACCGGCATCAAGATCAAGCCTGTCCTGCTGGAAGTTCTGGAGGCCGCCTTCGGTGACAGTCCCATGATCGTCAAGCTTGGTAGCGCCAGTGGCGTCTCGGCGCTTCGATCTCAGACTACAAGCCCAAATGGCGTCATTGACGCTCAACAATGCACCATGTACAAAGACATGGAACGTCTCATCTTGGCCAGCTTTGTGGCTAGCAGGAGCATCTTTACCGATGCCACCATGTTCGGGATCGGTGATGACACATACCCGAGCATTATCAGGGACACCAACGGGAATCCAAAGAGCGGTGCGGGAGACTTTGTCGTGGCAAGCCCAGAAATCCAGACATTCTCTCTCAGGGGGGTCGTCGCTCTCCTCGTTCTCTTGGGTGTTTTGATCTTTGTAAATGCTTTGGCCTCATGGCTCCTCCGCTTCTTTCATAGGAATCAGGAGGAGGCTACCATCGACGCAGGAGCAGGGAACAATGAAGTCGAAGTCGACCGGTGGACTCGATTCCGTGTGTTGGGGGCTGTCCACCTGTTCCGCTGCCTCTACGAGGGTGAAGGAGATCAAGTAAAGCCTCGTGATTGGAGCTGTGAGAAGACAGTCCCCGATAATACTGCCGAAGGTGACTTCAAGATGCACCTCCTTCGCGGATGCAAAAAGGACAAGTGCATGGGGCACCTGAGCAAGAAGATGGCCGAGCAGAGTGACGGCGGGAGGAGAGACAGTAACCCAAAGGAGAAGAGTCTTGTCACGAACACTGGTGTCAGCGATGACGAGGCAGCTGGTGAGGACCAGGGAATGTTATCATCATCTCCCAAGCGAGTGAACTTGTAGTCTTTGGAGAGATGAGGAATGGTTTGGGCCGAAAGTGAGGAGGGTTTGCTCCAAGACGCGGAGGGACCTCTTTTAGGGCATGCCTTCGAGATTTTTCCAACACAAGACCTAGAGAGGAATCGGGCAGGTGGATCAGAGGAGAATGGTTTAAAGGGAGGTTGGCAGAAAGGTGGTGTGCTGTGTTGCACCGTTGGAATGAGGGTGGCACCCCCAACAATCACTTGCAGTCCTTCATGGTCTTTTGAATATGTACCCGACTTGGAAGAAAATACATTAAGAAACAGTCCATAGCCCTTGTCTTTGGTGTCTGGTGTTATCCCATCACCCAGGTATCCCAGCATCAACAAAATCAAGTAGTAGCCCTGGCAATTAACGGTACGCGTCTTGTACAAGATGTCGAATCCCAAGCAAAAGTTTTATTTCTCAATCTATGTGTCTCTCAACTCCTCAAGGCTAGCGATACCAATCTGTGCCTTGAATCTCCCAGTAGTATTCATCTCCAGCGTCCAGTTGCCCGAACCCATCTCACCAGCTTTCACGGCTGCTAAGGCTGCGAAGAAGACTGCCCAGAAAGAAAAATACCCCGAAAGTATTCATCGATGATACCCTGGGGACTGTTGCGGCGCCAGAAATCTAGTGGATCTCGTCGTCTGTCCTGGGCCAGACCAGTGGCAGCTGCACACGCATTGTGCAAGCTAGAATTGCTAGGATGAACGAAGGGAGCTTCCTCCGCCATCTCATGAAGCACTGCTGACACGAGGGCTTGCTTTTTACTGGTCAGTGGATATCATCCAAAGAAAGGGTATTTGTGCAAGAGTAACAGTACCTCAAATCCCACGATCGAATTGCTCATAGCCGAGCCGCAGTTTTCACAAGTTCCCGCACCGCGGATATTGTTGAACGTACACCCTGGGGTCGTGCATTGACGAGCGGCTTCGAAGCGCGTGACAAGTCCATCAATGAAGTTGCGTGCCCTTTCCTGAGCCACATCCTCGGGGTGATTGAGCAATGGAGCAGTTGTGTTGCTAGGTGTTGCCATTTTGAAGGCGGGGGTTGTGTAGATGATAGTTTTTGTGAGATGGGTAGGCTGTGTGATGGATAGAGTGCATGCAGAGGAACGAAGTGTGTCTGTTGAATGATGAAGGCAAGCTGGAGAGGAATTGTGATGGATTCTGCTCTCTTATATTATCATCAAGGCTCACAGTCATGCCCGCCAGGCCAGTCATGTGAACAACGACATCATGTTTAGCATTATCAAAATTATGATGAATCAATATGGGCCATTCTACTGAGCAACAAGTTTCAGGTCGTAGGGGCTCTTCTCTGACTGAACCCTGACAGTAGAACAAAGGCTCAAAAGCTGAATGACTAGGCGATGTTTGATAATTGAATCCAACGAGCTACTCAACTTCAGATCAGGTCCCCTTGATTGGCCGTTTCAGGCCATGTAAATATACCTTGCACGCTACGGTATCATTATGCCTTACAGGGCAGCCACTGGAGACAGGGGTGAGCAATGCCTCCGGTGCTAAAAAGAAAAGAAAAAAAGGAGGCATTCTGACAACGACAAAGAACGGACGAAACAATAGCGTTAACGCCACATGGCCAGAAACAACACGGGGCAATAATTTGAACCCCTGGTCTTGTTTCGTAGTGCTAGGAGGCCTAAAAGTCTTTGACAAGCAAACATGGGGCGTCAGGGGGGGAACACGTCAAATCCGCGGCGAAATGAAAACTATTCATAGGCCTATGATATCAACCTTTGTAAAGTGACAAGTCATTCTCGGGCACCTAAACCAGCGCTTAATATCCCGGAAAGCTTATCATTGCTCCTCAAGTAAATCCAAAACTGGAATACGGCTCCCCGGCCCCCCCGAGATGTTTTACATCCTCCCCATCGGTTCAAGCAAGAGATTTTTTGTTATTACTATAATCATGGCTATTATTTATATCTGCAATAACGATAAGAAACCACCAGCCATAAGGCCAAAAGACGTAGTTATAGGCACATGAGGGCATTAAAACTCGATGCCGTAAAAGATTGCAAGAGCTCCAAGATCCCCCGGTATTCTTCTTTCAATGTTTCCTGATGCGGTACCGTGAAGTCCTTCTGTCTCCACCACAGGACCTGTCTACTATCCGGATAGGGAGGCACCAGGGCTTTGAACCAAGCCCGCAAATGCGGCGATGATCTTTCGTCCCCTGGGGCCACCTCGGGATTGGCCCCTTTGTCAAGGAGCCATCTTACGGAAGAAATCTGAGCATAGTCTACGGCAACGTGCAGAGGTCGAATGCGGCGAGAAAACCGCCACCCGGATCTCAGATGGTTGCCCTCCCACTGGTGATCTATTGGCGCACCGGCTCTGAGGCAGGCTTGAAGGGTGAGAAGGTTGCCATCCAGTGCCCCAACAAAAATAGGGAGCCAGCTCATCTGCCTGCCCGTTTCTCTGTACAGGTCCAAGATGAGGGTCTGATAGAGGAATCTTGACGTCAAGACTAGACTGCAGCCACCATTAACAGGGGAGAGATGCGACAAAACCTTGAGCAGTATTTTGCGGGGAAGGAGAGACAAAGGGTCTTGACAGATATATCCCTTGACTTCTACAGGCTTGGCTTCCACTTGATCGGGTTTCCACTGGAGAGCCCTAGTTAGCCTTGGATTGAGCAAGGCACCGGCTCTCAGCAAGGAGTCGAACATTCTACGACCCCGGAGCGCCAGTACGTCCCTGTCGGGTATGTGAAGCCGTTTGTGCCTCCATCTGGCAGCCACCTGGAGCTTTTTTTCGTAGTGGCCTTTGAGCAACCGTGACTCGCAGATCAGTTCAAGGGTCCGCCTCTTGCCATTGTCGTCCTTCTCGTAGGGGTTGACCCCTTGACCGAGCATCCACTCCACGGCTTCGACTTGATAATGCATCATGGCTACTTGAAGTGGCTGGTCGCCTTCTTCAATATTGAGAACCCACCATTTGGGGTCATGACTCGGCCATCGAAAGTCGAGTGGCGCACCAGCCTCAACACATCTTTTCATGGTCATGAGGTTACCACTGACCGCCCCAACGAACAAGGGGGCCCAATTAGACCTTCTTCCCCATTCCTTGTACAGTTCTAGTATGAGCAATTTGTAAAGTGTCTTCGAAGCCCGGACTAGATTGAATCCACCGCTATCAAGAGACACATACGAAAATAATTCATACAGAGTCTCAAGAGGTAAGCTGGAGAGCCTGTCCGGGCTTGCGGTTTCCATCTTTGTGATTGTGGCTTAGAGGCATAAGTATTTGATGCTTTGAATGTATAATTTTGGTTGGAACGGATGTTGTGTTTTCTGTCGCTTTCGGCTTGTTTGTTGTTGCTATAGGTGATCAACTGTATACATATATATACGTGGTGGGGAAGGACAAGTCTCCCTCAATCATGGCCGTCGCTAAGCTCCACTATCCGTTGTTTCCCATTATAATCTGTGGTCCTGTCCTCTCATTGTTCCTGATTTTTCCTGCCGCCTAACAATGTTGGAAAAACTTATCTCACCCTGGTGTTAGCGTGGGTGAACCCGACGTTGAAACAATCCCCTTTGTGTTGATGAAACTAACAAAGGCGAGCATCAAAATAACCCCTTTATTAGATGAGGGATTGTTTTTGGGGAGCAGAGCCCTACTCGAAAGCCTTCAAGGCGTGAAAATAACTTTGTGAACGTCATGTTCAGCCCAAGGGGCGACTACGAGCAATGAAAGCTCCTTGGTCAATTCGCTTCTATAGATGATTTTTTATTCTATTTTTGCCGGTTCGCCATATATTTATAGCTGTTTTCTTTGTTCTCGTAGCATAATAATCGAACCACTCAATGTGTTTACCAGATAACGGTCAAGAATGTCGACTTCATCTTTGTTCACAATGCCCAACTCCAAACGACCTTGAAAATCTAAGTAATTAATGAAACTTGGGATCAATATTCGCGGTACTTCCTTTAGAGATTAATGGAACATGAAGTAGATACAACGGTTCCTGACCCATGTTTGCTGGCCGTCCGCCCTTACAGAGACTGGTAGTCTCCTCCGAGACCCTTATTGTAGGGTGGACTATGAAAGTGATTAGATTCATGCATCATTTCCAGTGTTTTTATATCTTTATACCTGAAAAAGTTTCTCATGCCCACGATTGCGGTGGCTCCTCCAGCGTAGATTCCCAACAACCTACTCCAACCCACATTGCCATACACGGACTGACCAACAGCCAATGCAACGAGATCATACACCAGACACCCACCAAAGATCCAGTCGCTAGTAGCTGAAAGCAGGCCGAAACCGATACCCGTGGCGACTTTGACGGTGTTAGATGGCTGCGTGTTGACAAAGTAGGCCACGGAAAAGTTGTGTAGAAGATCCAGCACACCAATGCCAGCAAAGGTCTTTGAGACAATATGAGTAAGGACCGAGTTAGTGGAGCTGGTATCCATGGGGGGAAGGCGTCTTGAAATGTAGTACAGTTGCGCCACCGAGTTGATGACGACAAAGACGTTGGAAACCTTGAGGTTATTGTTGTTCCAGAAGATCATCCAGGCTAAACTGTCAGCAAGTTTAATCAGGTAAATACCAAGTGCTCTTACTAGCAATGCAAAAGTTACCCAGCGCATAAAAGGGCGCAAAGTCAACCATGCTGGAGACATCCTTTTGGGACGCCTCGGCCTTGTACAGGCGCCAGAGCCAGGCCAGCTGGAATAGCTGTTGAGGGAAAAAGAATCCAGCGATAAAATATGGCTGGGGAGAAAAGAAGGAGATGTTTGCATCATGAATGTCCTTCATGTTGGGGGAACTGAGCATTCCGTATGTCTGCGCAGCAAAGTCGATGACGAAGGAAGTCGGTGCGAGCCACCTCGCCGTTGAGAGTTCAGCGCCCATGATTGTAATTTTGAACAGTAGTGTATGCAAGATAAGCTTTGAGAGGGTTTGTCGACGATGTTGTTCTTTGTTGTGCAGTGTTTTATGTTGCAAGGAGCAAAGAGAAAAAGAAATATTTCTGCTTGCCAGCTGCAAACCTTTATTTCAGACCAGTGTCTGTATTCTCGTAAGCTAGTCGAAAATCGATGACATGTACGACTTGGCTTGATCTCGTTCAAGGGTCAGCGGAATATAAGATCCATCGGTTGTGGATTAGCGTCATCGATTCCATCGAGAACGTGCATGACAGCATGATACCCGATCGGCGTTCTAAAGCAGGCAATGATACGTCAAATAATTCCTAAAAACTTTGAGATGATGATAGCTTTTAGTTGTTGGATTATCGGTTGCTTGGAAGAGGCAGCAGACTTTCCAACATATCAATACAAGGCAATTGCGTCTATGATGCGAGGTGTACATACTTGAAAGAGATTCACTCCATTTGAGGATAAAATAAAGTTGAAATATCCGTTGCTTACAGTCTATCTATTGAAACCCAAAATCAAAAATCATTTACATCATCAACGCCAGTCTATCCCAAGTTCAACCCCTGAACCCTCACTCCTCAGGATTCGACTCCTCCCACATATTCTTATACAAATGACACCGCAGGTCAAGCAAGGTAGGCTTGATAACCTCCAATCCATCACCTCCCTTCGTGTCGCCATCAGGCCTCACGCCATCACCAAGCACTCCAACCTTGGGCACTTCATCCCATCCGGGCCCCTCCTCTGGGTCCTTGACAAAATCGGCCCATGCCTTTTGCATCACTCTGCTAAGCTTGTCTTGATACTCTGTAGCTCCTTTCTTAGGAAAACTGCCAAACAGGGTGCTAAGCTCAGCAGCGTGATATGCTCCGCTTCCTTTAAATATCTCAGTGTTCTCAAAGCTCGCGTTGTAAATGAATCGCCGAGTCTTGATGCCAACCGAGGAGAACTCGTCTGCCATGAACTTTGTTGGACACTGCGCACCAATCTCGGTGACTATGGTGGTGATTTGGTCAAACTCGTTGTTGATACCTGGAGATCCAATAGGGTAGAGGCTTCGAAGTAGCCATATCTGGGCGGGTGTGATACCAGAGGCAAAGTGAGACAAGGCCTCCTCCAAGGTTATTTCTTTGAGTTCGGGAAGCCGACCTTCCTCGGCAGTGGTTCCGATTAAGATTGGAACGCGGGCCATGGACTTTGGTTCCTCCTCTGACTTGAGACGTTGTCCACGAGGGTAATTTGCCTGGGTGACGCCATCATCAGCAAGTGGCATAAAGGTGAGTGCTGCCCTCTCGACAACGTCCCGGAGCTTGTCAGCAGGCAACTCTCGCATGCACTTGAGGGTTTCGTCAAAGTTGCCTTTCTTGCAGCCAGCTTTCTCTGTGGCATTTACCCAGGATCCGCTTGGCGTCAGAGAAGTCTTTGCTGTGCCAGATTGTATGATAGCACCGCGGAAGGGAAGGGGGTCCGGAGGAGCGGTAAGAAGAGCATCGACACCGGCTGCACCAGCGCTCTCTCCAAATATGGTGACTTTTTCGGGGTCACCTCCAAAAGCCTTGATGTTTCTTCGTACCCAGTCTAGGGCAAGACGTTGATCGAGGAAACTGATTCAGATTAGTGTCTGTTACAAACTGAAGCTAGAGGAGTACTCACCCAGGGTTAAGTTCACCCTTTGGCAGGTCAGATGTTTCAGGAAAGCCAAAAATGTTGTTTCGGTAGTTGAAAGTAACCACAATAATGTCCTCATACCCTGCCATCTTCGACCCGTCATACAGCGGCAGGGATCCTGATCCGTGGTGAAAGCTTCCTCCATAGATCCAGAATGCAACAGCCTTGGAACCAGGCTTCGACCCTGCCGGGGCAAAGACATTGATGTTGAGACAATCTTCACTATCCCCGGCAGGCGGAGGAGGAGTGTACCAGATCTTGATACTCTCATTCCTCTTGTCTTCAGGGTAGTTGAACTTGGGTACGCAAGCGGGCTTGTGCTTTGAGGCATCGTAGGGCTTTGACCACGATTTGGCTGGTTCAGGTGGGGCGAAGCGTACAGGAGCTTCAGCGAAAGGAATACCGAGGAACTTGTTGACGGTGACTTTTGAGTCTGGGATGGATGTGGTAGTGCCTATTACATCTCCCGTGTCGATGACTGCCGTTGGGCTATCAGATCCTCTTTGATGGGGAATTGCAAGTGCTGAAGCGGCGCGCAAAGCCGCGACCAAGATATTACGAGAAATCATCTTGTTGCTTGTAATAATAATGCTATGAGAGAATATCAACTATCTGTCTACGGACTACCTAGGTTATATAGGATGACGATGCTGAGGTTCTAGGCGCATGCTGTCAGCCAAGCATTGGCAGCCCCAGCGGTGGCTGAAGCCCATACTCGACTTTGAAGCCATAAGTGGCTCGCGCATGATTTATCTCCATTAAGGGACCACAAAGATGATTTGAAAGCAAGGATAAGATCAAAGCTGAAGTCTTGGCCTGTCGAACCTGTGCATGCTGACCTCCTTACCTGTTAGGGCGAAATCGAGCGCCTGAAGTTTATGATTGGTCAGTATTTAGGTTTCGGGAGACCCCACAAGGCTTCTAGCGCTGCGATGTCATCAACCTTTATCTCAACGGCGGCGGGTCAGCCCGAGATTGGTCAAGCGTGCCTCCTCAGCCTCAACTTATTTAAGGCTGGAGATCCTTCAGCACTGCCCCCCGTTATGGGGAGGTATCGAGGACATGACGTGGTTGATCAATTCGCCTCAGTCTTGACCATCTGTCTTTGGTCCATTGACTCTATTCCAGATCTCCCCGCCACTTGACAAGAGGCTTTCTAACAGAACGTTCTGACTAATTCTAGGTATGCTGCTGAGTTTTGGTACGTATGTCAACTTAGTACCTAGGTAGGTAATAATACCTGTTGGCTCATATGTGGACTGACAGTGAGCAATAACACCTCACGCTGTATTTTATCATCTTAAGTTCTTTCTTGCTTACAGACGTTTTATATAAATCTTATTATGCAGTCTGAGAGGGCTATTACGACTCCTTTAATCAAATTCTATCACTCTTCTCCCCTCCCTCATCTCATCCAAAGCCCGGCAGCGCCCTCGAAAGCTATCCAACTCGAGGGGTAGCTCAGGGTAAATACTCATCGATCTCACCATCTCGGACAAACTTCCGACAGCGTCTTCCAGCTGCTGTGCCAAAGGTTGCAGGCCATAGAATGCTTCCTCGTGTCTCAACGAAACTCTCAGCTCTCTAAACGTCCCAACACATTTGAGAACCAGTTGCTGATTTTGGCCACCGTTTCCGAGTTGAAGGTCAACGTCTTTGAGCTTTTTCTGGGTCCTTGCACATAGCAAAATGAACCCCTTTGTCTTGTCAGCAATGGAGTCGCTTTCCTGCATGAAAGGATTGTTGCTTGACTCCGTGTGCTTTCTCACTTCCATAGAAATAGTCTCTAGCCAGGAAATGACGTCTAGTGATAGACCCAGATCTCGTGGTGAGATTTCGAAACGGGAACAAATGTCTAAACAGTGGTTGACATGCGGGATGACATGCACATCTCCTTGTCGTTGATTGAGCTCGTAGAAAAGCTGCAAGAGGTCCCTGATTTGGTGTCTCCGGGCTTCATCACTAGGTAGCAGCTGCGCAAACTGCAAAACAAGTGGGTGAATGTCGAGCTTTTTAGATCTTCGTGGCCCGTTCGAAACAAAGAGCGAAACATCTCGAAGCTTCTCAAGCCATTTTGACACCACCAGATATTCCGATTGAAGAACTACGCCATGAGGCGAAACATCTGCCTGTGAGAGTAGTCCTTTCTTACTGGTCTTCAGAAAGGAATCTATGCAATCGTCGTCTGTGCGGAGATAGGGAAGCAGCTGTAGAAGCTTCACGGCGTTCTCCGAGCCCTCTTTCTGCTTCAGTAACTCGATGGAGCTATTGAAGACATCCCAAAGAGACCGATCAGTCCGGTCTCTTGCCACAAATTTGAAAAAGATTTTCCGCTCTTCCCCGGTCCCATTGTCGAGGATTCGAACAAACTCTTCTGTCGGATTGTCGAATGTTCCAAGATATTCCAAAAGAAAGGGAACCACGTTTTGTGCTGCGAGGGGATGACCTTGGATAGCTCTCGCCAAACTTTGAAAGTCTCGTCTATTGAAAAGCTGCGAATCCTCTGGCGACAAGTCGTGTATTGACTTTTGCAGGAGAAAGGCCGTGTCGTTGTCGGTCAAGGGCGCCAATCGAAGATCCTGGGACTCTCTTCCAGGCCCCTTGAGGTTCGAGTCTCTAGTCGACATGACTATATGCCATGCTGGATACTTGAGTGCGCTTTGAATGCTTGAAGCCCCGAATATCTCTGCGTCGTCTAAAATGAGAAGTGAATCCCTGTTAAAGTCCTTTCCCAGCCAGTCGACAAAGATTTGAATCCTTTCAGGCGTTTCAGTCCGTCGCCAACGCTCCCAGTTGACACTCGGGTTCTCGATCATATCAAATCCGATGCTGTGACAGACGGTGGAGAGGGCATCTTCCAGCTTCTTGGAGTTTTGAGCTCTGAGGAAGAAGATGTTTCGGCGGTATCTGTGCTTGGCCGCGAATCTCATGAGCAGCTCCGTCTTCCTACACCCTCTGTTAGCAAAAGAGACTAGTCCCGTAGGTAGTGTTGCGTACCCGATTCCTGCTATACCTTTGACGACCGTTAACTTCGGCCTTGTGGGAGGTTGAGTCACTGTCATCTCGAGCTTACTCATTTCTTCGTTCCGCCCGACCAACGGCGTTTGAAGCGTAAGTCGATACTGAATCTCATTCATCTCACTACCCTCCCACCAAAAATTCTTGTTTGGTGGGTATGCATGAGCAACAAAGCGTGGATGGCCAAACATCTATTGACTCTATCAGACCTAGTCATCCTTCGTCTTTGGTGCATCGGCTGATCTTACACGTCGTTCCTGTCCTTGTTCAGGTTCCAGCCTGCCGGTTAACTCTGAAAATACTTGGTTCAAAGCAGAGCTAACGGTAACGTAGGCCCCAAGTTTTGTGCTAAACTTGCAGACTGCGCTGTGATCCTGGTGTAGAAGCATGACGGCAGGGTTTTCGGGGTCCAAAGATGCCGAGGCTTGCGTGACAACCTGTCAGGAGTAAGCATGGGAATTAAAGAAAGAAAGAAGTAAGATAGATTTGAAATAAACTTACGTGTTGATGTGTGCCCTTTATGAGCTTCTTGCGACCTTCGGCAAAACATCGAAAGGGAGGTCGTGGGGTTAGCTTCAGAAACGCCTTCTTATCCCAGACAGAGGCAGGGTTGAATGACTGAAGATGCGAAACAACCTCTGGTCTAACGCCGGCCACTGTTCCGGCAGCTGCTACTATAAAGTCGCTCCAATCCGCCTTGGTAGTGCCAGTATGTGGGGTTGCAAGAAAAACCAGTCCACATTGTGACACAGTGATGCCCTTGATGTTGGATGTTGGAAGCTGTGACATGGCCTATGATGTCCCGTATCATTATATATCTCCAAGATGAGATCTTAAAAATTGGTATGTATCTTACCTTTCTAGCGACCAGGCCACCCAATGAGTGGCAGACAAAAAGTAGTGGGCGTGCTTGTTCCTGCAGGCCATGTTAACTCAATATGGTCAAAAGGCTGTCCAAGACTCATCGCAACTCGTTACCTCTTCACAGGCCCTTACTTCACTTAAGCAGTGAATCAGCGACTCTGCCCAGTTCTCCAGCCCCGCCACGGTGCCAGGATCTGTCAAGTCGGAATCATAGCCGAAAGTCATGATTCGGCTGTTGCTGAAGTACTCCGAAGAAGGAAGGTGGTCCCGGAGCCACAATATGCCCTTATCAGAAGCATTCCACGTATCCATGGCGTTCCCGCCGAGCCCGTGAACAGCACAGATGCTGTACAGCCCCTAACGTCAGCAGATGCGAACTCCAGGGAAGAGTCAACTTACTCCATATCCACTTTGGCCCTTTTGCTTCTCTGACTGCCTTCGGCTCTCTTATCTGCTCCTATTCTTCCTTTCCCTTCGTCATTTTCGATTCCTCCCTCATTCTCTTCCTCGGCCGCAGGTTCGTAGAGGACCGTAATTCCCTGGAAGTTGTTCGACAAGTCCCAGTCTTTCCACGGATAGCCAACATCATCCCTCCTTGCCCTCTCATGCCTCTCAAGGACTATCTCGGATGTCTTCTTGGATGAAAAGGCTATAGTCCCGACCTCAAGGCTATGTTGACTAGCAAACGAGGTACGAATACCGTCATCACTGCCTCTCACCAAGGGGGTACCATCATCCTGACCACTTGTGGAGGGCGAGACCGGCCGCGAAGGCTCCGCCGGTATTCCTAAGCTGCGTTTGCTGATCTTCCTCCAATGCTTAACCTTCAAAGAAGAGAAGATGGACTGTCTCTTGCAGTCTCCCGCTGCGGAGACGCTTCGTACGAAGTCGGCAAACTGCTCCTTGGTGGTATAGTCAGGAATAGAAGAGACTCTAAGGGCATATTTGCTCTCCAGTGGCATCACGTCGGCTGGTGTGAGAGGCAGGTCGGGTAAGCAGATAGGTAGAGGAGAGGATGGTCTGAGGAAGCCAGGTTTGAGCGAGGAAACCCCAGAGCCTTGTTTTGATGGTCACTAGCAAGAAGCAATGTGATCAGCTGAAAACCATCTAAGCCAATCATCTACGCGCCAAGGGTCAATCACCCCGACAATCTGCATCAGGCTCCCCGTTAGGTGCCGTGGTTCGCCATGTTCACAGCCTGCTTGGGATGCCTTGTTAGGACAGCTTATGCCAAAGATACTTAGAAAGTACGGGCATGATCTTGAGTCCATGCATTAATAATTTAGAGATCATTGTTTGAAAATTGATTAAATAGTACACGTGTTCTATCCAAGGCCTGGTTAATTTTTGTAACGTTTTTATGATGTTGTATATCCCTTGTTACCTCTTCCTTACGTGTAGATGTAATGTAGTAACATGCCAAATTTGTTAGCGCTGTGCTCTATCCTTAGCAAGCCCGTCAACAACAGGAGTCCTTCATGCAGCTGGGAGCGGGGCAGATAATGGCCAAATGTTTCAACCGTACCCGACTCATCTTGCTTTCTCCCCATCTTCTCAATCGCTTCCATGGACGAAAGCGAGAAACCGAGTGGCATGGATCAGCTGCATCAGCTTCTTCTCAGCTTTCAGTGCCAGCGAGTCCCTTTCGACTTGATCAGCCGAGCCTCCGAGCCAAAGTTATCATGGTCTGCAACTGGTGAAATCGAGCAGATACAGCCCCACGAAGGGGGAGTGCCGCAATGGCTGCTTGACCTCCGGGAAGCACACCAGTGGCCTTTCGACCATGATGACGATGTCGCCGACCCGGAACACGACGGTCTACGCCTTGTCAACGACTGCGGCGTCTGGTATTTCGAGGTACAGCCAACCGACAGTTCGGAAGTGGACGAGTACGAGCAGAGCCAGGAAGCATACGCCTCGCAATGCGTCTGCATTTTCAATCACGCATACCCCTGTCGAAACACAGAAGTCCTCGGCGAAGAAATTGCTGCTCGTCTGATGCCCCTTGCAAAAGTATTTCTACTACCTTTGCTCGCTTCCGTCTCTGAAAATGACATTCAGGATTGGCTCCTGCCTAAAGAGAGGTAAGCAGCGCTCTTCAGATGAACCCCAACCTCGACACGGGAAGAGATAGTCGACACACTGGCTTGACTGTGAAATCATATAACTACCTATGTCCAAAGGCTTGGCAATTATCAGAACTCGGATGGGCCTTTACGCTCTCTCAGCTCTATTTTATCCAAGAATAGGATCATAGTCAAAGGGCACTTACTAATTCTCCCGTTATTTTCTTTTGCTCTTGTAGCACTACACAGCTCAGCATTTACTACTCATCCCCTGAATTCGATCCTAACAACCAGAGAAAGTAGCCAAGCCAGTGTTCTAACTTAGGCTATCTATTAGTGAGGTGTCTATAGCAGCTAACGAGCTATTAGAACAGTTCCATTCGCAGTTAGTCTCTTTGACTGTTTGCTACAAGTACTCAACTTCCTGGGGCCTCATAGTCCTTTGTACCCGGCAAGCTTCCCTCGAAAGATGGTCAATGCTATCGACACACCAACAACTCAAGGCTCTGTAGCGCAAGACCGTGGAGTCGAACCTTGCCTCACAGTTGTCCTTGAACTGATTGAGATTATATCTTCCTCTTCGCTAGACGCCTTCGAAAGACTCGCCTCGAACATCGCTTGCGGCGATCTTGATGAGAGGTCCAACGCGTGGTCCGGCCTCACACTTATGGTACTTCTGTCCAGTCAGACAGCGGAGAGGCCACGTCCAAAGGCCCTTTCAAATTTCATTGCCAAGGCAGCTGCCTCTTGGTATCCAAAATCGACAACAAGCCCATCCCCTATGGAATACCTCCTTGCCATCGAATTGCTTCCACGCGCTCAACTCCGGACCATCTCACTTCCAGAATCCCTTAGAGTGAATACAGAGCTTAACGTTCTCCGGGGGCTTCTTCTTTCCAGGATTCAATACTACGACGAAGCTTCCAGGGTCTTGTATGATGCTATGCCGGCTGCCATCTCTCACTGGGGCATTGCGTCTTTCCAAGTTGGGATTGTTGCCGCCGAGAGTGCCAATTGTTACAACATGCTACGAAAGGAGGATGTTGCCAACACAATAGCGACTCGATGCCTTGCTGCGAGAAGCACCCCCGAGCTCATCGGCCGGCAAGATTGGTTTTATCTAAGTCTCTATCTCGTAGATTCTCTCATTGGAAGTGGGAAATACGGAGAGGCAAAATCAATTCTTGAACACCTCATTAGCCAACGGCCGATTACTCCTGCAATCCACATGATGGGTTGCTTGCGTCTCTCCAAGATTCGCCGACGAGTCTCGGCAGAAAGTGGAACCATTGAATTTTACCACTTCTTACGTGAAGGACTTGGCCTATTGGGTCAAGTACCCAGTGCTCTTCGAGAAGAGTATTTGGAGGAAGCAGCCTGTAGTCTTTCGGCGGCAGTGGCAACAACACAGGGGAGTCTTGAGGCACAAGAAACCCTGATAGATGATATCAACGCCCTTATAGGCCAGGCAGGTCTAAGGGAAAGTCCGGCACAAAAACGATATGCGCAAGCACAACTTGAGTTCAAGCAACGCACCCTTCGACAAGAGGACAGCATTGTATCAGGATTTGGCATCCCTCGGGTGGACTCAATTACACTAGCCGATGATGCGGCCGGCCGCGCGCTCACAACATCCTCATCTATCATTGATGGCACCACAACATGCATTGCGACCGAAAAAGTCTTCTCTATTCCGTACGGGAGAATTGAGTCTTTTATCACGAGACCGGAGGTGCAGAAGAGGATTGATCTTCTTAACATTGACTGTGACGACCACATGCATGTGTACTGTATCCACGGAGAGGCGGGCATTGGCAAAACGGCCTTCGTTACCGATTTAGTACAGACACTTCCATTCTCTTGTCCTGCCGTTATCTGGATTCAGGATGGCCCATTGGATGAAATCTGCGACAACCTTCGGAAATGCGCTATGCAACTCGAGCTACAGGCCGTCGGATCGTCAACACCAGTCTGCCAAGATCAAGCCCTGGAGCAATTGTTCAAATGGTTTCAAGATCCAAAAACACTTGCTTCAGATAAGCCATGGTTGCTCGTGTTTGACGGCATTGAAAATGAACAAGTCCTTGATCAGATTTGGCCACACGGAGGTAGGTTTGGTAACGTCATTGTTACCACTCGAAAAGGGCCTTCGTTACCGATTACGTCTGACATTAGATTCATCAAAATGGAACAACTGGACCTAACAAAGGCAACGCAATTGGCATCTTATTACCTTCCCAACTCTGAAATCCTACGGCGGACCTCGGGAATTTCTCCAAGAACTTACAAGACAAAAGACCTTCATTCATTGGTGAATTTGCTTGACTGTCACCCAGCTGCTATCAAACCAGCGGCATCACTCATCTCACGAGATGGCATGTCTATACGGGATTTCATTTCCGCATTTAAACAGGTCCAAGCATCTTACTTAAGCTTGCCAGCCATGAACGAGATTCGTCGACAACCGAACCATAGCCTTCCCCTCATCACAATCTGGCTCAGTCAATCCCACGAGAGTGACCATTTGATGAATGTCATCTCTCTTCTCTCTGGCCTTGAGATTGAAGAAAGGTTTCTATGGCCCAATGATGAACTCATCAAAACTAACGACTATCCTCGAACCGTCGAGGATTTTGAGATGATGATGGACCAGCTGCTCGAGTCGACCTTGATCTGGAGAAGTCGGGGGCATACTCTCTGCACTTCCACAACTGTGCAAGCTATTCTTAGGGGGCGCATGAATTCGAAATCATTCAGTGATGCCTACTGCAGAGCCCTTCTCTTGCTTCATCACTCATGGCCCTGCAAGTTTGAGGCCCTTCTCTGGACTGACTCCTCCCTTTCAACTCACACGACGTGTTCTGACCTATGGCCCCACGTTTTCAGCCTCACTGAGCTGCTCCATCTGTATTCTTCATCACCATGGCGTTTTTTCGAGATCGTCGAGATACTTGAGGCTATTTTAAACATATCATGGTGCGTACTCAACTCCTCAGAGCTTAGCTCAACGCTCCTTCAACTCCGACATGCCAATGTTAACCAACCCCAGCTGCGCCATCATGTGCAATGACTATCATAATGCCAATTTATTTCTTGGCCTGGCTATCGACAACCTCGACGAGAGTGTCTTAGAACAAGGCGTTTCAGGCCGGATTTCTCTCAAGTTGGCCCGACAGCGGTGCATACTCAGCCATCACCGAGGGCGACTCGCTTATCGCCAAAGGTTACACCAAGAAGCTAAAGCTCACTTTAGACGCTCTTTTGTCATAGCTGTTCAAGAACTTCAGCCCGGATCGGAAGACTACTGGGTCATTCAAGCCACTGCTCACCAGGGACTTGGTGATGTCCATCGGAAAACAGACGATTTTGAGGCTGCCATAGTCTCCTATGAGATGAGCATCAAAGCCCTCATACATGTCGAAGAAAAGTATAGGCGACATCTTTCAGCGGCAAGGATACGCCTGGGGCTCTCGCTGCTGTTGAATGAGCAGCCTGAAGCCGCAGAGAGCGTGCTGGAACAAGCCCGTCCACCAAGTTCCGCTGCAAGCGTACATGGTGACATGCCAAATCTCTCGAGGTATGAATGCTACTCCAGGCAAATAATGTAATGAATTTAACAAATATAGAAATCTACCCTTGTTTCTTGGGCTTGCCATTGCCAAGTTGGTCCAAAACAAGGCAGAGGAGAGTCTTCAACTGGCTTTGGAATGTCAAAGTAACAGTCCACCCCCCTTCGTCTTCCATCTCGTCATGTCTATTAGCTATGGGCATCTGTCCAAGTTCGGCCCTGCCCTGTAAGTAACGCTAAGATGAAAGTCGAGAACATGGATGATGAAGTTACCTACTGACAATTGCCATCCAGGGAACACTTGGATCGAGCCAGAATGGCTTTTGGTTCAAGCGGTACTTTCTCCGCAGAATTAGGTCTTCTAAGACAGCAAAAACATGCGTTTAACTTGATGCGCCAAGGGACCTGGGGAAGCTTGGAGTTGCAGACATTTTTGGGGGGATGGGGTCACTTTTTCGATGAGCCGGGGTTTCTCAACATGCATTTTTTTGCTACACATGTAATATCTTATCTCTCGCGCAATCTGTAGATGCATTCAGAGGGCATCACCAAATATCTCCTTTAAATCACAACGAGCTCTTCTTCAAGGTCAAGTCAATATAGATCGATCATGGACTTGGATTAACATTCCCGTGTTTGTTTTATAGTTCAGGACTTAGGTGCTCTGTTGCCCGACTTCGAGAGTGCTGGTCAGCTGGACTATCCCTCACATGTTAGAGGCACTGTAATTTGACGTCGATGTTTTATTGCGCGGTCTTTAATAAAGAAGCCAGAAGCAAAAACGGCTTCAAAGTGATTTCCGTCAATTCATATCCGCATAACTCCAACGTCAACCCTCTCCCAACATCCTACCCCCCATCTAGGACAGATCATCCATCCTCACATCCCCAGTCGACTGCGAGGTCTTTGGAGGCTGATTCTCCCAGCTGACCCCTCTGGCAGACTGATGCTGTCTCAACGCAGCCTGTTGTCTGGACTTGCGCCTGTAGAGGAAGAAGGCGGCGGCAGCGATGAGGGCAACACCAGCGACAGCGCCAATGACGATACCGGCGATGGCACCACCCGACAGACCAGAACTACCGCTCTTCTTATCGGAAGATCCACTCTCAGATCCCGAGGACTCATTGTTTTCATTATCATCATCGTCGTTGTCGTTGTCGTCGTCTTCATCATCGTCATCGTCATGGTGAGGATCACCATCCTTGTCCGTATCGTAGTCCTCCTCAGGCTTGGTAGCATTAAAGCACGGAATATACTCATCAAAGTCCAACAGCTCAACAAAGGTAATGTCTGCGCAAGCGTAAAAGGTCTGGTTGTGGGGCGTGTCGAAGGCGGCAGTGTACTTGATCTGTAGGGTCGCGTTGTCGCCGGCGCTGACGGAGCTGGGAGGATCGGGCACCGACATGCAGGTGTGGCCCGGATCGATCGACTTGAACTCTTTGGGGTCGATGAGTGTGGTAAAGTCTGCGTTGGACTCGGGATCTATATATTGTTAGAGGAGTGACCGTGTGATGGTAGTGAAGGTGCGTACTTTGTTCGAACGAGATGCTCAACTCCATGCTGAACGACTCGTTCTGTCCCACGAGCGCAACCTTTCCCTTCTCTACTTCATGTCAATAATAGAACCACAAAGTCTTCAAGCGAAACATACGCATAGGAAACTCGCTCCTGTTTCCCGGGTTGGCCACCGAGCCGCAGGGCGCCGTGTTGTCCATGGCGGCAGACCACACTCTATCAGCCGGCCACATAAAAGCGGCGGGGCCCATCTCATCAGTATCGCCCATATCGGTAGCAGCATAGGCCGAAGCGGCCATAAAGGCCAGGCCGCTAAACACTGTCTTGAAAGACCACATGTTGGGTGCGAGCAGATGGAGGATGGAGAGGGTACAGTCCAACACTCGCGATGGTGGCACCCGAGCAGTTCGGCCTTAATATACCAATCCCATCGCTATCCGCCAAGTCCCATGTGGCACTGGCACTCTATCTGCTTCGGTACTGTCACAATTCGACACTCGCATATCCCACTCATGCAGAGTCACCGACCCGACTCTCAAACCGGCCATCCCGCAGGTTACCCCTCCCGCCGAGCCCGCTATCAAGAGCGTTGGACAATTAGAATGGCTGGATTTGTCTGCTGTTGCAAATTTTTTAGCGCATCGGCTGCACTCTAAAGGAACTATTGTTGCAGCCTCTACGCAGACGACATGGGCCTTGTGTGGATTGAGTTATTATCAGATGATCAGATAAGATTCCCACCAGTATCTAATCAGATCAGCCACCACCCCTCCATTGGCCAATCCCCTCCTCCATCACCACACTTTCATCCACCAGCCAAGGATCCAAGGTCTCTGGGCGTGCATAAGTTCAGAGCCATGATAGCAGGGATACGAGGTCGAAAAGAGCTGCCGTTTTTGACAGTATGAGTCAAGCTCGTTGGGACTGGCAGAGCAGGCGGGGCTGGGACTTGCCATGATATGCAGTGTGCTGTAATCATGGGGAGATGGAGGATCCAGTCCCTGGCTCGTGTAGCTCGGTTCCAACAACGTTTCTGGATTCCGATAGGCTCATGTTTGTTTGGCGAGTTCTTTTAACCGTCTTGGGCTTTCTCGCATGACAAGGTGGAGGCTATAAGTAAGCTGCTCTCGCCAGTCGCCAACATCTCCATGTAAAGCATCCTCCTCAATTGACTCTATTCGACGTCTTCAACACTCTCATGCTGTATTCAAGATGCAATTGACTTACACAGCCGTCATTCTTGGCTCCCTGGCCTCTCTGGCCTCAGCTACTGTCAAGCGCGAGCTCCCTTTCCCAGACTCTGTCCCTCTGCACAAGCGACAGCCTTCTGGTCCTGAGTACCAGTGCCATGCAAACTGCGGTATGTTCAAGTCGCATGGGTTCTGATTGAAACCAACTGACATTCTACCCCAGGCTACACCATTCTGAACGCCGACGAGGAAGGCTACTGCGACAGCGACGAGTGGAAGAAGCTCCTCGCCGATTGCCTTAAGTGCGCCAACCAGTATGACATGTGGGGAGACTATGGCAACGGCGTCACTGGTGCTGCCAAGGCTTGTGGTATTGATGCTGTGCCTGAGGGTGCTGCCAGTGGCTCTGCTACAGGTTCTTCTGCTGTCGCCGCTACGACCGTTGTCACATCCGTGACCAGCGCAGCAGCGACTTCTGCTGAAGTGACCTCCGCGGAGGAGACCACGGCTGCTGCTGAGACCACTTCTGCCGCCGCCGCTTCATCAACCGCTGCTGAGACTGCTGCCACCACTGCCGAGAGCTCTGCTGATGCCAACACGGTAAGAGTCTGTCCCTTGACAAGACGATTGACAGAAGCTAACTGTGTTAGACTCCCGGCGCCGCTCCCACGACTACCGAAAATGACAACTCTGCTTCCAACCTTGCGCTCTCTGGTGTTCTGGCTGTAGGCGCCGCTCTTGTTGCCGCAGCCGGCCTTCTGTAAACGAACAGAAACGCGATAACGACCCTGTTACGAGCCAGAACAGCCAAGATGAGATGAATATAGTAATAATATGCCAAGTTCGATGCCCAAAACTGCATTGAAACGAATCGGTTCCACGTTGTTATGACCTCTGTGAACTTCCTCTGGATGGCTTCCACCCCAGGTCTTACTGGACAGTCATCAGCGACTTCGATCTCCGAATGATATCGCTGCGTCCAACGACTTGCCAGATCAGATCAAGATGCGATGAAAGAAGATCACCTTGCACACAATGAGATGATGCACTCAGGCCAAAATGTATGCCATCATGAAACATGTGGCAAGATGGTTATTGATATAACACGACGCTTCTGGTACGCTGGATAAAGCTCTTGTAAGCAAAGAAAACACCCAAGATACGCCCATTCATAAATCTTCGTCAATGCCCGTAAGCATGCATCGTCTACCTCAGAGCCATGCCCCCAAACGCCCGGTCCAACTCGGCACCCTGATCATCAGCAGGAGGCTGTCCAATTGGCCCTTGAGGCTGTTGAGGCTCAGGCAAACTCTGCTGTTGCTGCACCGGCGTGCTTCTCTCTGGCTCGAGGATGTGCATCTCGCTGTCCAGCCAGCCGGGCGCGACTCTCCGCTTCTCAGCGAGCTCGCGCGCCTGGATCCTCTCATTGAACTCCCTCAACTCCCTTTCAGCTTCCTCTTGCATCTTGGACACGTGCGCTTGAAGTGCGCGACAGGATGCGATAATGTCTTCGGGATGCGCGGCATGGCCAGAGCCTGATACAACGTACTTGGGCCTCGGTTGGTCTGAGGGGTTGTCGGATGCAGCCTCGATACCCAATGATGAGGGGGGAATATTCGAAGGCATGGTCTTGTAATTGTATGATAGTGTCGTCGCAGTCGGGAGTGATACAAAGGGAGAAACTGTTAGAGGAACCTGCTCCAGCAGGGGATGAGAGCCTGATGCCGCGTTAGCCAGTCCATGATGCATACGTCGAGGCAGCAACTCGACTTACGGTTATTGTTATGCATGATCTTGCGTATCCGAGGTCCTGTCCTCGAGCGTCCTTCAGAAATTCCTTGTAAATCCTGATCGGAAATGAGAATCATTTGGTGGTTCCACAAGTTCAGTCGTACACCATTTAAATCGAGGACGATAATCGCGTTGAATGCTGAGCTGAGGTTTAAGTAAGAGTGATCGGCGCGCGCCGAGGCTCGTCACCGACTGACGCAACGCGATAAGCTAATCCTTATCGATAGGATCTGATAAGCTGATAAAGCTCCAGCCCCTCGTCGCCATGGACATTTTTGCCTAGAACCCCTCCAAGCCAAACTCAAGCTCATCTACACAAGGACATTCAGGATGACAATCACAACAATCCGCGCAAAGCCGTCTCTCGGCGACTACACGCCCCTGGAGGAGTACCAGTCTCAAACTCCCCAGAGCTTTGTGAGCGGAAAGCCAATCCTTCACTATCATATCGAGGGCGCAAAGGCCCAGATCCCTAAGGCGGATAGCGGCAGTCTCGCTCTATTCCCTGCCGACTCGAACCAGAAGCCTGAGAACGACGGCGTTAATGGCGACGCCGAGAAGTTTGTTGAGCAGACGGTCGATGTCTTTGTTAGCTCCGAGTAAGCATTTCACACTTTCATCTCAACTCCTATCTAACTTCCTCTAGGAACGTCATCCTCTTCAGCCTCAAGGCAGAAGTTGGCATCACGATCCCATACCCCTCGATAGGCATCCACGGCACTCAGATGGTTGTTGACATCGCAAGTGGTGAGCGCCAAGAAGCTGTGTGGATGCAGATCGAGCTCTCCGATGGTGGCGCCGACGACGACGAGTTCGACACTGTTTCCCTGACCGTCATCCCTCCCAAGGCGGAATCCGGCCCCAGCTCTACCCAGCAGATGTACTCGGCCATGTCCAACTGCTCCGACCTTCACCCCGACCCTAACGATGGAGAGGATTCTGAGGAGGATGACGATCGTATTGTCTTTGAGAGTGCGGTCGAGCACGAGGCTGTTGAGGGTTTCACCGGCGTTCTGCGGGGAGCTGCAGATGGCGGTCTCCCTCCTCCTATGCCTGGAAGTGGTGGATGGATCACGGCGGATAATGTCCACGAGTACTTTGATAAGGACGGAAACTGGCTCGGGGAGGATGCCGAGGAGGAGCTTGGCGAGGGAGCAGGCAGAGTCCGAGTTAGAGACGAGGTCGAGGGAGATGCCACAGCCGAGAGCCGTCCAGCTGATGATTCCGAGAACAAGCGACCACGGGTGGAATAATTACTTGACTAGGACAAGAAAGGGAGCTTGGGCGTTTAGGGGCAAAAAAGCTATTACGAGTCAACTGCGTGAGGAGTTCAGTAAACCCATCAAAGGATATTCATATGGTCCTAGGGACATGCAATTATTATAACTACTGTATTTTCTATTAAGATTACGTCCGAAGGGTATATATCCATCGAAAACCAACACTACCTACAGATCAACAACGTAAACCAGTTTCCCTATACAATCCGATACAAAGAATCCTTCCAACGTGGGTTTGACACACAACAGAAACAGGCCCGAAACCTTAACCTACATATATACATGAAGTGGAAGTACATGACAGGTCGTTGTCATTTCTCTCGACAAAGGAAAATCGTTGACAAAAGAAAAGAAGAAAAACGCGGGGATGTCTTCAACCTCTTACATCCTTAGACATCGTCCCTTGTTTTCAGGCGAAGCCTTGAGAAACCCATCTTTATCATACAACCCCAAACTCTCGACACTCTGTCGCTGTGCCTCCTTCTTGCTAAGGGCTCCGACCTTGGTCTTGCCCGTTGACCTCGTCGTGAGGATCGAGTCGCGCGTGTCACGGCCTAGATTTCCGCTGCGACGCGTCTCACGCAGGCCAGTGGCCATATCCAGTCTGGGAACCTTGAGTTCTGGTCCCTGGTTCTCCTTACCCGCATCAGGTTCGTCCTCGCGGATCTCAACTCCCAAGTTGGTGCGGCTGCTCTTGCTTGGAGGAATTGGTCGGGTAGGTGCCGCTGCTGAAACTGCACCAGATAAGCTCTTCCTAGGACTTCCGAGGTTGAGATAGTTTTGGCGACCAGATGTGCTCGTCCTGGGATTAGAGGTGAGTCGACCGCGTGAAAAGGCGCTGTTCAGGGGGTTGGGCAGTGTCGGTGAGTCAGGCTCATTGTGTGACGACGCCATGGAGGTAGCACTATAAGAGCTGACCATACTGTTCATCCGTCTCAACTCGACAATCGAGTTTCCGAGTGAGCTCATACTCATCATCGCTGGTGGTGGTCCACTTGGAGGATCTCTCAGAGATCGGGACATAGAGCGACGAAGAGGCGATCCTGTGGAAACAGCGCCAGGATCGTCAATCATTGACTCGCCCTCGTGAACGGAGGTCTCAGGAGGAGTCATGGACATTTTATGCAGGTGCTGCGAAAAGTCTCGTCTGGGTCGTGGACACAGCGGTGTCGGCATGACGATCTGCTCAACTTGGGCGACATGCCTCGGTGGATCAGGCAGAGCCCTTCTCGGTGCTGCCGTCCCCATCAAGAGAGCCATCATATCTTGCTCATCAAAAGGTGACGAAGCCGTGGTTAACGGGCTCGTGGGGGCACCAACCACAAGAGTGTTTCTATCCTGTTGCTGTGGCCATATCGGTCGCCCAGGAGCATCAAATCTAGGACTCTCGCTCCTCCGGTCGTCAAGGCACAGAGAGCTATCCTCATCAGTGGCAGTCGTCACAGACGGAGTGACCATGCTCGTCATTGAGCCAGTGACAGGATATGCCAGAGCAAAACCGTGTCGATCTCGGTTTCCAAAGCTGATGTCGCGGTGCAGATGCTCCTGAGGTGGCTGCAGCACAATAGATAGAGGTGGTCCTCCAACGGCCTGGGTGCTCACTGAATTCCTGTTCAGCTGACCTGGTGTGTTAAAGACCGTCTGTCCAGCTGGGATGGAGATGCTCAGCGTCCTCGTCCGGCTCCTCAAAGACCGCGGCCCAAACAGCGAAGATCGACTCTCAGAGGTCATGGCTCCCTGTCTCTTCTTCTCCACAAACGGGTCAGGTTGATCTCTGTCCTCTGGCTCATTGGCGCTGTACAATGTCGAAAGTGAGCTGGAAGCCTCGCTGTCCTGCGACTCTCTCCTATTGGGGCTATCCTTCTCGACGGTCTTCTTCTTGGGTGTGGGGTCCTTTTCCGGACTGTTGTCGTCGAGGGGTTGCCACTGACGGCCCCTCAAACGGCTCGGGCTTGACAGTCCTCCGGGAAGTCCAAGCTCTTGGGTGGCTTCAGCGATCAAGCTGTTTGCAGCACTACCAATAGAGCTGATGGAGACAGTCCGGCTATGCCCAGGTCTTGGCGGTATTCCGTGGATGGTAGATCTCTTGCTGGGGCTCTGTGCCACACGGTTGATGCGTACAGTTCCAGTTGTATTAGTCGAGTCCAGTGAAGATGTTGTCCTGTGACTATGAGGCGTCTTAAGGGGAGAATTCTTGTGAGGCGTGCCCCTCAGCGACGAGATCTTCTGGGAGTGTTTTGAAGGCGAGTGGTGAGGAGTCTTAGTTGGTGACACACTGCTCCCATCTCGAAGTCGCTGTTCCGTTAATCGAAGAATATCCCGAAGGTCCAAGTCCGTCACTGACGCCCTGACATTAGCCAGAGGGGGCGGCCTCACAGGACTCGTCTGAAGCTCCTGTGCTGGGGTTGGTAACTCAGGAGCCGTCTTGCTCGGCTTGAGGGTCTCGAAGCTCTGTTGATCCATCAAGTGAGCCGTCGGTTGGTCTCCCTGTAGCTCACTAGGTTGTCCCTTTTCCAAGTCATCCTCCATCATCAGACTCGGCAGCGTGGGAGCTCTCCCCAGCCAGCTATCCCTGCTGAACAGACTATCACGACGACTCCTGCTAACCTTGGGTCCATGGAACTTGTCCTCCTCAACCCAGCTATTCGACCGTCCCCTCTTCCCATTACCACCAAAGAAGGTAAAGCTATTGTGTGACGGAAGAGGGGGCAGCACAGGAGGAAGCGACAAGGAAAGCCGGCTGCACGACTTTGCCAAGGAGGGGTTCTTCTTGACAAGTCTTTTCGTAAAGATGGATCGTCGATGGTCATCGCTGTTGTCCGAGACCTGGTATACCGTCGTCGATTCCGGATCGGTTCGAGACCTGATGCGCCAGGTGAGGAGGAAGCCGATGGCTGCAAAGAGGAGGATGGCGCCGCCGACGGAAAAGGCGAGGATCCAACCAAGCCCAAGACCGCCCGCTTCTCTGCGGTAGAGTGAGGAGTAGTTCATGTTTATCACACCCACCGCAGCAACGATCGAAAAAGAGTGTCCTTGTCGATGGTGCTTTTGAGTCGACGAGTTCAACACTTTAGGAGTCAAAGACCGGATGATGAAGAGGACAGCGTTAGAAAGGGCAAATATCAGACAGGAGGAGAAACCTCTGTGGGAACTGGCTCATCCACATTCATCTTAATCTCTAATCCCGGCCAAAAACTGTGGTGAGGTTATTTCGACAGTCTCACTGCAATATCATGAGGAATGCGTTGCTAGGTGTCATCCATTCCAACCACCCCCAACCACAACCCTAGCGACGAGACATCACAAGATGAGCAGCAAGAACTCGTATTGAAATAAGGGGACATGGCCTTGATGAAATCACTTTCCCCTCGCCGTTCATCTCCATATCGATCACATCGTCGTAAATGGCGGTTTCAACATGACCTCACTTCATCATGTGCTTGGGAAATCTTGCCCCATCACAACCATCACCAACATCACTAGGGAGACTTCTTTCACAGCGCCAGGCTGCCCTTTTTTTGATCATTCATCATTCCGGTATCTGTACTAGGTAGCTTCCCTTAAGTCCACATGTTCCCAAAGACCTGGGTAATCATTTTGTCCTATCAAGAAGTCCTCGCACCCAAATACCCTTTCAACAATGCATGCTATCCGTGTACCCGGAACCAGCCCGGAGTAATGAAATGGTCTAGAAACCAGTCAAGTTTTCGATTTTTTTATGCGCTTTTCCTTTTTTCCTTTACTGTCCTTAAATTGTTAGAAATGTCGACGTCCGTGGCTGTGAAGGTGAGCACCCCGACGTCTCCGTCTTGCTGCGGGCGCTGTGGGGGTCACAACAGCTGTTGATGTCACTGTGACAACGACAGTCTCGGCCTCCAGCTCGGTCACGTAGACAAGCTCCTCATCCCAGAGAATCTTGCTCACAAGGTTGCCGTTGGTAACGTACTGGGTACTCCAGTAGCTCTTGGTGTCGGTCGTTGGCTCCAATTCGGGCGCAGGAGTGGTCGTGGGGACAGGAGGGGGGCCGGACGTAGGAACAGATTCGGGAGCTTGAGCGATCGAAGACTCGACAAATGCGGCTCCGACACTTCCATCGGCGCCTGGGATGCTTTGAGTGGTTTGAACGCTTTGAATGAGTGTTGTTTCTGATGTAAAAGGAGATGAAAAAGAAGGCAGAATAGATGTCGCAACGATCGGTAAATTGGCTGTTGTCTCCAAAGTAGGTGCAGGTGCAGGAGCCGAGGCCTCGTAGGCCGCCGCCTTCTCCTTGAAAACCTGACCTGGGAGAGGTGATGCAGAGTTCTCGGGCCTATCGCCGGGATGGTAGGTCAAGGTGGGAACAGAAGCATCACCGGTAGGGCCTGGGTCCTTGCTAGCACCGCCGTCCGAGCCATCTCCATAAGAGACTTGGTTACCGCCGGGTAGCTGCTTCATAGGACCAAGAACGTCCTCCTTGGCCAAGCTGTCGGGGAGGTTCATCTTGCAAGAGGTGGCCTCGCTTTCGCTAACAACGTCAAAGAGAGGGCAGGCACCGATCAGTCCAGTCTCAGAGGTGCAGGTTTCGATGGCCTGCTGGAGGAAGTCTTCATCCCAACCGGTAATGAAGTCTGCGTGATATCCATAGCCTATTCAGGTGTTAGTTTCTCCAGTCTGTTAAAGGATGCAGATGTGAGACTCACCAGTGGTATCTCCGTTGGCCAAGACAAATCGGCCAGGTCGGTCGGCGAAGGCATTGGTGTTCCAGATAACCTCATACATGAGGCTGGGCACGCGAACGGGATAATCATCGGGGCAGGTTCCGGTCATGACCAAGTCGGGAAATGCAACGTGATCCTTGTGGTTGGCGCTGTCGAGCGCGTCGCCTCCCTTCCAGCAGGACGGAAACATGATCTCGAGACGGAGGCCATCCTTGCAGTTCGCATCGAGGTACTGCTTGTCGGGCATGTAGTGGCGGTAGAGGGTTCCTTCTGGGTCTCGTGCATAGTTCAAGCAGTTGAAGCCGAGAGCGCGCTGAGCGAGTGTGTCCTGATCAGTCTCACCAAGAGCTTGCCACGTAGACTTCTCTGGGTCAGGCTTGCTCGGGTCACCCGCCGTGTAGGTTCTTCGTGTGTTTGTACCAGACAACATTCTGAAGCCGGGGGGGAAGGCGGTCACATTGTCGCCATACAGGAGGTAGTAGCTACATATAATTAGCTCCTACTTCAAAGCAAGTCTGCAGATAGCGGCAACTAAATCAGACAGGTGTAGGTTCTCAGGGGATACTAACGCCAGCATACCGCCCACCTGTGGGACAATCTCAAACTCTCCAGTCTCGCCATCTTGAAAGTACATGGCAGGATGCCAGTAGGAAGACTTGTCTTGTGTGACTCGGCATGAAGTGCAGTCACCGTTGAGGAGTTCGTCAGTGCTGGAGGTATCGGAGAATCCTGCGCATTGTCAGCTCCATTCTCTGAGCGCATCATTCGCAGCTGCCTGCGCAAAGCGCGCGCAATGCCAGAATCTCATCATCGCAAATGAGGCGCTTACCTGAAGAACCGTGAATAGAATGCGCATGCATCGAGATCTTGCCCGGGTCAACGATGGGGTCAAGTCGCGCGAGTCCCACACGACCCGGACACTCCATGCGCCAGAAGGCATGGGCGCCACCGATGAGGCCCGCAGAAACGGCGATGAGTGATTTGAGCATGGCGATGACGAGTGCCTATTCGAGCTCGAGAGTTTGTTCGTTCTTGCCCTGAGAGGCAAGGGAATGAAGGAGTGGACGACGCGACAGAGCAGTCTAAAAGAGCGTTGATGTTAGGGATGGGGTTGAGGCGGAGACGAAAGAACGTGGTGAGGGGAAATGAACGAAAGGCGGAGGGGAGATGTTCGAAAGGAAGGTGCCCGGCACTGGCGAGCAGAAAATAGAAACAGCAGGCGCGTTGCGGATATTTGAAGCATCAAACGGAAGGAAGGGAGGGGCTTGGACGGAGTGCCTGCCAGCTGGCAACGGCTGGCCACTGCACTTGCGCATTAATGGCCGGGCTGCCAACGCATAAGACCAGGAAAACCTGGTGCCAAGCGCATAGTCCCGCAGAATAAGGTCGGAATCGTGCTTTTCATGTTGTTTTAATGGGATGGGTGAGGTTCAAGTTTGCGAGTTTCAGGTGAGGTCTAGGCGAGGTGTAAGTGAAAGTGGACTCACCGATGATGCCCGCCGTTGGGTTTCTCTGTGGGGGATTCTCAGCCAAGTTGACGCTGAATGCTCAACTTCCTTCTTTTGATCAAATATTGATTCAACAGAAGGAGAAAAAAGTTCAGAAAGGGAAATATTGGACCAAAGGGTGCAATGGCTGGGTATGCCTTTATTGCTGTCGATGGAGGCACTGCTCTTGCAGAGAGTCCCAGCCCCGCTGAGAATCTGAGACTCAAGATTCCAGAGCGTGGTCAAGACACGGCGTTGAGGTCACTGCCACGCTTTCGGATCGCGTCACAGGGTCGCGTAGAGTGGGCTGGTCGGCAGCTTATCGGCGGGATAAGTGTCAACGAGAAGAATGCTTTGTTCAATGGCGCCGCTTCCGGTTGTCAAGGCCGAATGTCTCTCCCGACGTCAATCCGTACAGTCGGTCGATGTGTCTCAGTATCAAACGTCTGACGCTTCGGGAAGTTTTTGACAGATGAGTTGAAGATCTTTCGGGTAAAGTTAAAGAGTAAAGCCTTGGTCTCGAACGTCGTAGTGTATTGCCGTTGGGCACTGCAGAGCGTCCAGATAAACTTGGAAAGCCGTTAAAGCCAATATAAGCCTTCCGCTTTTGGCAACGGCGACGCTAAACGTTTTGCACAACGGATCTGCAAGAGAGAAAAACGGTGAGTCCGCAGATGAGAAGGAGTCGTGATACGAAAGCAGTCCCTCGGGTTACGGCGTGCGGTGTTTGTAATGCAAAGGGATTGGTTTCTGCGCGGCGGATCTTGTAGTTGTCGACTAGCAGTCTCACGGTACGAAACGTAAACCAGGATTTTGAGCGAAAGAAACGAATGTTCTCAACCGGGCAGAATTGCAAGGAATGTGGTTGAGGAAAAGGTAGCTAGGCACCAAAAGGGAGAGTAGGTGAGGTGCCTTGAAGACAAAGTGAATGAATGGATGAGTCCAGCTCGGGCTCCAAAGGAAGGAATAAAATAAAACGGTAGGATGACAACCTAGCCAACAGTGAAGGAATGGATGGATGGCAGAACGAAGAAGATGAGGGCGAACCGAAAGAACGGGAAAGGAAACGGGAGGTGGGCACAACAAACCCGACGACCATGGATCCCATCCCATGTCGCAGCCAGGTCCTGGGGGTGGCTTCTCTTGGCGATGAAGTCAGGCCCATTCTTGGGGGCATTCGCCGCGTCGCAGCCAAGATTGCATTGGTTCCAAGGGTCAACCTACAGGGGTGCTAAAGTGGTCGTGTGTCGGTCGACGAGCGTGATACCGCACCAAGCCCAGCATAGTCTGGCGATCTCGACCAATGGCTCGGGGCAATAGGAGGTCGAGAATACCCGTGCCACGGAGCTGAGGCACGCGATAGACGCAGGTACCAGGCACCTCTGGGCTGGCGAATGGAGATGGGCGAGCCGACCTGCCGAGATCTCCAAGTCCAAGACTAGTACTCTGGGGGCAGGGATCTCGGAGGTTGAGCTGCTACATTCTGTAGTATTGCAGGGGCGAGACTACTCGCAGACGGCGCCAAATGGCCTGGGCTTCCATCAGTTCTCCTGTCAATCACGGCGGTTGCGCGGCTCTCGAGATTGGAATCTGAGGGATCTTCAGAGTTTGTTGCGAGATGGATCTGACGTGATGATGTTCAGTTGGATATTGATTGGATTCCCTCCGCGTCTCTTGTGGTCGCGCAGACTCCACCACGTGCGCATGTGGCCCGTTTGCAGAAGGAGAATTGTGAAGCCCCCTAGCACAGCAGTCCAGGCGGTCCAGGCCAGTACAAAGGAGACGGTCCATATGTTCTTCTCGGTTAGATCGGTTTCTGTCTTCTCCATCAAGCCTAGCAGGGCCGGCCCTGGAGTGGGCTGAGCATCTCTGCTATGACGCTGTCAGGCTGTTTCTGGTTTATTGTTAGACTGCGGGTGGCTGGAGACAGTCTTTGGCACCTGAGCCCAGTCAAGGGTCCAAGGGAGGGATAGGACCAAGGGAGCCCAATGCCGGGTGGCAACTGGAAAGCATGAAACCTCCCTAGGTTCGGAGAAAGTGATGAACATGATCTTCAGGGCCCGGCTGTTCATCCTCTTCTGTCCGTTTCTTGTTGCGTTTGTTCCGCAAGAGTTTCAACTGTCCCCTTCCCAGACTTCTTCCAGACTTCGGTACCTGGCAAAATCCCCAGGGGCTGGCATAATGACAAGCAGATGCCTGAAACGGGTTTCATATGGTGGGCGAGCCAATCATGAGTCGCCAGCCTCTCACTGCCAGCTGGTCCCTGTCCATCAGTGGGCGTGGCGTTGGTGGCGCCTCGACTTCAGTCTGGAGAAGGGAGACCCATGTCGGTGCGTCTAAGTAAAGCCCAACACGAATATCTCTCATCCTTCAAAGCTTGGCTGGAGGAAGATCCCCGGTAGCGAGAATGACCGGTGCGCTATTATTGTGGATTGGGTTAAACTTTTCAGCTGCCTTCTCTCCGCGTCTACCAGATCATTGCACCGCATGTCGATCAAGGGTCTTGGTCGGCATGTATTGAGTGCTCGGGTTGCCCGAGAGACATGCCGATGAGATATCAATATATATCCTACATTACAATTACATGTGCAGATGCGTATTGAATTTCCTCGATTCTGCTACAGAAATGCCCATTCACCGTCAACTCTTGGCACTCCGAGTCGTACCAGCGGAATAAGAACCACGTTTCTCAGTCGCACTCAGATTCACCTTTCGTATTCGTGCCACGACTAACAGACTTGACAGCCTAGGACCTTGGCAGAGGTCCTGTATTAAACTTGCTATTAATGCGACTCCGGTTTGATGATGGCATTGGTGATTTGTCGGTCAGCCAGCACAGGAGCCAAGCCCAAGTGCTGGCTAGAGTGTTGGGCCGCGTCTAGCTTGTCCTACAACCAAGTTGCTGCACAATGTCAGGGATCGGAATACGGCAGCAAATTACAGACTCAATTATAGGTTGGTTGGTCCAGCGATAAATGAGAAGGATTGCTGACGCGCAGACATTGGATAGAGTTGTGATAGATGCTGGAGCTCGTGTTGGAGGAAGCGCCGTCTTAACCGTCGCCATGCTTCGGGGGTAACAATGCATGGGGTCCCTGAGCACCACCTCACCGGCTCATCTCATCCGATATCATATCGTCCACTCTAAAGAGGGTCTTTGTTGCGCAGTTGTCTGGATCGGAGTTGGCCGAGCTTGGGTTGAGTGAGGATATAGGGTAAGTCACTTTGAGGAAATTTCAGAGTACAACTTTGGCTTAGGAATTTCAGTAACCCCTTCTCTTGAGTAGGTATCAATCTGAAGTAAATTTCTATTTCAAACTTCGGTAGAAGAAAGCAAGGTCCATCCTAAAGCATCCATCAAAAGAGTAGTCACCTATCTCGTCTTAAAAACACTTCACCAAAACATTTTGCTGCATTTGTTTTTAAAGTAGAAGTCAACGAAATTGGCCAATCATTATCAAGATAAGACAAGACATACGTATACGTCCCAGACATGGTAATCATGAATGGCCTCTCTCTCATGAGACAGGCACTCTTGATAATGTTCAGGTCAGTCAAGGAGATCATGTGATGACTGAGCCACGAATCCAACACAGCCACAAACGCCCCACATCCGGAAGCGGCCCCTGGGCCGGGGTCTCTCCCACCTCACGAGCACTATCGTTGCGACAACACGTTGACCTTTATCATGATTGACCATTTGCGATAACCTACGAACTTTGACAAGATGGACGACCTCTCAAGCCTCGATTGGTCCTCCAAGCCGACCGGCGGCCAGCCCAAGCCGCCTGTCATGAACTCGGCCTTTGCAACGATGCGACCTACACCATCACCGTTGGGCTCGGGAACCAACACGCCTCTGTCCACACAGGGGTCTGGATCTGTTGCCCCTAAACCAGCACCCCCGAAGCCATCGCAGGATAGCTTTAGCAATTTGATGCACTTTGGACCGGCCAAAACGAAACAGAACCTTAGTCTGGCGGAGCGACAGGCGCAACTCGAGGCTGAGAAGCGCCAGAAGGAAGCGGAGCGGAGGAAGCAGCAGGAGGCCCAGTTTGGCAATGGCCAGTTCTGGGATGCTCTTGGGAGCCGAGGCGCGTCGACGAGCCCTGCGCTGCAACCACCAGCAGCAGCCCCCAAGCCGAAGAGCGACGATGACGATCTCTTTGCCGCCTTTAACAAGGATACCAAGGTCGATAACGCAAGCTACTACCCCCCTCCTCCCGAATCGCAGCGATCGACACCCGCGAACGCTGCGCCGATGAACTTGAGCGACCCAAGCGCCTGGAAATCTACGAGTGGAACAACTGGGTCGAATGGAGGGGCTTTTGGCGTGGAAGATGACGATCCATTTGGCTTGAACCAGATGAAGTCAGTCCCGGCTGCTGCACCTGTGACGCAAAATGATGACGATGACTTCTTGGGAGATTTGGGTCGTCCAGTTGAGGAGGTGCGCCGCGAGCAGGAGGCGAAGCGACCTCAGCCAGAACCTGGAAAGCCAATTGAAGACGACGACTCGAGCTCCTCAGAGGAGTCGGTTCCCCAGGCGCGAGAGCAATTTCCCGAGCGACAGCCCCGAGTCAACAAAGACCCATTTGATAGGGCGGTTGCGCAGTTGGTGGACTATGGATTCGCTGCCGAGGACGCTCGTCGCGCTTTAGTTGAAAGCGGTTCTGGGTACAATGCTCAAGCTGCTGTGAACTGGCTTTTGGATGAGGCGCACCGCAAATCCAAGGAACAAGCGCAAGGGAAAACCTCTTCTGGGAGCTCAAGCCGTGCCGGAAGCCAGGCTCCAAGGAGCAACGACAGGTCACCGGCTAGGGGAGATCAAGACTTGGGCAAGCAGGCTGCTGCGATGGGAAATAGCCTGTTTAAGACAGCCAACTCGCTCTGGAAGACTGGCCAAAAGAAGATGCAGCAGGCTGTTGCGGACTTTCAGCATGAAGGCGACCCTAGCCAACCTAAGTGGATGCGGGAAGCTCAACAAGCCAGAGCACAAGGACCAGGCAAGGCGAGGGTAGACGCTACGGACGAAGCACTCATGCTTGAGGCTGGTGGCCGTCCGCCACCTCGTCGAACCGCCAGCCGCCCTGCTGAGGCGAGAGCCTCTCCTCAACCGACATCTCGAGGACAGTCGCCTGCTCACTCTGGGGGCAGCCGCGCCAGCCCTGCTCCTCGATGGCAGCAGCAAGCCCAGCCTCCTGCGGCAGGGTTGGACTCCAGGTCTCGACTCAATCGCCTGGCAGCTGATGACGATAGCTTCTCAAGCTATAGTAGCCCTAATAGGAGAAAGAAGGCTGCTTCACCGGCACCAGCACCTAAGCCTGCCGAGCCGGAACCTGACTTGCTCTTCAATTCCCAGCAAGTCAAGTCCTCTCTTCCTTCGAGACCAGCTCAGCCATCCCCTCGACCAACCCCAACCCCGCAAGCCAAGCGACCATCGCCTCCGGCTCCAAGACCTTCGCCCCGACCTGCTCGAGAGATTCCTTCTATCAGCCCCGTTTCCCTGCAGACTTCAACACAGCACCGACTACAAGGAACAGCTCACTTCAAGCGCGGCGACTACGCAGCTGCTCACTCTTCATACTCTTCCTCACTATCGGCCGTCCCCCAGACTCACCCACTCGCTATCCTTCTCCTTACCAACCGCGCCTTGACGGCTCTCAAAACCGGAGAGCCTAAGCAGGCTGTTGATGATGCTGATAGTGCGCTGAAACTCATTGGACCTGGTCTTGGCCAAGGGGAGACGGTTGCTGTGAAGAATGAGAGTGGTGTAGACGAGAATCGGGATATGAAGGATCTCTACGGTAAGGCCTTGAGCAGGAAGGCCGAGGCTCTTGAACAAATGGAGAAGTGGAGGGATGCCGGAGCAGTCTGGCAGATTTGTGTCGAGGGTGGTGTTGGCGGTACCAATGCTATCAAAGGTCGCCAGCGATGCCAGAATGCCCTTGCGCCCAAACCCAAGCCAACACCTAAGCCTGCGGCAGCCAAGCCTCGACCTCGGCCGTCAACAACTGCTAGCCTTGGGCCCCAGAAGAGCTCGGAGGCTGTCACTCGTCTGCGTGAAGCAAACGAGGCTGCGGCTCGAGAGGATGACGAGAAGTTTGTGCTCTCAGAGAAGGTGGATGCCAAGATCTCTACCTGGCGTGACGGAAAGCGAGATAACCTCCGGGCACTGATTGCTAGTCTCGACACTGTCCTGTGGGAGGGTAGCGGGTGGAAGAAGGTTGGCTTGCATGAGTTGGTTATGGCCAACAAGGTCAAGATCAATTATATGAAGGCGATCGCAAAGACACACCCCGACAAGGTAAGCTCAACATGTGCGCTTTGGTGGAACATTATTCTGACGTATACAGCTTCCGCAAGACGCAAGCACCGAGGTGAGGTTGATTGCAGGCCTGGTGTTTAGTACACTGAACGAGAGTTGGGACAAGTTCAAGGCGGACAATGGACTGTGAGCGATTATGCATGAGATGAGCATGACGTAGCGGTGTTTGTTGAGCGTTGTTCACGATAGAAGCATGAATGCCTTGGGAGGGATGAGTATATGAATGTTGATTTAAGCGGCCATGCCGCTGCCGAACACCATGCTATGTATATGTATTTATGCCATTGCCCACGTAGAATTTGCGCCAATACTCCTATTGATATCCATCTTTATAGTCCTAGCATCCTCCGCACTCCTTCGCGGACCTTGTTTTCGTAGTCACCGCGGCGCTCACGCCACATCTTGGCGGCCTCGACGTTGGCGGGACTCTCGTCGTTGGGCTCGGCAAGCATGCTCATGACGGAGATGAGGATCTTCTCGACCGACTGGATGGGGGACCAGCGCTCGGAGGCGTGCTCGTAGTGGTTGGGGTCGTCACCGGGAGGGTGGAGGATAGAGATGCAGACAAGGCCGCTGGGATACACTAGGCAACTGTCAGAACCGTGATAACTTTGCGACTGCCCTTGACTTGTGCTTACCATTCGGGTGCCACACGTCGGCGAGGAACTTCATAGATGGCGGGGCAAGCGGGTAGTCCTTGGGGAACTTGAGCTCTGCGGGAAAGACACCGCCCTCAAACGGCGTGCCCTCGGGACCCTGGATGAGACACTCCCAGTGAAGGAGGTCATCCTCGGAGATGGGGCCGGCAGTGATGCCCTCGGGAGGGTTGTTGGTGAGGGCGCGATACTCTTGGAGAAGGCGGCGGTGGGCGGTGGACGTCATGATGCGACGGGGTTGCTTCCAGCGGAAGAGGTCGGGTTTTTGCTGATGAAGGTGGGAGGATAGTGGTGACCAAGAATCAGAGCGCGAGTTGTGTATACTCTGATAATCGTGGGGTATGAAGAAGAAGAAGAAGATCGGACAACTTTACGTTGAAGATGCGGCGTCGGAGGAGGTGGAGGGAAGCACCACGGCTGGTGGGGCACCCGGCATCCGGAGGGTCCACCCGATAAGCCCCCACTCTTTCACCAGGACATATCCGGCAGGTTGACACGAAGCATAAAAAAGATGTGATTCTCTATGAAGTGGCTGGGTGAAAGGGAAGACATAAAAAAAGGCAAAAAAGACAAAAGAATAACCTCCGATACGGGGAATTGAACCCCGGTCCCCGCGGCACGTTTCCGAGATGAAAACGCGGTATGATAACCACTACACTATATCGGACTTGGTTGAAAGCAGGGCTTCACAATTGGGTAGAAGTGCAGCGGTGCTTTGGGGTCTGGGGAAGTGGATTGGTATCGTTGGCGTCTGGGAGAGTACTGGACGGGCTCACTTCTTGCATTTTCCATTGCGTGCGTTGGGTGTGTTGGTAATGGAGAGCATGGCGAAGAAATACTTGTGTGGGAAAGCGATGGGGATGATGAGATGAAGGGAATGGCCAGTTGTGTAACATGGCAGCGCTTCAATGTCGACAGCTGTCGGCCACTGCAAATGATCTCTGTCATATTCTCACTCAAAAACCATTGGTAAATCTTGCTGAGTGTCTCAGATAAATTATAGGATGTCTTATAGCTTGGAACCAACCAGAACGTGTGCAATCTTGAGTACTGCAGCTGCCCGTCGGGATTTGGTAGGTGTTGGTTACACTCTGGGTTTGCGACACAAATAACGGGACCCTTGGCAAGCACAAACTGCTTGCCCTGGTACAGGAGTTTGTAGCAAATAAAAAGGACCCTTGATTGGGTTTCTCTGGTGACGGTGGAACATTCCTGAACCCAGCTGTCCAAGGCAATGGGGAGAATAGGACATTGAAAGCCATCCTGACATGGCGTGGCCCTGTTCCCTAGGTAGTATGGATGGTGGTAAAACTAGAGTAATTTATGAGTTTGGAGGGTCCTAGGGTCCTCAGCTGTCAAGCAGTCCTCGCTCTTTCATTTTCTTGAGGCAATCTGAGACATGGACTCTCATGCCTCATATTCATGCAACAAAACAAATTCGTATCCTCAGATGTCCTTAAACTCGCACTCATTGTTAGCCTGTAGAACTAGATCTAGCTTCTAGAAGTAGTGCTAGTATAACCTCGCCACAACTGTATTCTAACCTCTTATCCCTCATAAGAATACTCAATAGCACGGAGTGTTTGCCGATGGTATAGGTTAGGATCAACTGGGGTTGACTACCACGATGCCATCTCTCTACGTACTTGGCTCAGTGATGCAGATGTCTTGATTTCATGGTACATACAGAGCTGAGTTATACAATCTTGGAATATGGACTGGAATTTGTAACGGTGTCTCTTCAATGCTCCTCATCGTCGTTGTTTCAGCACCCTTAGTTTTGTGTATGGCCGACATCATCCGTCCCCGAGACATCTCAAGTGCCTTGTTAATCTCAATTCCTGTTAACCTAGACGTAGGCAGCTGAAAGAAACCGAGGTTAGCTACCCAATTGCAACAGCCGACATTGGCCGCAGCTCAGACTCTGAACAAAGTCGTGACGTAAACAAGCGGCTGAGCCCGCTCATTGCCCCTGAAGCTCAACCCCAAATCTCGATTGAAACTTTTTCTTGATGGCGTTTTTCTAAACTTTGCCATGACGAGAACGGAAGCGTTACAGGGCAATTGGTTGATTGTCTCACGTGGGGAAGGCCTTCTCCCCCGCAATGTCCGCATCGTAGCGTCATTGACGTCACTAGCCGGAGCTTTGTTCCTGAGCTTGTGAGACGGAAGCGTTCAGGTATTTGTCGTCATGGCTGAGTAACGTCATGTCAATTGGGAATGAGCAAACGTTCAAAATATAGCCAGTGCCAGATTGTTTGTCTTGCTCCTCTCTCATCATCACCAATTCCTCCTTTCTCCTTCAATCGACCTCAATCTCTACCCAACCACCCCTCATCTAACTCGATCTCCTGCATTCCTCTCCTTAACCCGGCATCATGATCCCCGCTCGCCCCCTCATTCGATCCAGCCTCCCTCGGGCGGCACGCTCTGTCCGCGCCCCTCGCCGGCAACAGATTCGCTTTCAATCGACTTCCACAAGCAGTGCCACCTCAAGCAACACACACCTGGCAGCTGGAATTGCTGGAGGTGTTGTTGGCTCCGCCATTTTCTACGGTGTTTACTCGTTCACTCCGGCTGGACAAACTGCCTCAAAACTCAACAAGGCGGCCAAGGAGGCTGAGAAGAAGTACCAAGTCGCTGCGAAGAAGTTGCAGGAGAAGACTCCCACTGCTGAACAGGCTGTAAACAACATCAAGGAGTTTGCCTACTCGTACGTGGGATGGATCCCTGGTGGCCGCGCATACGTCGACGCTGCTTTCAACGACTGGGACAAGGTCCGAGAGAACAACAAGGATGAGGCCGACAAGCTCGTAAACGATGCCTACAAGCAGTTCCAGGATCTTTCCAAGTCTGGTCTGAGTCTGGAAACCGCATACAAGGCCTACGATGTCCTCGCCGACCTCTCCAAGAAGGTCGCAAACCTCGCTGGCGACGCCATTAGCGACATTATTGACAACCATCCCCAAGTCAAGGAGAAGCTCGGCGGAAACGTCGACCAGCTGAAGGAGCTTGGTGAGCGGTACGGCCCCGACGCGAAGAAGCAGGTGGACGAGACCTGGAAGCAGGTCAAGGACATCTTTGCTGGAGGATTCAGCGCCAGCAGCATAGACAAGGCGCGCAAGCTCATCGAGGAAAAGGTCGAGCAGGTCAAGAAACTAGGCGACGAGGCATGGAAGAAGGGTCTCGAGGAGGCCAAGCCTTACCTCGATAAGAACCCCAAGGTTAAGGAGCTCCTCGAGAAGAACGCCGACGCCCTCAAGCAAGGCAACGCCAAGGAGATTTTCGACAAGGCTAAGTCAGCCGTTGATTCTGGTGATCTGGGCGGTCTTGAGAAGTACGTCAAGGACGCGACTGAAAAGGTCAAGTCCAAGGGCTCCGAGCTCGCAGACGGCTGGGTAGACCTGGACAAGTACATCAAGCAGATCCCACATGGCGAGGATGTCCTGAACAAGCTGCAGCAGCTGGGTGAGGTGGCAGAAAAGCACAAGGAGGAGGGAGAGAAGCTCTTCCAGGAGACTGTGGAGGAGCTGAGACATGTTCTCGAGAAGAAGTCTGAGAAGGCCCAAGAGATTGCCGACAAGGCCAAGAAGGAGGCCAAGTAGAGGTGCAATCTTGTATCCTAGTATTACTACCATGATATCCTCTTAATGGCTAATTCGATGCTGCATCTGTAACTAAGAAAAGAAACCTCCATTGATATGATAGGGAAAACTATTGGTCTTTAGAATGCTTTCATGAGTAACTGGAAGGCCACTGAATAGCAGGCCCCTTTGATCGCGGTGATGTATAAGGTCTCATACAGGGGGAGACGGGAACTTTGATGAGATATTTCTCTAGGGAAAAAAAACAGAAATTCTATGGGAATGAGAAGGGAAGTTCCAGCTGTCCATTTCAGGTGTGGCTGCGACGAGGTGGAAATTGGCCAAGAAACTATTGATGGCTTTCAATAGCCTCGTTGTTTGTCCCACTTGGCTACCGTTTCTCCTCAACTAGAACGTAAGGGAATATTCTAGGTATGGCTCAAGGCAACCACAAAGCAAACCCATCATCAAATGAATGCAAGTAGAAAGGCTTGTCGCCGTTATCCCTCAACGACTTGGTGCATGGCTGGGAACCCGCCCACAAGGAAGCAACTTCAAGTTACGAGATGAATAAACTGACAAGGTCAACACCGGATAGATTGAGATGCGCTCAGGACTTATTGAACCCAGGTCACTGTCCGCTTCATAATTCCCTAATATTCAATGGTGACTTTTATGCCCTCATTTTCATGTCTGAGAACAAGCCCGTTCTTTTGCCCCCTAAATCCCCAAAGACCTCCCTCACCACTTCAAGAACTATATCAAGGGCTGTACTTCAACCCCCCACGACCAATTCGTCGACCATTGAGGAAATAGTACTGCAAGTTGGCAACAACAGAGGCAACCAAGGCAACAGACACAACCGCCACAATCACAGTCCAACCAGTTTCATACAAGGGCCCGTCTTTTTGCTGGAACAGCTGGCTTCCGATGATTCCGGATGCGTTGGCCGACATGATGAGGATAGCCATGGTGATGGAGCGTTCGCCTGCGGTTCCGGCGTTCAGGGCCATCCAGGAGCCATTGAGAGGATCTGAAGATGATTGTTAGTCTTGGTTCTGAGAGGTTCGTTCTTGGGTTTGGACTTACGCCAGTGCGAGCCGAAGCTGAGGGTGCAAGTCAGGAGAGCGAATCTCTTGTGTCCATCAGTTGACTTGATGAGAAGACGATCCCCGATCTGTCTCAAGTTAGAAAAGTCCAGTCTCTATAGGTAGGGATCCAACGTACCACAAAAGCCCAGAAAATGAAAATCCCAAGAGTCACCAAGGGACCACGCATCCGAAGCTTGTCACTAACCACCAGTTAGCTCTCATCTCTTTATAAATATGGTCATCAACGCACCCTAGATAACCCCAAAGGAGATTGCTAATGATGAGGATCCAACCACCGATTGAAACAAGAGCATTGGACGTGAGTCTCTCGTATCCAAAAGACCTGACAAGAGTAGGCGAGTAAGAGCCCATGGTGGTAGCCGGCGCAAGGCCCGCGATTGTAAGAATGACGTGAGGAATAAGTCTCCAGTTGGTGAACTGCACAAATTAGATACCTGGCTTGAAAACAGGGTGATGAATGTACATACCACGTTCTTAAACTCTTGCTTTGTGATCTGGGGCTTGACGTGGATCTTGGACGGATCATCAAGCAGGATTCGCTTGGTCAAGATGCGTGCCTCGTCTTCGGTGAAGAGACGGATTTTGAGGAGAGAGACGGGGTTATAGGTACTGTCTGGAAAAAGTGATAGGAAAATGAGACCAGTGAGGATGGTGAAGATTCCCTCGAGCTGTTCTTGTTAGTCGATGCCATGATGAATGGATCAGGACTTACAATAAACAGCCATTGCCAACCCGCAAGCCCGGCAATGCCTCGCATGTGCAGACTATATTCCAATCAGTAAGGCGGCTGTCGAGATGCCGCATTCTCTACTTACATGCCGTAGGCAATAAGACCAGATGAAGCTGAAGCAGTCATGTTTCCAAGAAAGTACCAAGAGAATCTCTTGCTAGTCTCATCCTTCTTGTACCATCGAGTAATGGTGTACAGACCAGCAGGGATAAATCCAGCTTCGCAAAGACTGCCCATGTACAGTAAGTTTCTGTATCATAAGAACCAAGGGGAAATAACTTACCCAAGGAGAAGTCGAGTGGAGAGAAACGCGGCGAGTCCCTTCTGAAACGCTTGAAATGTGGCGACGAGGCCCCTAGAGAAGAGTCAAGATAGTGTCAAGAGTCTGGAACAATAGTGCTCACCATGCTAAAATCTGAGAGCCGATCCATTTGGATGGTCCAAGACGGTAGAGAATAACGTTACTAGGAATCTGGAAACGTTAGACGACAAGATGGGAGGCACAGGGTCAAAGAGAACTGACTTCCAGAAGAACAATTCCCAGGGATAGGAGTTGTTGGCCCACGTTGAACTGGTTCTGTGTAATGCCCACATCCTCAAAGAAAAAGTCTGTAAGCGCATTCCCACTATAATCAAGTTAGCAGTTTGCCTGATAAACGAGCAGTTGACTCGAACAACGTACATGTTTCCTCGGTCTAGCTGAAGAGCAAAGAATCCCAGGATCAGAAGAGGCATGACTGTTCGATCGATCCTAAAGGATGACAGAGATTAGCAAAAGAGAAACGATCGATTGATAAAAGTCTTACTTTCGGACCAATCTCTTCTCCTCTTCCTCGGTCCAGTCAACCTCAATGGCGTCGACATCGCTGTTGCTGCCGCTGTTTTGGCTGCTGACAACAGCCTCATCAATATATTTCTCCATCTGTGGCAAAGAACTTATATCTCTGTCTCTGTGCTAGTTGAAAGGAGATATCCTGAATGATTCAACATGATCCTCGAGGGACATCTCCCTCTTCTTATCCCCAAGGACCATCGCCCACATCGCGACGACCCGCGGAACCCTCGACGAGCTAGTCCCGGTTTGCGAATAGTAGCATCCCCAGCGTGGGACAAGTTTGCAGATTCGGGGGTTGTGGAGTATATGCCATCTAGTCTTGCAGTCACGCAATCGACATGTGCTAACAGAGACAACCCCGGCCTTTACATTTCCATCGCGTCCCATTCGTGAACCTCGTTGGATTTATCTCCTAGCGAGATGCTGCACTGTCATGTTAGCGGCAGGACAAATTGTGCGGCAGTCTTGCACAATAGTCTAGACTGCCGTTGGACTCGGGATAGCTTCACCGTCTGCCCGGGTGCTAGACAACTCGCTACGCCATTCGAGCAAACCCAATCTGGATTTCAGCTTCAGATACAGAGACGCAGTTGTCTAGAGTTGATCTGTCACACTGCCTTGACCTGTTTGATTCCGCGCTGATTCCTCAGCCTCGGTACTATCCCGTGTGTCCTAATCGCAGGGTTTACATCACGACATTGCGTTGGCATGAGACTCGTAACCCCTCGGAATTGCGAGCTCGACTCTTGTCATGTTAATCGTGCCGACATCCGAGCTGAAAATGCGATAACCCAGAGTAAAAAGTCGTGCTCAATTCGGCCTAACCCCACGGAGTGGAAGCCATCGTCAATCAATTGCTCATGTCCTCAGTCGCTTTTCTTGCCTCTAAACTCCTCCTTGTATCTACACCAGCATCACGCCTATAATTGATCTTACATCTACAAAAGACCCTTGGCCTTGAGATCATCGTGCGCCTTCTTCTGTCGATCCCACTGCTTCTTCAATCCCTTCAGTTGACTCTTGGGCACATCGCTGCCGTCCTTCATCTTTGTCGGTAGTCCTTGCTCGTCCCAGGCACTGTATCTCTCGTCACCCTTGAACAAATCCTCAGGCGGCACCTTGGCCTTTTCTCGAGCCTCAAGCTCAGCCTTTTCTCGGGCAAGGCGGGCCTCTTCCTTCTTTCGAGCCTTCTCGGCGGCTTGAGCGGCCTTCTCTTCACGAGCAGCAATCAGCTCAGCGGCAGGGACGAACTTGATTAGAGAAGCCTGGTTGTCAGGTCGATCATCCAGGTAGACACCCAGGTTGGTGAGATCCTCGTCACGGATGCGATCAGTCAGAGCAAGAATCGCCTTCTTGGTCTCGGGAGATTGGCTAGAGACGATTCGGCGTAGCTCATCTCGAAGCTTGGACACGGCGCGAAGGTAGGGCAGTGCCAGTTGCTCGGGGTCACGCGAACCACTCGAAGCGATCGATTCGAACTCAGCGGTAGGATCCTGCTCGAGCAATGCAGAGATAGCCTCGTTCTCTAGGGATAGGTTGGAAATGTCCGACTTGACCTTGGCAAAGGCCTCTGCGTATGGCTGCACGGCTGTCTTGGGCTCGACATCAGCAGCAATGACCGTCGCCCAGCCAAGGCCGTCATATGGAGCTGTAGCATTGGCGTCAAGACCAAAGATGCCAACAACCTTGGTGATCCATCGAGCAATCGTCTCGAGAGCTGCGAGATCGGCATCCTTGTTGTCCCTCAAGTGAACGTTGGCCGTGTTGACCAGCTTGAGAATGACTGACATGGCTCTCGGTGTGTCGAAAGAGTTGGTCAGAGCAGCCTCAAACTCCTGCTTCGCTTGCTCAAGCTCGCCTAGGAGACCTTCAGTTGGCTTGGCATCTTCGTTGATAGACAGCGACTTGACACCGCTCGAGATACCAGCCTCGGCAAGAAGAGCCTTGACATTGATGAAGAAGTTCTGTATGCGTTAGTAGAGACTCGACAATACAGCACAGTACAAACTCACGCTAATAGTAGACTCCCAGTTGTCAGCCTGCAATCGCATATCGGGCGAAATCTCGACACCATCGTTCCATCGGCCCATCAGGAAGACGATTCGCATGCCTCTGGGAGAGTAATTCGTAGCTAGCGCATCCTGGATAGTCTGGAAGTTCTTTAGGGACTTGGACATCTTGGAGCCAGAGATAGACAAGTGACCCATGTGGAGGAAGTAGTTGACCCAGGTGTGTTCTCCCTTGCCGTGCTCGCAGAAGTAAGCCTCACTTTGGGCCAGCTCATTGTCGTGGTGAGGGAATGCAAGATCAATGCCACCAGAGTGAATGTCCATCTGAGCGCCCAGAACATCAGAGGCCATGACTGAGCACTCAATATGCCATCCAGGGCGACCATTTCCCCAAGGGCTGGGCCAGTAAGGCTCACCAGCCTTGGACTTCTTCCACAGGGCAAAGTCGCCTGGGCTCTTCTTGCCACCGAGGTTCTTGGAGAGTGATCCCTCACCCTCCTCCTGAAGAGATTTGTCGTTTCGGTTGTCGGGCCGCAATCGCGCATATGTGTTACCAGCCTTCTCAAATGCGGAAATGTCAAAGTAGACAGATCCCTCGGCCTCATATGCGAATCCCTTGTCAACAATTCTCTCGACAAACTTGGCGATCTGGGGAACGTATTCGGTGACACGGGTGATGACGTCGGGTCTGAGAACGTTCAACGCATCCATATCCTCCATGAAGAGATCCTCCATGCTCTGGGTAAGATCGGTGAACATGGTCTGATCGCTAGTGTCGATAGTCTCCTTGTAAAGAGAGTCGAGGTAGGGAAGAAGGATTTCGTCGGCGCCAGGGAAGATCTCGCCTCCATTGATAGCATCGGCAGCGGCTGTCATGTTGCTGAGGTGCATCTTCACCTTGGCTTCGTCGTCTCCAGGCTTGCCCTCTCCAGAGATGGTTCCTCCAGCAAGCACTCCTCCGTATCCGGCCTCTCTCCGCTGGGCATAGTTGGTCGCGTCGAGGTCTTCTCCGTCGTTGAGGAGCAGAGGCAAGCTGCTCTTGGCGTATGCGCGGAACGCGGCGAGGGCAAGCTCTCGGAGTTCGTCCTTGGAGTAGGTCTTGTTCTTCTCGAGTTCAAGCAAACGTTGTCGTCGAGCCTTGATGATAATCTAACTGCGGTTTAGACAAAGTCGCAGGCCCCTCAGCAGCTCCTCATCCATACCTTGTCGTCAATGTCGGTAATGTTCATGACAAAGTTGACCTCGAAGCCAAAGTAGTGCTGCAGAATACGGCGGATAATGTCGGTCGACACATAGTTGCGCGCGTGACCCAGATGGCTCTTGTCGTACACAGTCGGACCGCAAGCGTACCAGGCAACCTTGCCCTTCTCGATGGGGACAAAGGGAACTGGAGCGCCCGGGTTGAGCGAGTTGTAGAGCTTCAGCGACTCCATGGTGGTGGTGCTGAAGCTTGGGCGGGACGAATACGATCGATGGAGGGGTCGAAATCGGGTCAATGGAGGGGAGATTCTTGCCAGGGAACGAAGGCGAAATATATTCATCCAGACGCTAAAGGAGAAAGAGAAGCGAAAGGAAGTAGAGGAGTCAGAAGTGAAAGGGGTATCGTGAGAGAAGAGAAGAGGATGGGAGGACAAGTATATCGAAGTATTGGCTTGAGTCACCAGGAACGAACGAGTCAAAGGGAGAGAAAGACGCCATCAATCAAATTTCGAGGACCCCTCCTCCTCTGGCCTGAGCTACAGGGGATAGCACCTCACCTACAGGGATGGAGCGCTCTGGAACCCATAGTGGCATCCCCCGCCAAGCACCATTGTGCAGCCTCGTCAATAGTCCACTTTAGCGCATTGGTTCAGTGCCCCTCACTGAGTTTATAGTGGGGCAGCTATGATCGTTTTCAGCCTCGCGCTGTCCATCTCAAAATATTTTCTTGCCTTGTCGCAGCAAAGATCCTCTCTTTGACATATCAAATTAATACCACAGCCACGCACGAGGCTGCAATCGCGACAATGACACAACCCTCGCCTTTCCTCGAGCCAGGAAATGTCACGAGTCCTGGAAACCTCGCAATCATCTTGCTCTCTCGCGACAATCTTCAGCCCATCACTCTCGAGCAGTCAACAGGAGCTGTCGATGGCTACCTTGAAGGCGCAACATTGAACACTCGCTTCGGGTCGTTTCCTCACTCAACACTGCTAAACATCCCATGGGGATCTCAAGTTCGCGCCTCGGCCGTTGATACTGGCTCAAGAGGGCGCAAGCGACGCCGAGAAGCCACAGACGAGGACACACCAACGACGACTGGCCCAGATGATGATGTCGTGGACGTAAAGTCCAAGCAGGTCAAGAAGGCAGTCACTGCCTCCAGTGGCTTCATTCATATTTTGCGACCAACTCCTGAGCTCTGGACGAGCAGTCTGCCCCACCGAACCCAGGTTGTGTACACCCCCGACTACAGCTATATCCTGCAACGAATTCGAGCAGTTCCCGGTACTCGCATCATTGAAGCGGGAGCCGGTAGCGGTAGCTTTACGCATGCGTCTGCAAGAGCCGTGTACAATGGCTACCCGAAGGATGAGGACGACGTGAGGGGCAAGGTCTTTAGCTTTGAGTACCACGAGCCACGATATAACAAAATGCAGGAGGAGATTCACAATCACAAGTTGGATGGGATTGTCAAGCTTTCACATCGCGACGTCTACAACGAAGGATTCCTCGTCGATGGCAAATCTCCCCGCGCAAACGCCGTCTTCCTCGACCTACCAGCTCCATGGGAAGCCCTCCACCACCTCTCACGGCAGAGACCCGACAAGGCAAGCAAGGACGGAGATGCCGAAACACCAGACTGGGTGTCACCTCTGGATCCTAAGAAGTCTGTCCACATCTGCACCTTCTCACCCTGCATAGAGCAAGTCACTCGAACGATAGAGGAACTCAGACTCTTGGGTTGGACGGATATCGACATGGTTGAAATCTCACATCGACGATTCAACGTGGTCCGTGAGCGCATAGGAGCGAATCTCCCCAACGAGAGAGGCAACATCCTAGCTCCTGCGGACGTGACAGAGGCGGTAGAGAGACTCAAGGAAATCAACCGCAAGACCAAGGAATTCCACAAGGCGCAGCTGCAGGCAGCAAACGGCGAGGGAGACTCGTCGGCTATGGACGTCGACACGCCGGCATCTGCACCCAAGTCCAACGGACAGCAGGAGGATTCGAAGCCGTGGATGCACGGCAAGCTCTACCACCGGCCCGAGACGGATCTCAAAACCCACACGTCTTACCTCACGTTTGCGGTGCTGCCGCGCGAATGGACCGAGGAGGATGAGGCGGCAGCGTGGGAGAAGTTCCCCTGCGGAAAGGAGGGCGGAGTCATCGGTAGCCTCAACAAGCAGGCTCGGAAGCAGCAGACGAGGGAGAAGCTGGCAGCCAAGAAGAAGCGCAAGCAAGGAAATGATACCCAAGCAGCAGCGGCAGCGGCAGTAACAGCGGGAGATACGGAGGACAAGGCAGAGACACAATAATACCTACCTACTTTTCGAGAGCTCGAGAGCGGATTGCTTATCGGTACCACTTCTTGTTCGACCCAAGTGATCCTTTTGATGTCATCCCAATCAGTCGTCGCCAACGCAAAGAGTGTGACTGTGATTGTCCATCACGCAGTTTCGTTTTACGGACCTACGGATTTGTCTGTCTTGTAAGCGCCCTGGTTACACACGGCTCTCCTTACCCCAACATCCATCTCACTCCAACTCGCATCAGTGGAACGCGCAGTCTCGTCTTAGAAGGCCGCAACGCCAAATGCCCAAATCGAGGCAACCTACGAGGCGGCCTCAGCCCACAGGCTTGGCCAAATCAGGGCCCTCGCAGGCCTTCCCCAACCCTTCAATTGGGCAGTCAGCTGCAAGGACACCTGTTCGACGCTCGAGTGTCAGGCTTCGATGGGCTCCTCAAAATTTCCTCAGCCAACTGGTGTTGCCAGTACATGGGTCAGCCTGCCCGCGCGCTGGTGTGGCCGGCAACCGAGCCCCCAATCATGGGAAACCAGCCGCTGATGGTTCGACGATAATGGCGTTCCTGGACACACCAGAGGCTGCCTTGTGTGCCTCGACTTGCATATGGGCTTCCTCGGCGGCGCCAGGGGGGTCTGACAGTGAGGCTGTCGGCTTGTAATAGGGCCATGCAATGCCTTTAGGTTGTAAATCCTCTGAGCTGCAGTTGTTTTGACGCAGGCTCCCATTGAGCTGAGACTCGATGGGCACCCCCGCGGGCTTATATCTCAACAGCACATCCTCGCTCGCGTGTGCGCCTACTGCTCGCCACATTTCTCCATCGCCCTAATACCAGGGATATACAATTAATTGCGCGAGGCCAGTTGTACCGTATCTGAACTGACCATGAATGAGGCGAACGAACCTAGGCGACGTCGGCGGCATAGAATCGATGCGCCCCAAGCCCAAGCAGTCACAACATTGAAGCCTCCAGCCGCGGGCGCATTCAGAGGCACCCCGACTACTCAATGGTCCGAATGGGTTCTCCATGCCTCGTCATCGTACTACTACCGAGCGCGTTACATCTCCTACGATGAGATGCTGAGGGTGATACCCGACGGTAGAAACTCAATCGTCTCGGACAATGTCGGCGGACACATCCACTACCAGTTCATGGGCCTCAACGACGCCGCGATGCGCAATCACTACACCACACCAACACAGACTCCAGAGCTGTCGACGTGCTCGGGGACTACACCAACGACCGCAGAGCCCTCGCCGTTCCAGCCGCTCCCGAGGATCCATCACAAGGAGCGCGACTACATCTCAGGGCCGCCTGCTATTGAAGACCGCAAGATGTTGATGAGCGGCGCGCTATTACCGCCCAAGCCTGACAATACGTACGGAAAAGCGCTCGTGGCGTCGAAACCAAGAATATCAAGACGCAAGCACCACCAACAACAGCAGCAGCATCATCAACAACAAGCTGCAGTGCCAAAGAAGAAGGAGAGGAAGAAGTTGGAGGTGGACAAGAGGCAGATGAATTCGAATGTCAAGGTGAGCAAGTGGTTAGATTCCTTGTAAGAGTGTGCTCTGGATGTTCTTGTAGTGTTGTATTATTTGATGATTGGTGGTTTCGAGGGGATGGGTTTTCATTTGGCGATTTTGTTTTGATTATAAAGTTACAATTCACATTGGAAGTTATACCCAGGGTCAATAACATGGAATCATCTCCTCTACACCTGAAGCAATCAAAGAATGCCCAACTGGTGAGACTGTTAGGCACTGTGCGCCTCCCAAAAGTCAGGCACTTTTGTACAGTGCCAACACAATTAAAGTTGACGGAACACTCTTCTCGGACCGGATCAACATTTCCCCACCTACCGCTCCCTCAACCACCAAGCCTCGCCAATTTTCACGATATCCCCAAGCTCCAGCTTCAGCCTGGGCCTCCTCAGCTACACGAACTCGAACGAAACCACACCTCCACCGCAACCATGACGTCCACAATCGGTATCCCTATCAAGCTTCTCAATGAGGCACAGGTCCGTACACCTTTTACGCAGCTCTTCTCCAGAACCCAATGAAACTAATCTGTTTGGTAACAGGGCCACATCGTTACTCTCGAAATCACCTCTGGCCAGACCTACCGCGGCAAGCTCCTCGATGGTACGCTCTACATACCCCTTTCTCGAACAATCTAATAGAACACACCACTAATACGCGCACAGCCGAGGACAACATGAACGTCCAGCTCAAGGACATCACCGTCACCGCCCGCGACGGCCGCGTCTCCCACCTCGACCAGGTCTACATCCGGGGCTCCCACGTGCGCTTCTTCATCGTCCCCGACATGCTCCGCAACGCGCCCATGTTCCGCAGCCGAAACGTCCGTGGTCGTGGTGTTGGTCTCGCCCGAGGTCGCGCGACCGTCAGCCGTGCGCGCGCAGGCGGTCGAGGACGGTAGACGAACATTTGAATGGGGTATACACACCAGCGGGGCGCGGCGGTGGCATGTGCTTGGCGTTCAGGTTATTTGGGTTCTCTTTTGCAAAACGAACAATGCGGCTGTGGAAGTCAAGGCAAGGCTTAGGTGCGATACCAGTCTAGAAGGAGGACATGGAATAGGAGAGAGCCTGGTTCTTGGGATAAACCCCCAAGGTAGAGAGTGGTTGTCGAGATTGAGTAGATAACAAAAAAAGAAAGGCGTCCGTTACGCCTGGTATCTCGCCACCATCTATCAGCACATATGCTCATGCCTTTCACTTGCTTTTTATAATGTACACGATCCACTACTTCATGCGGTCAAGGGCGTCTGATGCCTTTGTTACAAGATGTCGAACCTCATTCAGCACCTTGGTCGCCTCATCGTCATCTGTCCGCGTGTGTTTCTCCTCCCCGTTAAGCACGTCGGCAACACTCTCTTCAGCAGCTCGTACAGCTTTACGGCCCTCCTCACGGACCTCGCCCTCCCAGAATGTTCGCGCCGCATCCCACTTCTTCTGTAGTCGACTCATACTCCACATGAAACCCAACGCTGCGACAGCACCCGCTTCGTAGATGGTTGAGGAAAAGGAAGAGACATAGAGGAGAGCGGCGAGTGAAGTTGTGAGTCCTGATGTGCCCAGGGACTGCATGACGAGTTTCTGTGCCAGGGCCTGAAGCGCTGGGATGGTCTCGTTTTGGAGATACTTGCGAGTAAAGGCAATATGACCGGGCCATTTAGGGAGGGCTGGACGGGGTGTTGTGACCGGAACCAAAGGCTCAAGCTCCCCAGAACCGAGGCGCTTCAGCTGAGGCTCTGGGCTGGGCGCATTCTGAACAGTTGACGGCTGAGGATATTGCTGTGTGTTCTTTGCAGCCTCTGCAATCTGACCAGTCAGGTAGACGAGTTCCTGCTCTGCTGTCGGTAGGAACCGCTGGCTCAGCATCTCGTTTGTGAGCATGGCCACATCGTCAACCCGCCAGAAGAGCTGCCACCATCCCAGCTTCCGCCATCGCTGGCCCGTAAATGCGAGATCAAGCTCGTCCTGAAGTTCTGTATGTGCATTTTGTGCCCATGCTGAAAGCCCCTTGTTCAGGTTCGGTGAGAGGGCCAGCGTCTTCTTGGCGTGAGCCTTGATGTGAATGTCCTTGATCTGATTGTGGTTTTCCTCCTTGCATCTCGCCCAAACACTCTCCAGAATCGAGGTAATGAGTCGTCGGACTGCTGGTTTTGTCGTGTCTTCTGAAGATGTAACGCCCGACTTGAGCCAAGTGACCAGGGCGGGGAAATTGCTGCTTGTCCATAATCGCTCATATTCCATAGCATTTTTTGTGCTCTGCCGGAAGAGCGTCATGCCCTTTTCTGCGCTGGCGAGATCGACTGTCTCGAAGGGAGCCTCAAACTGAGTGCGATCGATGCCCTTCAAGTTCACGGCCTTCATAACGGCTTCCTCCTCCTCCAGGAACGGCAACCTTGTCGCATTAACCGCCCCTTTCATACCATCCCCGATCAGAAGGGCTCTGTGGACCGGAGTGGTTACCGGTGTTGACCGGTTTTCGGCTGAAGCAATATCAACAGTGGGAACAAGCACATCCTCCACAATCTTGATCTTCGCGACATAGTCATCTCCTTGGGGGTACGGGATGATTGTCTCCATGAAAAGTAGCTCGAGATTGAAGTTGTTCCAGTCGGCAGAAGAAACATTGATCTCACTGAGAAGGTTCGTCTTGCTGACGGAGAGAATTCCTTGCTCCTCCGCGGTCGGCCTGATGCGCACAATGAGGGGCTTCTTGGGGTCGTGATCCTTCAATTGGCGCTCCCATTCTTGTTCATCCTTCAAGGGGTCCGTCACTAGCAGCCTCAATACGTTCTTTGCCGTCTCTCCAGCGTTGGACCCAGGTCCCAGCCCAAGAATTGCAACCCTCACCACTTCCTGGCCAGGAGCTTGCCGCAAGCCCTGAAGAGCCAATTGCATTCGCGAAGGGTTCACAAGGAGCGGACCGAGTTTCTGCATGTCGAGGAGGTGCTGCTCAAGCTCGGCGCGCGGGTTTCCAGCGCTTTCAGAGGTCGAGACGGTCGAATTGAAGCGGGCATCGCGGCGAGTTCGTGGGCGCATCCGGCCGGCCGAGGTGAAGGAACAGAAGGGGCATATCGAGGCGCCCGGGGGCCTCGATGGCCGTGTCAAGGCGCCGAGGCTCCCCAGGCGGGGGAGACGGGCCCTTTGTGAAGCCATTTGCGGATGAATGGCGATGAGGGTTGCTGGAGCTGGAGCTCGGCGAGGAAGCTCCGATCTCAAATCCGGCACGGCAAAACCCGGAGCTCCGAGAATAGGTTGCGTGGGACAGGAAACGCCTCTCCATTCTTTCAACCAGATTGAAATACCAAAAATATGTGTATTTCGCTCATTTTTCATGAATATACGAATCCCAGACTTAGAAATTCTTTCATTTATCTGCTGGTCCTAGATGTGCTAAACACCGACTTCATGCTCCTGGTGGTGGCGGGGTCGCCTGTGGGAGTTGATGATATCTGCCCAGGTATCAGATCCAAGGCTGAGTTGGACTTTCAGCTTCCAGTGGCCGAGATGCCAGACTTGTATCAACCCATGCTTGAATGTCTGTTCCCAACCAGTCACAGCCACGTGAATAACCAGGATATTGCTGCGAGTATTCCTTGGCGGCCCTTGTAGGCTGACTTGATGAGTGAGTCTAACGATGGAAGGTCGGTTTCTCCTCATCAACGCTCAAACTTGTCGACTTCTTATCCCGAAGTTGCTTCCGTGAAAATCTACTCAAATGTTGGATATCAGAGCAGAGATACGAGATGCCTCGCACAAGAATACGGAACTCCTTCGTCTCCTCGCCGAGACGGGCCATGCCAGCTCTACCCTTACTCAACAACAAAAGATCGTTTCGGATCTCGAAAATAAAATAGCCCGATCCGATAAGAAACTCCATGACCTGGATCAAGAGCGATTGGCCAACCTTCAGACACACAAGAAGTATCGCGATAGCCATTTCAGAAAGTTTCTCATCACGGCCAGCGGCAAGAAGGAGTGGTTTGCCGGCATGGCAGACAAAGAGGAACAAGATTACTTTGAGACGCTGCAGCAGGCGCAGCAAGCCCAAGAGCACAACTCTTCGCTCAAGTCCCAGCTGACTCAGGCACAAAATACGTTGGCGAGTGTTCAAAGCCTCGTTCAAAGGCATCGGGGCGTGCAACGGCAGCTGGATGAACTGTACGATGATATCTTTTCTGGCCCAACGCCAGAGTTTCCCGAGGAAGATGAGAAGGAGCAAGAAAGCAACAATGCGTTAGCAGCGTACTTTACGACAAAGGCGAAACTCGAGGCACACAGCAAGGCGGTAGAGCTACAGGAGCAGGCAGCGCAGACGATGATGGTGACGCTTCAGCACATGGACAAAGCTTTGATCGCTCACAGGACATCCAGCACTTTCATGGAACGCCGGGCTCTACACCAAGCGAAGGATGACATTCAGCAGACCAAGAGGACAATAGATCAGGTATCGAGGCTGGGGCTAGACAATGGGGTACTTTCCAGGTTCAACGCTGAGCCTCTCGTCAGACAACTAAACTCGGCCCTTGGCGATGTCTGGGGGAGAGTCGACATCAAGCACAGTTGCGAGGAAGCAGCCCGTTGTGCTTCGATACTCGACGATGCTTTGAGTTATGCCAGAGTGAAGAGAGCCAGTGTGGAACGGGAACTAAAGGAGAGGGAGCTTGAAATGGAAGAGGCAAGAAAGGGGTTGCAGAAGGTTCGGGAAGGCATTTTTGAGAGGGTCATGAACGAAGACATGATGCGTGGTCCGTAGGATGCGCCTTGAGTTTACCGGGGAGTTGATGAAGCATTTGTGCCCTTTGTCTCTCGATCTTTCGGATACCCCATTTGCCTTGATTAGTAGTTCCCAAACCATATGGTTTGATAGCGATTCGTCGACATATGGCCTATTTCGTTGCCCCCTCGTCAAATGAATTTAGCTGTCGTGATTAAATAGTCTAACTGGCGATACTAACCTCATTGCCTATCGCCAGGTTGTCGATGCAGAGATCAAGGTAACGACTGAAGCAATTTAAGAATTACCAATAAAAGAAAAGAAAACTACTCTGTACAAATCAAAACAATTCTTATCAGTTCTAAACCCGAAAACCACACTCACCAGCAAATGAATCGCCCTCAAGACATGGCCAGGGTCCATCCCAAGCCACAGGTAACCCAAAACGGCAACCAGATCGTCAACCAGATCGTCAACCGACATTATCGTCGACCTCATCGGCGTTTTCCCACACAGATCGGCCCAACAGCCCAAGTTTCATCGTATTTCCCGCATTTTTACGCGAAAATGGAAACGATGATTCATGACTGCAGGACAACCGAGGTGTTCATGTGGGCTTGGCGCCCGTCGTTGAGTGGGTTAAGGCGTTTTAATGCGAAAGAAGCTTATAATTAAGTATGGCCTCGGCAGGGTCCTGGTGCTAAAAAGCTTGCTGTCGTTGGATACCCGCATTGTGTTCTTTGCTCTTGTCTGTGTTGCACGGCCATCATGAGTGACAGTGGGCAAGGCAGCTCTGGGCGTATGTCTCGGTCTCAAATCTCGCGATAGCTTCCTCTACTGACCTCTACCAGGCCCGCCCATCGACGGCTACGTCGATCCAAACTTTCCCAACCCCAACGGCGACTGGGATACGCCCGTCATCATCTACGGTTACACTCCCGCCTTTTCGCTCGCCGTGTTCGCCGCCGTCTGGTTCGCCGTCTTCCTCGTCGTCCACCTCTTCCAGACGATTCGCTTCCGGAGCTGGTACTTTATCACGTTTCCCATCGGTCTCTTGTTTGAGATTGTCGGATATATTGCGCGCTCGCTTTCAGCCAAGGATGATCCGTATCATCTTCTATACTTTATCCTCAACTACTTCTTTATCGTCACGGCACCCGTCTTCCTCGCTGCGGGAGTGTATACCATCCTCTCGGCCTTGATTCCCCGACTTGGACGTCGATACTCGTTCCTCCCGCCCAAGGCCATCTTGTGGTTCTTTATTACCTCCGATGTTATTGCAACTGTGGTCCAGATCACAGGTGCTGCTCTCATTGGTGTTCGACAGTCGAACCGCGACGATCCCACAGACGCAAACAACATCCTCCTCGGCGGTCTAGCCTACCAGGTCTTTTCCCTCGGCGTCTTCGTCATCTTGACCGCGAGCTTTCTCTTCCGAAGCCGACAAGAGATTCGCACACGAGGTCGAACACTCACCAGTTTCTGCGCCGCATTCGCAGTAGCCACCATCCTCATCTATCTGCGAACGTGTTTCCGTCTGGCAGAGACGGCAGAGGGATTAGGCGGTCACCTCTATTCCAACGAGATTTACTTTGCTTGCCTCGAGTTTGCTCCCGTGGCGTTGGCTGTGTTGCTGTTTGCTATCTGGTATCCTGGACGGTGCGTGGGTAAGAAGGTGGGGGTGAAGGATCTGGAAAAGGAGCAGCAGAGCGCAGTCAATTTCTGAGATGACAGCAGAAGTCAGAGATACCCATCGTTTATTGAATGAAACCGTTGATGCAAGTAAACCGGCCGTTTTAAACGTTTATGGTGAGATTCAGTTTCGAGAAGCAATCCACACCCCCCCCCCCCCCCCCCCCAGCTTTCAGTGGCTGCATACCCGCCATAGCCTAAAGTTACAGCGCCTCCACCTAAGCCTGCATCAACCTAGAGCCTCTACCTTCAACATGCATCACCGAACAACACGCAATATCTCGAACCTCAAAGCTCCTCGCCCCAGATGCCTCCCCTCCCTACCTCCTCCAATCCCCTCCCCCGTCTCATAACCTACTACCAAACCCATCATGACTCCTCTGGAAACCTCATCTCCCCCCTCCCCCTCATCACGCAGCCAGGCATCACCATCACCCACGTCATTGTCGCCGCCATCCACATAAACGACAAGCCCCAGGACATCACCCTCAACAACCACCACCCGTCTCACCCCCGCTTCCAGACCATGTGGGCCGAGCTCCGTGTCCTGCAGGCCTCGGGTGTGAAAGTCATGGGCATGCTGGGCGGCGCTGCCAAAGGGAGCTATCAGCGCCTTGACGCCGACCAGGAGCAGTTTGACAGGTTCTACGGTCCTGTGAGGGACATGATCCGGGAGCGTGGACTAGACGGTCTTGATCTGGATGTGGAGGAGGAGATGAGTCTAGGAGGCATCGTTCGACTGATAGATCGCCTTCGAAGCGACTTTGGTCCCAGTTTCATCATCACTTTGGCACCCGTTGCCATGTCTTTGCTCGACTTTACCAAGAACCTCAGTGGCTTTGACTACGAGGCTCTCGAAGTCATGCGGGGTCGCGACATTGCCTGGTACAACACACAATTCTACTGCGGCTGGGGAGATTGCAGTAACCCCCTCATGTACGACCTCATGATCCAAAAGGGTTGGCCCCCGGAGAAGATTGTCATTGGACTCGTCACCAATCCGGAGAATGGCGGGGGTTATGTGCCCATGAACCCACTCAGCATGGTCCTCACAACACTGAGAGGCCGTTATGGTTCCTTTGGAGGTATCATGGGTTGGGAGTACTTCAACAGCTTGCCTGGAGGTACGGCACGGCCGTGGGAGTGGGCAAGGGACATGACGAAACTTCTAAGAGGGCAATTGTTTCCACAGTCGGCAGAAACAGCAGTGGTAACAGATGGGTCGACACCTAAAGCTCACGCAACTGACGAAATCGATGCGGATGCGCCAGGAGGGAAGGATGTAAAGGTTCCGAAGCAGTTCGACTACTACTCGGATGGCACAGATGATGAATAGATATAGTCCTAGAGGCATAAAGTCAAAGACAATGCGCTGACCCAAGCTTAGATTATCAGACGCCTTTATATGTTGTGCTCGACTTATACAACCATGATACTACAGATGGGTAAATCGATCCAAAGCATCACCTTATATTAGCAGTAGTCTTTCAAGGTTTGGTGTTAAATTGACCGTTCCTTTGCATAACAGTTCCCTGACCTTCATTAAACGTCTGTTTGTTTCATCAATCATAGACGTTGATGTTGAGAGGAAAACACGAAACTGAAGATCCGACCCGCTATCAATTGCGGCTGAGCATCGACGTGACCCTTGGCGAACTTGCCAACAACATCAACAGCAAAAGAAGCCAAGAATGAAAGGTCTCGATCCATGGCCAACAATATGAGGCTAGGGCTTAGATACAGTCACTATTTTGTGGTCCAGCCAACACATCTAGCCGCTGCTGCAACCCTCATCGCCATTATCACTCACCGTGACCGGATACGCCGCGTCTTGTCAAGGGCATCACTCTCATTGCAAGATGCTTTGTCAAATAGCCTCCTTCAAATCTCCCAAGCAATTTTTGGCTTCAGATATAGCGACAAGATCGGCGATCAGCATATCCGCCTCCTCCGTCTCCCAGACACAGCCACGGACGCCTCACCAGCCTTCACCCTCCATACATTCTCTCTCGACACATGTCCCCCGTATCTCGCCATCTCTTACACCTGGGGTCCGCCCGAGGGCGATTCTTCATTCTACACAGATCATGACCGACGATGCATCCTCCTCAATGGGAAGCCATTCCCGGTGTTGCCGAACCTCTGTGACGCATTGTCCCAGATGTGTGTTGCCAGACCTGGGCAGTATCTCTGGGTCGACAGCATCTGTATTAACCAGACCAGTCTCTCTGAACGCTCTTCCCAGGTTGCCATCATGGACAGCATCTACAATAGGACATTCGAAACCATGATATGGCTAGGTCCTGCGTCAGACAAGACACCACGCGCTATCGAGGTGGCCCGACAACTAGCAGCAGGCGCAGAGGCCAAGATCCTTCAGTTAGCTAGGGACCATTCGTACGGGGACGTCTTCATCGTTGACGACCCAGAGGTTCTCAAAAGGAATGGCCTACCACCTCTTACTGCGGACGACTGGGTCGACCTCGGTGACATCTACACCAGAGCCTGGTTTGGGCGGGTATGGATGCTCCAGGAAGTCGCCCTATCACGCAACCCAACAGTTCTAATCGGCCACTACGAGGCTCCATGGGACGTTATCGCAGACGCTGCTGCCCTCACTGGCATGTCCCGCGCCACTCTCGGCCTCGTTGTCCTAGGTAACGGGCGTGAGGGCATTCCCCTAGTTCAAGGCCTCCTCCACGCCATAAATCTCCAGATCGTCCGCCAATGGAGTCAAGGCGAAGCCAGTCGCTTTAGAGAGGTCCTTCAAAACGTCGACTTTTCCTTTGGAATCCATACAAGTCATCCCTGGAGGATACTACTGCAACTCTTGCTGGGAAGCAACGGGTCCAAGGCAACATTCAGAAGAGATCGTGTCTATGCCCTCCTTGGCCTCGTAAATCACATGGCACGGCTCGAAGGACAACCCCGTCTGAATCTCAAAGTTGACTACCATTCGACCGACGATCAAGTTCTCACAAATCTTGGATTCACCTTTTTTCAGGAAACCCAGTCCCTACATCTCCTCTCCCTCTCCGGCCTCGCCAGCCGTGGCACCAGTTCAAGTTTGCCTACCTGGATTCCTTCCTTCGAGACAGTCCATGCTCCCATCCTCAACCCGAACTACAGTAACCTCCGTCCATTTGATGCCTCAGCTGGCCAAGGCGTTGAATTCACTATCAATCAAGACCGTCATCATCTACATGTCAAAACTATCAGACCTCATCTAGGCAGCATTGAAGAGCTCGGCGAAACATGGTCCGAGATGCTCCATGGCAGTCTCAACAAGTCCATGCAGATCCTCCTCCACTGCGGTGCAACATACCTTCCCACTCAGCAACCCATCGTTGAAGCCTTCTGGCGCACTCTCATCATGGACAACGATTTGGTCCAGCGCCCAGCACCATCAAACCTCGTCGAGGCCTTCAGTGCCTGGATGACCATCATAACCATTGCTGCCCTAATCGCCCATCGCCCTTCCAACCCTACCAGCCTCAATCACTTCGATAGCCTCGAACCGCTGTGGACCCTTGCAACCAGCAGAGATTCCACAAATAGCCTCCCCAAGACGAATGATATGATTGCCTTAGCTTTCCAGTTAGGCATGCCCAGAAACCCAGACGTACCAGTCATCTCTGAATCAGAACGCCGAGCCAGGTTCGAGGCCTTGAATCAAGCCGCTGCTCCTTTCGAGGCCCTACTGCGCTTGACCCTCGTACCCAACAGACGCATTGCGAGGACCATCAGAGGCTACCTTTGTCTAGTTCCGACCGAGGCCCAAGTTGGGGATAAAGTCATGATTGTCGCTGGATGTCCCACACCCTTAGTCCTGAGGAGGTTCAACGACCTTGACGATTGCTTCAGTCTAGTCGGTGATGCCTACGTTCATGGCGCTATGTTTGGGGAACATGTGACAGGAGACTTTTGGTGGACAGACATTTCACTGGTTTGAGAAGCCAAGACACGAGCAGCATCGAAGGAGTTGCTCAGCGAGACCAGTTGCATTACAAGTGTCATAAGTAAAGTAAAGCAAGCGAAATACATGTACAGAAGCGAAGGAAGTAAGATAACATGAATCCCGAAATCGTCCGTCTCTCATCTCGCCCATCATAAACCATCTAACATGTTTGCAGGTACAAGAGAACTCAGTAATCGTACACGCGCCTCAATCATCACCTCACTGGCATGCCATCCAAGGGCTGCACTCAGCTTGGACACTGTAGCTGTTGTACAGAGGGTAGGTGCCCTTGACCGCGGCAAGAATTGGGTCAAAGAACTGCTTGTTGAATCTGCCAGTCTCGCAAGTCGAGCAGGCGCCGCTGAGGAAGTTGTCGTAGGTGGTGTTGTAGCCAAGGTAGCCGATGATGTTCTGATGAGCAACATCCACGACCTGGAGGTTGAAGGCCTCGGGCATGACCACCCAGTGCTCGGCAGTAGAGTTGTTGTTGTTCTGGCCTGGGACAGTGGGGTTCTGGTTGAACCAAGTGCTGTTCATGCCAACATCGCGGAGAGCCTTGATCATGATGAGGGTGAGGTGGGAGTCGGAATCAATCTGAATGCCAGCACATTCGATGTTGATGGTATAGCCATCTCCCTTGATGGGCTCAGCGATGCACTTCCCAGACTCTTGATCCCAGGAAAACTTCTCGATGAACGCCTGCCAGGTGCTGGGCCAGTTGAGGAAACGAGGGCTGACCGAGGCGGCGACAAACAGCTTTCCAGTGTTCGGGTCAGAAGTAGGTTCTGGATCGCCACCAGTGGGAGAGGGGACAGGAGTGGCAGGTGGTCGTGAGGAAAAGGTAGTTGCGGGAGGGGCAGGGTCTGTTGTCAAAGAGGAAGTTTGAGATCCCATGTCGTCAGGACGGGAAGGAGGGTCGTCATCGCGGTTGCAGACAAAGGCGGACCAGCAAACAGCTTCAGGGTTGACGGTCTTGTTGAGAGATGCACTGACAGGACGACCACGGTAGGCCCAGCAGTTGAGCATCTGGCCACCCTCCTTGGTGGTGACAGCGGAACCAGCCTTGAAGCCATCAGGGGTGCTGTCTTCGATGTAGACGGTCCAGACAACACCGTTGGGCATCTTGGCAGTGGCACCTTCAGGGATCCAAGGGTATTTGCCGTTTTTGTAGGGGACCTCGACGGCCATGTCAGGTGCGTCAGGGTACTTGTAGGCATCTTCTGGCCACTTGATGTCCTGGTACCAGTTCATCTGGCGGGAGGTCGACCACTTGGGGTGCTGGGGGTTATCGCCAATGCCACAGTCGGCCAAGATGAGGTCCTCGCCGGGGAAGCGTTGGGCCTGTGCGGCCATCAGAAGAGCGGCGAAGGCCGCGAACTGTCCGAACATCTTTGTAGTGTGGTGGTAGATTCAAAGAGTGAAGAACGTGGTTGGAGTGGTTGTGCTGTGTCTGAGCTGAGGTGGGAGATGCTGTGAGCGTTGGATGAAGTGAACCTTGGATGAGGTGGTTGGTGATGGAAGAGAAGAGAAGAAACGGAGGAAAGATTCTCGAGCGACGAGAATAAATGCCCAGTCCTGTGCCAGCACATCCGAGTCGGAAGGAGGGGGGGTGTTTTGTTGGGGCGGTTGAGGTCATCTCGTGGAATTCTAGGAAGGTCCTCTCACGAACTCATACGATGCGAGGTGAACGAGGCAGGAGGGCACTCCAACTCAGCCGTCACAGACCAAGAGCAATTCCTTCCCAAAGGCTATTTGAGTCGTTAAGAGCACATTTCATCATTGTTGAGCTGCGTCTATTGAGAGTGAGGCGGTTGATGCGAGGGCAAGGAAGGCAGCAGTGCCAGTCATGGAAGCAGATACAGAGGAAGGAGCTTCGGTGCTCTTGATTCCACTTCGACACGGTCATCCGAGCGTGTTTTCGGAGAAGTATCTCCGTGGAGAGAACGAGCTCATTTGGTTCATGGCTGTAAACCTTGAGCAGCGTCTACTCGGATGGGGGGCGCTGAGTCTATCGCCGATGGATGATGATGGGGATCGAGCCAGTAAGTAGAGTCCATATCTCTGGCTTAAGAAGCTACCAGAACAACTCTTTGACTCTGTTGAAGATCGTTCTGCCACTTGTTTCTAGCCATTCATCCTCCAAACAAGTCTCGAATAATGAAATCCAGCTGGAGTAATTGCGTGTAAGTCCGACCCGAACCCCCCATTGGAAGCCGGCATAGACCTTCCATTCAGATACAAGTGTGGCGACTCGCTGAGGGAGTGAGCCCAGACATCCATACCACAGAACCTGGGTTTGTGATTTAAGCGAGAATGAAATCTCACAAGATAGCTCGAGTGTGCACCTTCGACAAGGAAAGTTTAGGTCACTAGGGCAGTACTCAAAGAGGCCGTCGAGATAACTCTCTGTTTTTAAGGTGGATAATTTTCAGTTAGAGTAAAGAGAGCCCTCGATTGAACCTATACAAAATTAATTCACAAGATAAATAACAAGAAACTCAAATATTCACCCAAAACACCCACACATGGCTTCGAAATTGACGAACTCGCAAGTCATATCCATACGGATGTCTAATCGGAAGTTAGCTACCCTAAACATGCACATCTCAACAGGGGTTGAGGCTGTCAGCAGCTCCACTCAAGAACGTCAACTCTTCTCCCTCTCTTCATTTTGTAGGTTTCGTCACCTCAAACGCTCGAATATCCGTCTTGTGTGTTTACTATCGCAAGCTAAACATGCGTCGCAACCTCTTCGTCTTTAATTGGCGCCCCAGCCTTCGTCCCCGCCACCCTCCCTGCGTTTGTCGTACGTCTGTCAGGACAAAATCCTCCCAAGCCTCCCGCATCGACCGCATCACAGCCAAGCTTCCCCGCCGCCTACAAAAATACACCAATGGTCTACGAAATGCACCAGTTTCGCACATAGTATCGTTTTTGATCCTGCACGAGATCACGGCGATTGTACCTGTACTGGGGTTGTTCGGATTGTTTCACTACACCAACTATGTGCCTGTGGACTATGTGACGGGCCACTTTGGGACCTATGTCGAGGATGGCGTTGGTCGGTTCGAAAGGTATTTCAAGCGCAAAGGCTGGTTCGGGTTCGGACAGGATCAGGAAGATGAGGTGAATGTGTCAAGCACCAGCCCGGGAAATCGCGAATCCAAGTCGGAGGACGCCGTCGAACGATGGCACAGTGGAGATGGACGATACAAGGTCGTGGTCGAAGTTGCTCTTGCATACGCCATCACGAAAGCTCTACTGCCGATCCGAATCATTGGCAGCGTTTGGGCAACGCCGTGGTTTGCCGGTGTTCTAGTAAGGGCAAAGGGAATCTTTACTCGAAAGTCGTAGACATCACAAAGCACAGCCGCAAGGTTGAGAAGATTCATGTCTTGATTTTGTTATACCCGTTGAGATTCAGTCATCCCACATGTACGTTTTTCCGTTCCATCGTTCAGGGCGTCACATCATTGACAATCTAAGGCTTCTCGTAGACCCAGTCGAACTGGGAAGTCTTCCAGGAGAGGACCTCACCCTCCTTGAACCAGAGAGCAATCTCCTTCTGGGCGTTCTCGACGGAGTCGGAGCCGTGGCAGACGTTGCGACCGACGTCGATGGCGAAGTCACCACGGATGGTGCCAGGGGCGGAGGCAAGGGGGTTGGTGGCACCGAGGATGACTGAACACGTTGGTTAGAAGCTGGATCTGGTGATGCTGTGACGGGTCAACTTACCACGGCCGGTCTTGACGGCATCACGGCCCTCCCAGACCATGGCGCAGATGGGGCCAGAGTTCATGTACTCAATCAGACCAGGGAAGAAGGGCTTGCCAGCGAGGTCGGCATCTGTGAATGGTCAGAATCAATTGGCAATCGGTATAATGGATCGAGGGTACGGACAGTGCTTCTCGAGGTGCTCCTTGCCGGGGGTGACGAGCTTGATGGCGGCAAGCTTGAAGCTATTTCCAAATGTTAGAATGCAAGAAACGTACGATACTCGCTAAGATTGCTTACCCTCGGTTCTCAAAGCGAGAGATGATGGGACCAACGAGGCCACGCTGGAGAGAAGTGTCAGTTCATGACCTTGACGAAGGTGGCATTGTGCCATTGTTTACCTGGACACCATCGGGCTTGATAGCGATGAAGCTGTAGCAAAGTTAGCACATGTTGTTTGGAGGGGTATCGACCTGGAGGGGTAGGTCAACAATGGCGGGGTAGCTTACGTCTGCTCGGTAGAAGACATTGTGATGTTGTTTTGATCTGGGATGACTTGGGATGTGGGAGTGGAGGAAGAGGAGGAAAAGGTAGACTTTGGCTCCGGCACAACTGGAGGGGAAAGGTGGGAAGAAGGCGGTGAAAAGAGGATATAAATGGCCAGGAGGGCGAAGAGGGCGATGAAAATCGGCGGGGACAGATTTTCCGCAGTTCTCCGTAGCGGGTTGCGCTGGTGATTGGGGTGCTTGTCGCCGCCTGCAGCGGGGTTCTCGACTTTTTGGCGGGGCTCATCAGCCATGATGAGTTGGCGTTGAGGGGCTGTGGGTGCGAGGAGAAGGGGATTCGCACGGACACGTGACTTTCAATTAGTCCAAGTTGACACTTGGAATGAATAGTTGTCTTTAAGGTCTAGGGAGTGATGGATTCAAAGCAAGCGTTGGCAGAGTTGAAACTGATTCGAGTTGAGTTGGCACGTTCTACAACCTGAAGACCATATTGAGTTTAGATAAGCCAAATGGGGACAGACTCTACTTACCTCTACACGATCCTGAGCTGCAGCTATCAACACCAGGTAGCTTCAAGCAGTATACAGTGCAAGAAACCGCAAAAGTCAATCAATCAAAATAGCAACGAAAAACAAGGAGAATACAAGAAGCGAAGCAATGGTTCCTGATGCTGGGTCTAGTCTTTTACCGAAGTTGCCCCGCTGTCTTGACCCCCGACTCCACACTCCCCTGCGTGTCAGACCAGTCCCTTTTTGGCTTGGAGCTCTCCCTCTCAGCTCCAGAGTCGCCAAGGCTCATCAAGGGACAGCTTGACCTCGACACCATCAGAAGCTGAGGCTGTCAGGGAATACGGCCAACCATCTGCACTCACCATCTTTCCAGCGGTTGCTCCAGGCCGTGGAACTCATTGTCAATTTCATGTTTATCTAACCTGTCTATAAATACTTTTCCTATTTATTTTGCCCCTTATTGACGGCTGATCCTCGTGTTACCGGTTACCGCCATGAGGTCAACCATGGCGTCGTCCTTTCAATGGACGGCGCTGCTGTTGCTGTTAGGCACTCTTGTCTGCCTACTTCAGCCAGCTGGTAAGATGCTACAGTCCTTCCAAACCGCGGTTGAGAAAGTCATGCTTACAATTGCCTAGCTGCCGTCAAGGAACACGACTTCAAGAAGTGTCGCCAGTCCGGCTTTTGCAAGCGAAACCGAGAGTACGCCGACAACGCTGTCTCCCTAGGCTCCAACTGGAAGTCACCATACGAAGTCCTCGCCGACTCAACGTCCTTCGAAGATGGCAAGCTTCAGGCCACGATCGTCAAGACCATCAACGCACAGGGGGAGACCGTCCGACTCCCACTGACCATCTCGTTCCTCAAGTCCGGCACCGCCCGAGTCACAATGGACGAAGAGAAGCGACGAAACAAGGATATCGTCTTGCGAGACAACAGCCCTGTCCGAAAAGAGCGATATAACGAGGCTGACCCCTGGGTTCTCGTTGCTGGCCTGGATCTCGATAAGGAGGCCCAGCTTGCGTTCCAAGACAAGACTCAGGTCAACATCAAGTACGGCCCCGAGTCCAAGCACGAGGCCATCATCAAGTTTTCGCCGTTCGAGATTGATTTCCAACGCGATGGAACCTCCCATATCAAGTTCAATGATCGTGGCTTGCTCAACATGGAGCACTGGAGACCCAAGGTTGAGAACAAGGAGGGTGAGGAGGCCACTGAAGACGAGAGCACTTGGTGGGACGAATCTTTCGGTGGAAACACTGATACTAAGCCTCGTGGCCCCGAGAGTATTGCCCTGGACATTTCGTTCCCCGGATACGAGCATGTTTTTGGTATCCCCGAACACACTGGTCCTCTGTCTCTGAAGCAGACTCGAGGCGGAGAGGGCAACTGGGAGGAGCCCTATCGCATGTACAATGCGGACGTCTTCGAGTACATCCTCGACAGCCCTATGACTCTCTATGGGTCTATCCCCTTTATGCAGGCTCACCGCAAGGATTCCTCTGTAGGCGTCTTTTGGTTCAACGTCGCTGAAACCTGGGTCGATATCACCAAGGACAAGAGCCATGCCAACCCCCTGAGCCTTGGAGCTGGCTCCAAGACTAACACCCACACTCACTGGATCTCTGAGTCTGGTCTCCTCGACGTTTTTGTCTTCCTCGGCCCTACTCCCGCCGACCTGACCAAGAACTATGGAGAGCTGACTGGCTACACCGCTATGCCTCAAGAATTTGCCATCGCTTACCACCAGTGTCGATGGAACTACATCTCGACTGACGATGTGAAGAACGTCGACCGAAACATGGACAAGTTCAAGATCCCCTATGATATCATCTGGCTGGATGTTGAGTATACCGATGACCGAAAGTACTTCACCTGGGATCCTCACTCTTTCTCAGACCCCATCAGCATGGGTGAACAGCTCGACTCTCATGGCCGACAGCTGGTCCTCCTGATGGATCCTCACATCAAGAAGACGGACAACTACCCGATTGTGGCTGAGTTGACTGCACAGGATCTTGGTGTTCACAACAAGGAGCAGAAGATCTATGAAGGATGGTGCTGGCCTGGAGCCTCTCACTGGATCGACTGCTTCAACCCCAAGGCAATCGAGTGGTGGAAGACTCTCTTCAAGTATGATAAGTTTAAGGGAACCATGCCCAACACCTGGATGTGGAACGACATGAGCGAGCCTTCAGTGTTTAACGGCCCCGAGGTTACCATGCCCAAGGACAACATCCATCATGGAGGATGGGAGCACCGTGATGTGCACAACCTCAACGGCCTGACCTTCCAGAACGCGACATTCCAGGCTTTGGTCACGCGCGAGAAGGGTGAGGTCCGACGCCCCTTTATTCTGACGCGTGCCTTTTACGCCGGATCGCAGAAGCTTGGTGCCATGTGGACTGGCGATAACCAGGCCGACTGGGCTCATTTGGCAGCCTCCATCCCAATGACTCTCAACCAGGGCGTGTCTGGCTTCCCCTTTGCTGGTGCTGATGTTGGAGGTTTCTTTGGCAACCCTGACAAGGACCTGCTTACTCGCTGGTACCAGACTGGCACCTTTTATCCATTCTTCCGTGCCCACGCTCATATCGACTCTCGCCGTCGTGAGCCTTACCTGCTTCCCGAGCCTCATGTGCAGATTGTTACAGCGGCAATCCGCTTGCGATACACTTTGTTGCCTGCCTGGTACACGGCCTTTTTCAACGCGGCCCAGGATGGAAGCCCTATTATCCGGCCCATGTTCTGGACACACCCCTCTGAGGAGGCTGGCTTCGCTCTCGAGGACCAGTTCTTCCTTGGCTCGACAGGCCTCCTGGTGAAGCCAGTGACGGAACAAGACAAGGAGACGGTCGACATCTGGATCCCCGACGACGAGGTCTACTACGACTACTTCACCTACAAGATCAAGAAGACTCAGAAGGGCAAGAACCTTTCGGTTTATGCACCACTCAGCAGCATTCCTCTTCTAATGCGAGGAGGACACATTATCCCTCGTCGTGATATCCCTCGACGTTCAAGCGCTCTCATGCGATTTGACGACTACACTCTCGTCGTGTCAGTCTCCAAGGCTGGCAACGCCGAGGGCGAGTTGTATGTCGATGACGGCGACTCGTTTGATCACGAGCAAGGCCAGTATATCCACCGCAAGTTCACTCTGAGTGGAAACACCTTGACTTCCCTGGAGGCAAAGGGCCGAGACGCGAAGTCGGTCAAGCCTGGTGACTGGCTCAAGGCTATGGACAAGGTGTATGTTGACAAGATTATCATTGTTGGCGCACCTTCAACCTGGAACCAGAACGAGGTGCAGGTTGAGTCGGAGGGACGCACATGGACGGCCAAGGTGCAGTATCACGCTGCCAAGGGAGGCAGAGCAGCCTACGCGACTGTGGGCCGTGTGGGAGCCAAGATCGGTGAGGACTGGAGCATCAAGCTTGCTTAGACGGTGGAAAATCATGGGTTTAATTAGAGGTGGAGAGCAGCCAAGAATAAAGAATATGAACTTGGACACGACCATGAACAGGGCCGCGAATGAGCTCGGACACTGCGGCACTATCCGCGATGCTGGAGCTGCCTTTGTGGAGGAGCTGTGAAGATGAATGTCATGAAAAGGGCAAGTATCGGCGTTGTTGGCGCGTCGTGCGCGGATATCAGGCGAGGGCCAACGGTCGGGTGGAGTTGCTGATCCTCAAGGCTGGGGTTGAGCATGAGGAGAGATGGAGTGAATTGTGGGTGTGTTGTTGAACGATGCCGAGGCATATGAGGCAGGATTCCATGTAGGCACTACGTAGTTTGTCTCTCCTAGTGCCCACGAGGCAGGAAATTGTGTATCGTGGATATCATGACAAGACATGATCAGTGGGTGAAGAGTAATGCGAGACTGGAATGTCTTTGAGAGAGACGGTCGACTGATTGGCCACGAAGCAAAACAGTTACATGGTCCGTGCATCATGAGTTGGAGAGATGCATGTGCATGTGAAATGTGGACCAAGGCATGATGTGATGCAACGGATTGTGCACGTTTAAAAGAAGGCCGGGAAATGAGTTCTGACAACTAATCGACAGCATATTTCCTACCTAGACTTCCCCATTACTTAATTTAGTAATCTCATCTTTGTCAACGGTTTGATGGAGGCTGAAATGAACGGTGAAAGAGTCCGGACGAAATCGGTGATGCAGAATCCGAGACGTCATCTCTCGGAGTAATGATTGACGGCCCATCTCGTGTGCTCTGCCACAGATTCGCGCGCTACTACCACGCTGTGTGCTACACCATGAAGACCCCTACGGGCCACGCACTTTGATGCCAACATGGCCCTAATGCGTTCTGCATCGGTGGTTGAACTTGACGGTGGAGGTTGCCACCACGGAGAGGAATAGACCCCGAGGGCCGCTAGTTTGACATGGACACTGAGAATAGGAGAAACTTTTTGAGTTTGAACAAGGCATGATTCCCCTGTTTCATGAATGAAATGGTTGGTATTCAGGCGCGACATCCTCGACGGATAGATATCTCTCAGCCTTTGATATCGCCATGTGCTTGGTTCAAGGAGAAACAAGGGTGGCCGCGTGGTGGGTGCGGGCGTTTTTGGTGCTCCCGTTCTGAAACCGTCATTTATCGGTGCCAGGATTGGCTGCGAGTGCCAAGGAATGCCCCTGAGCTTCTTGTCATGGGCAGGGTTAGATCTGTGGATTAAATCTGTTCAACTTGAATCTCTTTGTCGGTCAAGTTGAACTCCGTGGTTCCGCGGACTGAGCTCGAGTCAGGTCAATGGGTCTATCTCTCAAGTTTTCAGCATCTAGCTAGATTCACGGGCACGCCCCTTGGCGTTTCACAGTATGAGGCTCTGTGTAAAACTGGCCTGGACCCCCACGTTGACGGCATGGCTGCACAGTAGGAGCCGAGCTTGGACGGGACGGTGCCTGACGTTAAGCCACCCAGGGACAGAAATGTATGGTGTGGTTGCACCAGAAAAAGATGGATGGATTAAAAATTCTTTCAAGTTTGAACCTCCCGTCTCGATATCCGCCACCATCCATCAACTAAGAAGATCATCATGGCGTTATCGCGCAAGTAACACGAGATGGCAAAAGCCACTATGGAGAAATTCAGAAGAAAAACAAAAGACGCCAAGCAGGGATTTCATCAACGACAGCACAGCATCTCTCCGGTGACGTCAGAGGTGGTCTGGCAAAGGCGATTCCAGTCGGCCATGGTCTGAGGAGTCTTGGGTTGTTTAGCCTCTGCAAGCTTTCCCGCGAGGGAAGGGATTTGCGCTGAGGCAGATGCGCCCGACAAGCAGCGAGGGTCCTTTTAATTGACATGGCTATCAGAGACGACGGAGAGAATCCCTGGCTTGCCATGCTTGTAGGCGTGCGCGCGTTTGATGTCTCGGTTCTGCGCCAACGAGAAACCTTGGAATCGAACCCTTTTGCATCCTACCTGCGAAGATCCAGGTCGAATTTCACGCACACACATGCGCGCGTTCAATGATCTGCATCGACAGTGTGTTGTGTGCGGCCCGGCACACCGGCCACCAAGAAGCGCCGTCACGGTGGTTGTGACGAGTTGGGCCACACATGGACTCGATTGGGAAGTCTTGGAAGCGCCGGCGGCATCCTCGGTCTTTCCCCGTTGGGATGTTCCATGGGCAAGTTAGTGACACCATCCACACCTCCCTCCGTCATGATGGTGTTTGCAACATCCGGCGCCCGTCCGCGCCCCGTGGTGGCTTGCCTTGGCCCTGACACGGCGCGGGCTCCACTGCTGCGGGCCTTTGGGGCGCGACTATCCAGGGTCCGGCATCATGCCTATCGAGCGAGCATCTTTTGGTCCGGAGGAGTGGGTGAGGTGAATATTTTTGGTGGTGGTGGTTGGGAGAGAAAAAAAGGTGAAGGGGGTGTCGAGGAAGTTGTCGCCTCGTTGACAAAACAGGTGAATGAAGCAGAGAAACAGTGGATACGTCCTCGCAACTCATCCATTGAACTGAACTTCCTATCTTCACTCCCTGACTGACTGACTCCTGGGTAAGCAAGGTACTGACTGTAAGCCTATCTGGAGAGGACCCAGTCTTTCTCCTGCTTGCTTGTACACGTCCCCACGAGCCCATGGGCGATCTCTTAAAGCTCAACATGCTCCTCCCGGTCGCCCGCAGGGTTTCGAATCTCTTGGTTAAATAAACTCCCCCGGATTTCTCATCACTTGGATGTGAAAAGTTTGATTTTTGCTCTCTTTTTTTTCTGCAAGGAAAGGTGTGAATTTGAGTTGACCACCTGGACTCTATCGAGTACAACTTGAACCTCTGAGCTCAACACCAACACCACATTCACCATCGACACCTCAAGTACGCGCAAGCAAACACAAACGGTCCTGCAGCTGGACGTCGACATACATATCCAAGAGAAACCCATCTCGATCGATGTCATCACAAATGCCTGCCTGATCCACTTCTTTTTTTTCTTACTTGCCTTTCGTTTATCCCCATCCCAATCCCACATACCGGACTTCCAGTGGGTATTTCGTCACTCGCTCTCCACACCTCGATCGCATCTCGAGACGGGACGTGTGACATTCTTTTAAATCCCCTTGGCCGGTTGCATTCACTTCCTTCCTACATCTTTCTTATTCAACATCCCTGAAAGAGCTTGATGTTCTGAAACCCAACAACGGGGATCATCATGGCTGCTACAGATCCACCTCTTTCTGATGAGAAGGAGTTTAAGCTCCAACAACCCCCTCCGACGAGACAACCTTCACAGCAGACCACACAACACCCTCGACGAACCGATTCACCTAGGTTAGGAGATGATGAAAAGATCTCGGCTCCTTCGCTTGACACCTTTCCTACCCTCGCTGCACCCAACGACACGAACGACTCCAGCTCCAACACAGCCCGGTCTCCTTCTGGCCAGCGTGCAGACGCCAGCCGCATCGATGACAATCTTGAGCTTCTCCGCATCGAGAGGGCTGTTTCAGCTGAGGATCAGGATGGTGCCAGCCACATGAGGAAGCGCGCCCACAATGTCGAGCCTGAGGATGCCTTCAACGTCAATCTGCCCGACGAAAAGACCTCTTACGACAACAAGAAGCGAGATCCCGATGCCGCTCTTCTCAAGTTCTGGATATTTCTTCGGAAGTTTCCTCGATTCGTTCGGTATTGTCTATACCTGTTCCCTGGTGCCGCCCTTCTCCTTATCCCGGTCTTGCTTGGCGGGTTTGCCTTCAAGAATGGTGAGCGAGATGTCGGTGGTGTAGACTTGATGTGGTTTGGTATCTGGCTCGAGATTGTATGGGGAGTTCTCTGGGTTTCCCGCATGATTACCAGTCTCATGCCTCCCACCTTCAAGTTGATTGCCAGGCTGTCTGGTTCGACCACTCCCAAGAAGTGGAAGGACATTGGTTACCAGCTTGACCTTCACACGGCCGTCTTTCTCTGGTTCCTGGCCATTCTCATCTCCTTCGAGCCGACCATGACTTCTCACAACTACCGGGACAAGAAGCCACACTGGGTCACTGTCGTCAACAAGGTCATCATCGCCCTCTTTGTCCTGGCAACCCTCAACTTTGTCGAGAAGATTCTCATCCAGTGGATTGCATCGTCGTTCCACCAGCGAACCTACGCGACCCGTATCGACAATAACAAGACAGACATTGGCCAGCTTGTCCGTCTGTACGAGCATGCCAAGGCCAAGAATGAACAGACCGACTACTTCTTCCAGCGCGGTAGTGGTTCCGCCAGCGGCGCCCAGACACCAATGCAGACCCTTCAGGACAACGCTCGTCAGGCATGGAACAAGGTCGGCTATGTTGCTGGCCGAGTTGGAAACGATTTGATCGGTCGCAAGGTTGACAGCAATCATCCTCGCAGAGTCGTCAATGAGCTTCTGAAGCAGACTGCTACAGCTCATACCCTCGCCCGCCTCATCTACCGAAGTACCGTGAGAGAGGACCGTGATCTTGTCTACCTCGAGGATCTACAGGCCATCTTCACCGCTGAAGAGGAGGCCGAAGTTGCCTTTATGATGTTTGACAAGGACATGAACGGTGACATTTCGGTCGACGAATTCGAGGCCGTGTGTAACGAAATCCACCTGGAAAAGAAGGCCATCGCCGCCTCGCTCAAGGATCTCGACTCGGTGATTAAGAAGCTTGACAAGGTCTTCTTGTTCATCATCGTTGTTATCACCATCATTGTGTTCATCTCGATCCTCTCGGGCTCCGCTGCCGCCGCTCTCGGTTCTGCGGGTACTGTGGTTCTTGGTCTGGCCTGGGTGCTCCAGGCCACCGCGCAGGAGTTCCTCCAGTCCATCATCTTTGTCTTTGTCAAGCATCCCTTCGATGTCGGTGATCGTGTGACCGTGTACGGATCGACTGGCGACTTGATGATGGGTGATGATTACTATGTGACGGAGATTTCTCTTCTCTACACCGAGTTCAAGAAGATGCAGGGTCACATTGTGCAGGCCCCCAACTCGCTGCTCAACAACCTCTTCATCCTCAACCAGCGACGTTCCAACGGATTGGCTGATGTCGTCAGTCTCGTGATGCGTTTTGGTACGCCTCAGCACATGATCGACGAGCTCAAGGAGCGCATGACGGACTTTTGCCTGGCAAACAAGCGTGACTACCAACCTCGCATCATCACCGAGATGAGAACTCTGGACGAGGTGCGGTCATGCTCGATGAACCTCATCTTCTTCCACAAGACCAACTTCCAGAACGAACTGCTGCGTCTCAACCGCCACAACAAGTTTGTCACGGAGCTCATGACACAGATGGTCAACATTGGCATCCAGTCTCCGTTCCGCAACGAGCCTGGTGGCAGCCGTGATTACCCCATGTACTGGACCGGCATGCAGCCTCCTCCTGCGTATGGCAAGGAGCAAGACCGTGGCAATGTTGATCCTCTGGAAAACCACTCGCAGTCTGAAGGTCCTGCTTTGCACCACTCCGCTTCAACATACAGCCGCCGAAGCGACCGTCAACGTTCTGTGGACGATAACATGAACGACTTCCAGGATGTTTTTGAGAGCAGGCGAGATAACGTGCACGCGCAGCGCCTGGCGAGCATCCGAGAGAAGGAGCGCGCTTCGCGGATCGAGGAGGAGAGGGAATCCATTGCTAGCTCCTCCGGCGTTGCCCGCCGCATCTCAACGGAGAGTCGATCTCGGGTCTTTGGCCGCACCCGGACCGGGTCTAAGAGCCGCCGGCCGGCAGACATGGTCTGAGAGCCGAGACAAACTAAGCATTGACGAACGAACACGAACACGTCTACAAATATCATGAGTTTTATGAAATTTCCCGATAGAGTTTCCAGACCGGCACGTCTGAAGAGTTTTTCTTATTGTTTTATTTTCTATCACACAGAGTGTTACGGCACGATAGCTTGGGGGTGGCAGATTGGAGAAGAATAGAAAGCGAAAAGATAGTACCAGTGAAGCAGCCATTACGAGGCAGTTTGAGAATTTGGTTGACTGGACTTGGAATGCTTGAACCTGAGAGTTTAGCGGGATGCTAATACAGCGCAATTCAACCATCAAATGGTGACACTGAGTATAAAGTGAATGTCCAAGCTCTCGACAATCGAGTTTCGAGATCTAATAATAACACGAAGCTTGATAAGAAAGCTTGATTGTTTCAATCAGCAAGGGATCCACTGATCAAAGACAGGGGGCCAGAGGTGTGAGTGATGTAATTTCAGTCGACATGAGTGACTGACACCTGGCGGTTGGGTGGACCAGAAGTGGTCACGATGTGTGCGCAATATATACGATACAAAAGATCCAACATGAATCAATCAGACGAGATGAAGAACGGAATTGCTCATGTCATCTCAAGTAGCAGGTATATCGCTTTTTCAAACATGTAAGCTCCGAAGGAACGGAGACCTGGGGGGAGCTCTAGCCGGGGCCCCATTCAAGGCTGAGGTGATGGTCCCCGAGGGTCTTGGCCAGTGGGTGAAGAAATAAGCAATACACCAGAACGAGAGACATATCTGATTTGTCACAAATTCTGGAGCAAGCCAGACCAGAATGGGATATACGAGATATGAATAATGAAAGGAGATATTCAAAAAATATTTGTTATCCCAAAACCCTTTATATATCACAAATGCTATGTACGGTACTTCATTCTGCTACATTTACAAAGCTCTCTGTTAGTGTCCTTGTACTGATGCCTTGACTTTTCCCTCACCTAAGAACCAGGAGAATCAATAGCGAGAGCTGTAATTAAAGGGTCCCCCCTCCCAATCCATCCCACGGACCGCCCTATGAGTAGCCCGCCCAATAGAAGACGACTCCAATGTGCTCAGCCGCTGCCATGGGCTTGACTAGTGGAGAGCAACCGACTACCCGTGCGGCATCAGGCTGCGAGCCCCGGAGAATGCCTTGGCGGTTGAAGCGAAGCGTTGGCTGGCGTCTTGCTTTTGGGTATTCTTCCTCTCGATCGATCCAAAAAAGGGAGACTTTGTTGTAACCTTTTCGGAACACGGCATATCTTCAAGTTTGCTGCCCTTTGTGCTCCTTCTGCCCCTCCGAAGCCGCTTGCTCGGGTTTAAATGGTTGGTGGTCGGGTAGTTCAGCTCCCCAGGTCAGCCCGCGCGCCGGCCACGTTCAACCCGAAGCTGCTGCAGTGCAATTCAGCCTGATCCGACCAAAAGACCTCGCCCTCTACGATGCGCATCGACGCAGCTCGATAATACCAGACTCTCGAGAACAGTCGGGTCCTCCAAGGACATAGACGGCAACCATGGCTGGTCTTCCAGAGGGCTGGGACATGGACTATGACGGTCAGCGATGGTTCTACAAGTACAAGCCCACCGGACACATTCAATACCACTTCCCTAAGGAGGGCGACGAGTTCCCCGACTTTGTCGACGTATACTCCCCGGCGCCTGACTTAGCTCCCGAGGAGCGTCTCGAGTCGCAGCAGCAGGTTCGACGACACACGAGCACTACAACGGCGAGCGCCCACGCAAAGGCGAGGAGGGAGGAGAATGGTTGGGAGAGTCGCATGTCGGCCACCGCGAGGCCTGTGAGTGCCGTTTGGGACGGTGATGGCGGCAACGGCGGCGGCGGCGATGACGACAATGCCGTTTTCCAGCCCGAGAACTTTATGTACCTCGGCCCGGGAGCATACAACGATGTGAGCCCGCTGGCCGAGGAGGAAGAGGAGGCTGCGAGGAGGGTTGTTGCGGGTGGCATCGAGGACAAGTTCGACAAGTCTCCCGGCAAGGGCGTGAGCCCAATCCCCAGCGAAAAGACGACACCAGCCCATGGAGCAGTTCACGCAGAGCCCCTAATGGGAGAGCCAGTTGCTGTTCCGTCCACGGTCCCCGAGGAGACACACGAATTCGTCCCCATGATTGACAGCCGCGAGGTCCCCACGGCGGCTCCGGACCCGGTGGGTGTGATAGCCGAGATGCCCACCGAAGATACGGGACCAGCGAGGGTAGAGACGAACCCGCCACCGGTCGAGATGGCGGATAATATGGTGCTCGCACCCATCGAGACGGCCCCGCCGCCGCTGTTGGCAGAGCTTCCAGAGCAGTCCAGCCCTGTCGAGAAGAAGAACGAGGACCCTCAACTCGCGCCGGGATCACTGAGGAACTACGGTGGTCAAATGCAGCCTCTGCGGGCACAGAAGAAACCAACGGCTCCAGTGGAGGAAGTCGTTGGGGGATTCCAGGCTTATAAGCCCAGATCGGCTGGAAACACGCCGGATATCTCACGGGGGTCGACGCCGATGAGAGAAGAGCCTGTTCTGGAGCGAAGAAGGACGTTTCAGCCTGAAGATCATCTCATGATGAATTCCAAGCCTGTCCAACCGCCTTATAGAGATGCTACGAGTACTCCAGGTGTGCTCGCGCCTCCTCAAGTTCCCCCGAAGCACCCGATTGACGACCCCTCAATACGAAATGCTCCGACTCCTGCTATGGGTATCAATGCCGGCTCTGGTGGACCTCAGGGACCACAGCCTCCGCCAGGGAACCTGTCATATATGCCCTCTGTGCTTAAGGCTGGACGGAGTGGGAATCGACAGGATTCATTCTCAACTGGACCATCAACGTTGGCTTCACTCGACGATGATAGGAGAGCGTCCTTGGCACCGGGTCAACAGGGCGATCTCGCTCATATGCCTTCAGTGTTGAAGCCAGCACGCGGAAGAGCTCCCTCACAACCTGGCCAACAACCTCAGTTCCCACCCCAGAATCTCAATGCACCACCTGGTCAAGGCCACGGTTATAAGCCGCCTGCTCAGGGGCAGCATCCCCCATCCATGACACCAGCGCCACACGTTCAGCAGCAGCGTCTCCAGGAGGAGCCCAGGATGGGTATTCAGCGAGTCAACACTGTGCCCGACTCACTGCCTTCTCAAAGACCAGCATCTATGATTCAAGGCGCAACGTACCAGGGACAGCAGATGAATGTTCCAGCTGGTGTGAATCAAGCCCAGCAGCCTGCAAGACCTGCAAGTGTGATGCCAAACATGATGGGAGGATATCCCCAGCAAGCAGCAGGACGGTCAAATCCCCCAATTCCGCCTAAGCAAGGCGTTATCCCACCTTATCCTGATCAGATTCCCGCCACGGCTCCTCCTCCATCAGGACAAGCAGCTCCATTCGGGAGACCGGTTCAAAACCCGCCGTATCCTGTTGATAACCTTCCGTACCCCGACGACCCTCCGATGCAAAGGCCACCCTCGAATTTCCAGCCACAGGGCGCTGGTGCAGTGCCGGGTCCTGGGCATCTCAACCGACGCCATTCATCGTTTAGCGGTGCAGAAGTGTCGCCTATCGATTCTCGACATGGAAGCATGTCCTCTATGTATCCCCTTCAAACTCCTTCTCCCATGGAAAACAGCCGCCGGGGCTCATCGTCCGCCTCACTCAACCAGGCCGTTAACCCTAATTATACACCCTCTCCTGTTTCTCAGTCTTCATCATCCATGTACGGCTTCACGCCTACGCCTCCTTCGGCACCAACCAACCAGCCCCAGCAAGGCTACTTCACCACGCAAGACGTCGAAGGTCAGGGCCAGGGCCAGGGCCACGCCATAGCCGCGCAAAACATGCTACGCAAGAAGTCCCTGAGCCGAGGACCTCCCGATGCTCGACGAAGCTCCGTCGGCTCGCCGCTATCCTCCCCGCCGACAACGGAGTCGTATGGCGCGGCCCAGCAAGGACTGGCACGCTCCCAATCTCTCCGCCAGACGTCCCAAGGCAACGTTGTCCCACAGAACCAGGTCGTCCCAGCGCCGACCCCGCCACCGCAGGGGCAGCAGTTCCTGGGCCGAATCGAAGAGCATGAGGAGGTGCCGAGCGGGACAGTGAGCCGGTCTTCAACAATGAGTGGATCACCAGAGATGAGGCGTAGTTCGATGGCCTCTTCACAGCATAGTCCAGCGGGCAGTCGGAGGACGAGTCTGCAGGGTGATAGTCCAGGAGGGGGTTCCCCAAGTCAACCTCCGGGACAATATAGTCCTTCAAACCAGCTTCCCCAGGGCCCTATTCCTCCTCAAGGACAGTTTGTTTCTCAAGGTCCAGTTCAGGGGCAAGGACCTTCAGGTGCTCCTTATCCCGGTCAGATGCCTATGCAAAATCCAGCTCAGCTGCAAAGGAAGCCATCAAAGGGTCAAGCACCTAATCAAGGTGCCCCTCGGCCCCAGGGCCAGCCCCCGTACCCGAATCAGATGCCAGTTCAAGGACAAGTCCCCGTTGGAGGTCCAATGCCACCTCAGGGCCAGATGCCTCCTGGACAGCAAGGCCAGAGACCACACGGGCAGCCTGTTCCAGGCCAGACTCCCCCACCAGCTCAGACTTCTCATCATGGGCCAGGGAAGCTACTGCGGAAGCTCTCAAAGACGCAGCCTTCTCCACCACAGGCGACTCCTCAGGGACAACCTCCTTACCCACAGCAAACCCCTGGCCCGAAGCTGTTGCAGAGGAGATCATCTCAAGGGCCAGCCAACCCAATGGGACAAGCTCCTCCCCAAGGCCAGATGCCACCAGGCCAAATGCCACATCCCGGCCAAGCACCCAACGGCCGAGTGCAGCCACAGATCCAGATCCCCCAGAACCAACAGCAATGGGCTCCTGGCATGCAACCCCCGACGCCCCAAGGATTCCGTCCTGGTTCTGTCCCGCCTCAAGGACCGCAAAGCGCCGGCCCCAAGGAGGGAAAGGGAGGCAAGTGGTTCAAGCTGTTCAAGGGCGGCTCCAAGTCTACAGCTCAGACCCCGACAACACCAACCGTGTCTTCTCCGGTGACGGCTATCAACAACGCCCCTCCGAGATGGGGTGGTGGGGAGTACTCGACTCCGGCGGTTTGGCAGCCTGGACAGCCTACTACTGCTTCACCGGGACCTGGCTTCCAAGGAAACATGCCGCCTCAGCCTGGCCAGGCTCCTCAACCTGGTCAGATGCCTCCTCAGCCTGTCCATGGACCTGGAAATGCGGCTCCTGGACAAGTACCCCCCGGGCCTGGCAATATGGCGCCTCATCCTAACCACATGGCTGCCCAGTCTGGTCGGATGCCACAGCCTGGTCAAATGCCATCCCAGTCCGTCCCTGGGCCTGGAAGGGCGCCGCCTGGACAAGGTCCTCCCGGGCCCGGCCAAATGGCTCCTCAATCGGGCCAAATGCCTATCCAGCCAGGACAAACGGGTCCTAAGCCTGGCCAGATGCCTCCTCAACCTAGCCAGATGGGCCCTCAGCGCGGACAAGCACCCCCTGGAATGGGCCAAGTACCCCCTGGACCTTCACAGATGGCTGTGCAACCTGGGCAGAGACCTCTGGCACCCGGCCAGATGCCCCCTCAATCTGATCCCAAGCCTCTCCTGCCTGGTGAAATGGCTCCCCAGCCTGGTCGAATACCATCTGGACATATGCAACTACCCAATCCCCAAGCGCCTCCCGCAGGTGCGGGCCGGATTGCAGCATCTCCTTCAGCTGCACATATTCCAACAATGGCCCCTCCTCAGGTCGCCCCCTTAGTAGGACCCTCAAGGGCTGGACCAAGCAACGCTCATCAGAATCTCCCATCTCATATTCCTCCACCAGGGCAGAACAATGTTTCTAGGCCGCCTCAACCTATGCCGGTACCGCAAACAAGAACCCCTGAGCCACACCAGCCAAGAAATATACCTGCACCGCTCCGGCCAGACACCCTGCGTGCAAGTCCCGAGCCACCACTTGCATCAAGCCCAGGCCTGTCTGATGCGGGTTTGTCTGCAATGAGTCGGGTATCTTCTCATCAGAAGAGAGACAGCCTGTCCGATGCGGGATCTATCACGACCATCGAGGTGTCTGAAGCGAAACCCCAGCCGGTCTTGCGACCTTCGATTGTTCAGGTCCACAGAAGATCTACGGATATGTTCCGAAAGTCTGAAGAGATCCAGCGCAATATGGAGGCTCTGGCGAATGCGGATGCCGCTCCCAGAGGTTCTTCAGATACTTCTCGTTTTGAGCAGCCCCTGACAATCCAGAAGGCACCTTCACCCGCTCCCAAAGCTCAACCACAACAACCCATTTCAAGGCCGGGCTCAGCTACCCCTCGTGATGTCCTTGAAAGGTCCCTCAGTCCGGCACCATTATTCTCCAAGGGCGGCTCTCCCAAGGCCGCCCAGAATGGACCTTCGAGCCATCGAGAGAATAACATGGAACCAATGACACTCTTTTCCAAACCCAACCCTCCTGTGTCGGCCGTTGCTGGCCTCCCGAGTCAGCAGATGAAGCCTGCACCGCTTGTGCAACAACAGCCACCTCAACCAGCTCCTCCCCCTGCAGATGACAAGTGGGCAAAGAAGCCAGTCGTAGACTACTCTGGTGGAGACTGGGGAGATGACGATGACTGGGACTATTAATATTTTTTTATTGGCTTTGTTCAGACTTTACATAGCGATCATGTAGCGTTTATTACTTTTGGATGCACGAAAAGTTTACAAGATTGTTTGGAAAGGAGATTTGGTTAATCTATACCAAGAGGATTAATGTTGAGAAATGAGTCTATCTGAAAGGTCTCGATCAAACAAATTCGCTTAGTATCCAACCTTGTGATGTCGATCTATGCTTCAACCTCGACATGTCGGCCTTGACTAAATCGTTGACAGCTTTGAGAACCTTGCCGACGAAATCTCGACCCAAGGAGTCGACGAGAACTCCGTCGTTGTTTTCAAGGTCTTCATCAACCTTGCCTGTTAGAATGCTTGATGCCATAAGGCGGCTCATGACTTCAACAAAGGTTTTGTAGTCGAGCATCATCTCGATGAGGGGCCTGTCAGTCTTGGCATCTTCCCGGCATTGCTTGATAAGCCCCGCCAGGTCCCAGCTCTGCTCCTCACCTACGCCGGAAGGGCAAGCATCGCCGGGAGCAGCAAACTTTTCGAGAGTCGAGATTCGGGCCTTGATGTAGCTGGCGAGTCTGGAGGTGGCGCGATCAAACTTGCTAGCCATGAAGCTAGTCATGGCCGTCTTGGTATGGACAAGCTTATCCACGTAGCCACGCAAAAGTGCCAGGTGTCCGCCGTTGTCTAGCAAGTGGCAAATCACTATGTCGAGCCTCTCGTCGTCGATGAAGGTTCCGAGGCGAGGCAGCGAGCTAAGAGCCACGGTCTTGGCTCTGCAAAGCAGGTCTTCCAAGACCCGGATGACGCCGCGGGCCTTGTCCCTGATTTCGTCATCAGTTGAGGTGTCGTATGAAGCCATCAGGGGGGGCACGTCAGCGTGCTGAGCATCTCCTGGGTGGTCGATGAGTTGGCTCCTTGCGATTTCGATTTCATTCTGAAGCTCTGTGGGAAAGGCTTCTTGCTTATCCAAGATGAACTTATTGAAAGTGCTTATCCCCTTTTTCATGCATTCATATGCTTCGGCGATCCCGTCATCGGCACTCTTCGCAAAGGCCAAGTCAACAGCGCGGTCGCCAAAAAGACACTCGTCAACACTGAGATTCAGCTTCAGGATGAAATCTGAAGGCGCTTCTAGCATAGGCTCTTTCCCAAACGGGAGTCCGAGTCCGCAATGGTCCTTGATGCGCTTCATGATGGCAGCCAAGCGGTTGGCCTTGTCAAGGTGCACTTCGAGAACCTTGATGTGGCCATGGGCTTGGTCGAGAATCTCTTCCTTGCTCTTGCTTCCGAAGGAAGCTTGCAGTGAAGAAAGTCTGCCTACGGATGTAGGTGTGGACGCCTGGAAGGAGGGGATGGTGGAAGTGTCGCTGGGCATTGTTGCTGTTGGTGGTGAGTCAGTGAGTTGTTGTTGTTATGGACTGTGGTAGTTGTGTGTTTTTCTTGTTTTTGTATGATTTGTGAAATTCTGTGAACGAAGATGGTTTCTTATAACACCATGAACGTTTGGTGTGTATAGAGTCTTTGTCTGTTGCCAAGGCCGTGTCGAGGCTTTATCAACTCAAAGAAGCCTTTGCGCTGCATCCCTCATTTTCTTTGTTATAGCTACTGATGTTCTAAAATTAAAACAACTGCTGCCCTTGCGTCATAAAGAATATCAAAGGCGTCATTTCTCCTAAACCAGGTATTCGCCAGTTTATTCATAGGGCTTTGTGTGTATGAGAGCACCGGGGGTTGCTTCTTTCAGTACGGAAACACCGGGTCAAAGCATAGGAAGCCACCATGTTTCATTCCCGTGGCTGTAACATCTAGAACATATCCGAGTCTCTCCATGCTTCACGATTGATACGGAAGCCTGGGCAATGTCTAAAGCCGGATCTCTTGAGGAGGGCAGACATTTGGCACACCAACTTGGCTATTTAACACACATTCGTACCTGGGTCTATATCTTCTAGCATGAAGGTTCAAATGGCTATATAAGAGCTTTGGTTGGCACTGTACTGTGTTCTATTGCTCTTTGGTTCACGTAGCTATAGGCATCCACTTAAATTGTAACCTCTTAACTACTGAATCGGGGTGGTAAATACTCAGGGGTGATTAATTATAAGAGAACTTGGTTAATTTCTCTAAAATTCAAGGAACGAGCGATAGTTGCTAGGTAACTAAATATCTATCTAGCATCATTTGTGTTAAAAGGGTGAGTTCAGGGTATGGTCGAGCAGCCGTCTAAAACTAAAGGTGATCTCTCCGAGGACTGAGATGTTTACTTGCCATAGATCGCAGGTACCTTCGTAAACGGCCTCGGCAAAACCTTGACCCATTGTCTGAAAGAGATTCTGTCTGTCATCCTAGTCTTCAAACTTCTTGTTAAAGCGGCTCAGAAAAGATCCATCACACTCCCAGTCATTGAATCTCTTGCCGTCAAATAGACTCCGGGCCTCAGATGCAGAGGCTCTGCATCAAGTCCTTGGCATCAGATCTGAGCGATCCAAGGCCCGATACCTCCCAGATGGCTCACTCTTGGATATCCTCTTGACTCGGCTTTGGACTGTCGCGTGGGCGGGCATCGCAAGAAGACACATGGTCAGCAATCCGCTCAAGACTCGAGAGTTGATACTTGAGACGGTTAGCAAACCTCGCAGTGGCCTGATCGAACTTGCAGGCCTCGAATTCGGTGATTACTCGCTGGCGGAGTACTCTGTCCGCCGTGCGTGGCTTCAGATGCTGAAGTCTGTCCACGTAACGACGCAAGAGCCGCATATCCTGATCATAATCGAAGAGGTCACCGATGATCGCATGGAGAACCTTCTTAGGGCCCTCCTCCATCTCCTTGTTTCCGAGGTAAACCAAGGAGCGAACCATTTCTGCCTTGGCCTTGCAAAATAGCGTCTCGAGGGCCTCTACGGCGCCGAGAGCCTCACACTTGATTTCGTCATCCTTCATAGTGTGGTATGAATCCATCAGCGATGGCATGCCGGCATGCCGAGGACCTTGCAGCTGGGCCATGCGTTGGTCGGTCGAGGCTTCGTCGTTGAGCACCGCGGGAAGCTTGCCAGAAGCATTGATGTACTTCACAATGTCCATGAGGCCTGATCCTATCTCATCAACGCGACGGCGCGTAAGCTCCATGAACCGGGACACCCATTCGTCGTCGAAGTGCGAGTGAGGAAACAAGGCGGCAAAGAGGCGTCTTTCCTCCAACTCACGTTCTATCTTCAGGATAAGTCCCAGCTGCCTTCTGTGTTCGAGTTGGCATTCCCACTCGGCTCCTTGGCCCTTGATGCCACTCGAGACGGAGGCCAAGCGCCTATATTGCTCAAGTATGATTTGAACGCCGTCGATGGCGTCATAGGCTAGGTCAAGAAGCTGTTGGCGAGTCCTGCGGTTCAACCCAAATTCGAGTGGATAAGTTGCAATGTTGATGACCTTTGGGTTAACCTTGATCGTCTTTGGGTTGGCCAGGAGTTCCGAGATTTCCCAGGTTTCACGAAATGATGGATGCATAGTTGCAGGTTGTGATTGTTTGAGTTGTGAGTTGTGAGTTGTGAGTTGTGAGTTGTGAGTTGTGAGTTGTGAGTTGTGAGTTGTGAGTTGTGAGTCGTGAGTGTTTGAGTTATGGGTTGCTGCTGCTGTTGTGTGGGTGTGTTGTGAAAGTTGAAGTGATGAAGCTTGGTGGATGAGGGCGAAGAAGGCTCCCTTTTATGACTTTAGGAATGCTAGGTGCAACAGAGACTTGTCCGTTGTTCAGAGTGTTATCTATCCAAGCCTTGTCTGTGGGATCAAAGAAAACAATGCGAGAGCACCGGTGCTGTTCATCGCTCATTTTCTTTGTCGTGGCCATTGATGTTCTGAAAACTGACTCTTGTCCAGTTATAGACAATGCAATGACAGTTAATGTTACCATTCCAAACAAACTATCGCCAATTCTTTGGTAACGGCTCATACAAGAACGCCAGACTACTGATTGCTTGCTTCCTTTGACGTGGAATCTCCAGGTGTCAGGCCACTGAAAGGCGCCCTTTGATCTATTTCGTTACAATTATACCTGAAACGCATAAAGAAACCACGAGTCTGTTCTGTTTTATTGCAAAGGAAGCATCAATGGCAACTACGCCAAGATTGAAAAGGGGGTATTTGATACACCAACTCAACTACTTGGCAAACATCCATAGCCATGTATACTTGAGCTTCAGGAATAAATCTATGACCAAACTAGACGATGAAATGCCTCTAGCTTTCTCTAGCTTATATTCTTTCCCTAGGTAGAGAGTCTTGAATAAAACATCTGAACAGACCTTTATGCATTTCGTAAGCTGCCTGGAGATGGTGGTGGCGAGGACGGCCATAACAATACTAAATAGGCCTAAAAGTGCTCTTATATCTATCATTCAAGATACTTCTATTGTGCCCCTGGCTATATGGGGGGCGTTCTCAAGACATATCCGCCCGCGTGGAAGACTCCGGTCAGAATAGGGGAATGGTTCACGGCAATATAAGGCAGGGCATATAGCAAATTCAGACTAATAATAAGCATAGTGTTTAAATTGTATAAAAATTATTTTGAAAAATGAATATTCTATTTCTTCGGGAATAATACGCAAAGAGAGACAATTTCTCAGTTCTACATATGTAGCTTCAAGGCAGGGGCATGCACGAAAAGTAAACTGGGGATAAGTAAAAGGGCTATTAGAGGATAATAATGAATATAATAGGTGATTAAGTATGTAATTACAAAAGAATATCTGTGCAGGCGGGTGCTTACCACAAACGTCTATATATGTTGCAACTCCTATCTGACCACCCGAACCATGCCCCTCAATCAGTTACAATCCCCAGCTTAGTTAGGGCACAATACCTTGAGACCCGAAATGAGTTTCTCCAAGGCCACCATGTCAGCCCTGAGTAGGCCGTTAAGAATCGCGAGGGCGTCCTTGATGAAGTCAGGGCCCAAGGCCTTAGAACAACCGCTGTTCCAAGAACACGCACCTCTACTAGTTCTCTCCCTTAGGGTTTCGGCAGCCATCTGGCGTTTTCGGATAGCCGTAGTATCGGCACAGCCCTCCAAATCCTGGGCCGCGGCCGGGTCGTGATTTACGGCATGATTCCTCACTTTCCAGTATTTTCGGAAAAGCAAATCCATAGCCTTATCATCTCTCTTATACTGGGCGTAAACTCCGTCAAGGTTCTTGCCTTTGCATGAAGCTTGCAGTGACGATATGTCATGTTGAGTTGGAACATCCCCCATGGGAAGAGTGTCGTAAGCCATGATAAAGGCTCTTATACAGCAATCGAGTCTGGCAGCGGATTGGTCAAACTTGTCAACCATGAACTTGGTGATTGCCAGGCCATCACGCTGGGAATTGTGCACAAACCCCTGCAAGAATGCCAAATGCTCCGCGCAATCAAGGAAGTGACGAATCCCATTAGCATCCCAAAATCTGTCTTTGCCGTAGGAGAGGAGTATCAGCGTCATGGCCTTGGCGTGTTCAAAAAGAAGTTCGAGGGTCTCGAGAACGCCTTTTACCTGCTGCAAGACCTCGTCTGAGGACTTGCTATCGAATGAAGTCGCCAGCGATGGCAGTTCTGAAGAGCCATAGAGACCGGCGAGGTTCATATACATTGGTCCCTTTGCCAGCAGGCGTCTTTCCGAAGGAATCTCGCCGGGGCGCTTCCCTAAAGCCCACTCAATAAACCCTCTGGTACGTGAGATGCTCATTTCGACCTCACGGGTGATCCAGGAGACGTGCCTATCGAAGGCGACGGGTTGCATGAAGGCCTTTCCGGCAAACAGGCGCTCATCTACAAGCTGCTGAAGGCCCTGGAGTTTGCTCATGCATTCTTCTGCCATGGGGCCGAAATCAGGACGTGGGCAACAATTCTCGGTTTCAGGAGTATCGACGATGTTACCGAGAAGGGCCTCCAAGTCATTGAGTCTAGAGATGCGGAGTCCGAGAGTATCCAAGATTTTGTAGGCTAGGTTAAACGTCCGTTCCCGGATTTCGCTCTGGGAGAAGGCCGTAGGAGATGGAACAGCGATGGTCTTGTCTTCGGGCATTGTTGCAGTTAGGGGTGAGGTATGCTGGGGATTTAGTTTAGATTTGTGTACGCTTTTGGGGTGAGTGCAAGTGATTGGTGATAACTGAAATGGGAAGGGCCGAGCTCTTTTATAATCTCGGATGCCAATCCTGTGGTGCTGAGCTTTCGCTCAAGAGATGGATCAGATAGGTTAAGGAGAGGTGTTCCATCTCTGCATTTCAGATAGACCGACGTAGAACAAAAGATTTGTTCCTCTCTAGTTTCTATTTTAGGTCTTAGCTTCATCGTTACTCTTCTCTCTTTGTAGTCGTTCAAGGGATACCACTCCCTCGCAAAAATGCTGCGAACACCCAACGAACCTAGCGCTAACAGGGACACTGTTGTAAGCACAAAGACAGCCAGCTCCAGGCCATATTCAACAGAATCAACCGTTCAAGATTCCAGGACAAGTTACGGAGACAAAGAAGAGAGCGATCAGGTGAACAAGTTGTATGCCAGCATCAAGACGAAGGCGGATAGGCCAAAGAGTGATCTTGTAAGTGAGATCACGTGACCCCGCGTCACCGGCGCGATGACCTGACGCTTGCGGTTCCTTCTTTGTTCGACTTCGGCGCAATTGGATTCATCAATTTAGCCGGGCGCGCACTTCGTCCTTTCAACTATTCGCGACAGACGTTCCATCGTCAGCTCGATTATCGCTCAAATGGTTCTCCCCTCACGACAATGACACACTCCAAGATGCTCGCTCATGCAGGCAGCAACGAGTCGCAGAACAGCCAGGCCATCCTCGAGGCCTACAGGGCGGAATTTGGCGTTGGAGCGGTACGTATCCAGTGCAGCACCACCACCCTTACACTGGGGTTCGCGACTAGCGCAGCAGGCCACTAACACTTGTACCTTCTGATACAGCTCAGCAGCCCGCCCTCAAGGGTTTCATTTTCGAGTACTCGAATGACCACGGTCAAGGAGATCCCATCGCAAACAAATGAAGTTGTGGTACCATCATCCGATACGCCGGTCACTACAATTGCAAGTCCAAAGGCCCATGCTCCCCGCGACGCGTTACCAACAGAGGCGCGTCCAGATGGATCCACTGTCGAGGTTTGTGATCCGTCGCACTGGGAATTGACCGGGGTGGCACTGACACTCGCAAAAGCAAGGTGAATCTCCCGAACCAAACGACTTAAATGGCGATGAAGAGGACTCGGAGAATCGCGTCGACTTGACAAGTAACGAGGACCTCGATTCACTGCGACCATGCGACCTTAGTCACCACAACGTCACCGAAAACCCCTCTACGCGACATGAAATTGCGCAACCGCAATCAGTGCAACGCGATGCACCTGGACCTTTGATTCAGAGCGTCAAGCCACCCACCAGCGCTGTAGCTGTCGCGCTGTTGCGCAAGATGGACTTTTCTCAGCAAACCCCGACACAGGTCAACGATGGCCGCGACTACAGTGAATACTGCGACGTCGTTCCCTCAAGCCCGGTTAATAATGATACGCAATCTGGATCTCACGAACCCCAGACTCTTCAGGATGACGACACTGGAGCAGTCAACTTTGCCTTGAGCGAACTCAACCGGCCTTCGTCCCAGGTCTCCGAGGATGCTGGTTTCGAGAATACTAGAGGCGACTGGAGGCACCCTGACCAGACCTCGCAGCTGAACCCAGGCCAAACCCCATGCCGACCTCATGGGAACGCCTTCGAGACTCCGGCCGTCCCCAAGAACCCGTTTGGTGCGAGGCCGAGCATAACTGCCCCTCTGGCTGGAAGCCAACTGTTTGGTCAGACGCAGTTTTCGTCAGCCATCAAAAGGATCAGCCCGACATCCTCGCGACCTTCACCGAACCTGTTCAACTCGATATCCCCGAACATTATAGAGACATCGCCGTTGAAGAACCGAGCCAATGTTTCTTCTCCGACCGATATTCGTACCTCGAGTCCGCAGCGTCTGGAAGATATACCCGAAACATCATTACAAGATGAAGATGCAGATCCAAGAGGGGCAGAAACGCCTCTCAACAGTCGATCGACAGGCGGTGATATGATCCCCGAGTCTCCCCCATCTTCAGACCCTACTCCACGGGCGCAACCACCCAGATCATCAGGCAACACCGAGCCAATGACGCATTACGAACCGATGAAAAAGTCACAGGAGAGGAAGTCAAGCGAAGGGGCTGCAGTCTCATCTCCTCTGGATTCTGATAGTGACCCTGACGATGCCATCCGACGAATGGAGCGGAAGAAAAAGATTGAGCGGAAGCGAGCCAAAGCTGCCGAGGAGATGGGGCGAGTGAGCTTCATACCTATGGCTAAACGCGAATCGGCAGAGCAGCCATCAAGGAAGAGGAGAAGGATATCAGCCGCCTTGCCGGTCCTGGCCAACGACCAGGCGCAAGAAAAGACAGACGACGCCAAGGTACAAGAACTGCCTACTCTTGTCGACGACTCACAAAAGGGAGTTGTTGCATCGAACGAGACGGCACCTGATGCCTCAACCAAGGCGACTCCTGGAAACAGTGCCCCTGAAAAGGAGCAAGTTGATGGGGATGGGGATCTGGCCATGGTGGATACACAGAAGGTTACGGAGGAGGAGGATATGATACCTGCTACCAGTCCAGCGCCTTCTCTTCCACCTTCTCTCCCGCCTACTGAGGCGTCTCTTCCACCCACCGCACCCCCCGAGGACCCATTACCTTCTGAGCCCGAGTTGCCCAAACTCATTGTTGACGATGAGGACGGTCCAGGAGTGGCACGTGGAGAGTCGGAACCGTCGTCTTTACCACCACAGCGAAGGAGGAATATGAGGACATATGGCCGCTCACTACGGCAAAGCCGCAAGACACCATTTGTGAGCTCTTCAAATTCGGACGCCTTGGTCGCGGAAACGGCACCAAAGCCCATGTCTTTATCGTCACCCCCACGCAAGCCTGAGGCTATGGCAACTACTGAGCACGGAGATGACCATGGACTGGTGGCACGGAAAGGAACACCCGACGAGGGCGAAGCGAAGAAAGGGCCGCGGCCTAAGAGGACGTCTCGAAGCATTTACGCAGATCTCCCACCACCAATGGCCACGCGCTCACGTCGAAGCGAGACGAGTCCTGTGACCCCTGTGGCTAATCGCCCCATTGCCCAGGTGCTGCCAACTTCCTCGAGCTTGAGCATTCTCTCGACAACACCACAACCGTCGGCCAAGACAACACCTGGAACTCAAGACTCGCCCAGCTCTAAGCGGGCAGAGTCAGTGAGTCTCCCGTCACCAGCCGGCGGTCGAGGCTTGCGTAAGCGGGGGCCAAGGGCAGGAACCAAGTCACAGTCACCTCCAGCGGCAACAAGAGCGACAAGGACGGCCAAGCGACTTCCACGTCTTGACTCGGAGTCGACTGATGAGCTGCATCATTCGCCGGCCGCAAGTGTTTTGGAAAGGAGCCTGATCCACACGAAGTCTAGCAGATCTTTCAGGCAGAGCCTGGCTCCAGTACACCGGACTTGTAAGCTATTCGAGGGCATGGTATTTGCCATCTCATTTCAGAACCAGGTCAAGCAACAGGAACGAACCAGGTTGGAGACAAAGATCACGCAGGCGGGCGGAACAATCCTCGCTGAAGGATTCCAAGACATGTTTGAGCATTCATCAATCATGAACACCACCAGCCTCGTGATCGATGAGGAAGACGCGTTGAAGCTCACCAAGGCAGGATGCGAGAGTGGATTCACAGCACTCATCGCAGACAGCCACTCGCGCAAGGCCAAGTACATGCAAGCTTTGGCACTGGGACTCCCCTGCTTGGCTCATCAGTGGATCACGGCTTGTCTGAACAAAGGAGCGATTGTAGACTGGGAGCCATACATCCTTTGTGCAGGAGCATCCGCTGTACTTGGCAATGCGATCCGGTCGAGAACTCTGGCGCCATACTCTGCAGTTGATGCTAAACTCGCTGAAGTCATCGACCAGCGTCCGCGTCTTCTCGATGGACAAAGGGTGCTTGTTGTGGTAGATTCAAAGAAGTCTCGCAATGACGCCAAAGAGCCGTACATATTCTTGGCAACAGTTTTGGGTCCATCTATCTCGCGTGTCTTTTCGACTCAGCAGGCACGCGACGTGTTGCAGGAACACGAAAAGGCAGGGAACCCGTTCGACTGGTTGTATATCGATAAGGGAACAGGGACAGTCGAGGCGGTTCTAGGGCCGACGGAAGTAGCGGGTAACAAGAGGCGAAGAAAGTCGTCGCAAGTTCCGATGAGGGTTGGAAACATGCGAGTTCTGGATGACGAGCTTGTGATTCAGAGCCTGATTCTTGGACGTATAGTGGAGGTGGACGAAATGTATAGTTGAGAGGTTGCCTTGAGGCGTTGAGGCCATTGCTATTGTTACCGGTATTTGGGAAGTCAGGCCTGCGTATAGACTACATTGGATTGGCGTTGTAGGAAAAGAAGGGAGACAAGGACACTCCCCGGCGTTGAAGCAGTTATTTTTGTTTCGTCAAGGTTGACAGGTATACATTCTTTGGATTTCTGCCTCGGTAACATGGTATACCTGAGATCGTCTCGACATGTATAGCCATGTCCAGCCATGAGCATAGCAATTTTTCATTATAGATGCGAGAATCATGTTACCATCCTCTTTTCAGATCAACGGTGACCAGTTCAGGACCCGAGTCAACATCAGGGTCCGGGGAACGTAGTATTTCGTTTTTAGGATAGACGCGTGAGGTAAGTCTGGCATGAGCAAAAATACTCTTCGAAAAGGAAAGGGGCATGATTAAAGACACTTGAGTATTCAATTACAAAATCGATCTGTGTAAATTTTAGGAACTTGCCACAAGTATCTGTCCATGTCAAGTTGCAACACCTAACTGAACACTTACTTGGTCAACACATGCCTCACCAAATCAGCAGCTAAAACAACCTTGCGTGCTTCAAACGGCAAGCCTCAGCCTGAGCCTCGGCCGGGTCAGGGCTCAGGATTCTGAGATTCGAGTTGAGCCTTTCGAGCGACTTGATGTCAGCCTTGACAAGACCATGAAGAATCCCGAGGGCGTTCCTAAAGAAACTCTCTCCCAGCGTCTTTGCATAGGGCTCGTTCATGGACCGAGCTCCACGCAGTAGACTGTGAAGGCCTTCCACACGTGTTGAGATGGCTTGAGCATCGACGCAGCCAACCGTCTCCTCGACTATGCGTGGATCAGCTTGATCCTGGAGCTCATTCACCAAACTGTGCTGGTCATCAAAACGATACTCCACAGCGTCATGGTCTTTATCACACCGGCGGAGAATCTCGTTCAGGCTGCGTCGTTCCGTGGGAGTCCCCGTCGTTGGAACATCGCTGTGAGCCACCATCAAAGCCCTCATGTGGCAGTCGAGGTTGGCTGCAACTCGATCCAGTTTGCTAGCCATGAACTTGCTAATAGTTCGGTTGTTGCGCTGAGACTTCTTTACATATCCACGCAATAGAGCTAGGTCTTCTGAGACCTCGTAAAGATCATGGAACCCCCAGGTATAGAAGTTGCCTTGACCACGGGCGACTTGCTCCAGTGCCACAGCCTTGACTCTATCAAGTTGACGTCCAAGGGACTTTACAAGGTCCTGAGCCTGCCGCTTGATCTCGGTCTGGGACTTTTTGCTGAATGAAGACTTCAGCGACGGCAGCTGAGAAGAACCCAGCAAGCTGGCAAGTTCAAGATACATCTGGCCGCTTGCTCGACCCTGGGCTGAGGGAATCTGGTCAGGAAGCTGACCAAGAGCCCGCGTGGCAAACTCCTCGAGTTGCTGCATGTCAGTATTGATACTTTGTGTGATCTTGTGGACCAACTTGTCAAACAGCAAGGGTTGCTTGAATGCCTGGCCGGTAAACAGAGGCTCATCTACCAGCTCGTGGACGTAATGGGCCATGGTTAGGTTTACCGTTATAGAGACATCAGGACCTGGGCCAAGATGCGCCGTCTCGGGGTTGTGCTGGAGGCTGTCAACAAAGGCTTTCAAGTCATAGAGTCTGGAGATGGGCGCTTCGAGAGAGTCCAGGATTGCGTGGGCTTGGTTGAACATCTCTTCCTTATCCACGCCCTGGGATGAATCAACCAGGGATGGGACAGTGATGAAGTTGTTTCCAGACATTTTTGCTAGTAGGCTTGAGATGCGTTGAGAGGGTAGTTAGTCGGTGTTACTGTGGTTGCGTGTAGTGCTGTTTCTGTATGCTTTTGTGTGTGAGCGCAAGTGATGATCCTGGACTAAGGGGAACAAGTCCGGTCTTTTATAAATTTCGGAGTCAATCTCATGGTGTTGAGTCTTTGTCCAAGATATGAATGAATCGATGGGTACCGAAAGGAATAAACGAGTTGTTCCTCGCTGGTTTCTATTTTAGGCCTTGGCTTCATTGTTGCCCTTCTTTGTTTAGAGTGATTTAAGGGATATATCCTTGACCGTCTCGATAGAACCAATATTGTGTCAGCGAAGCTAGCAGGTATAACAGAGGACCTGGATCTAAACGATACTGAGTACCAGAGCTGCGTGGCTATCCTATTTGTGGGCCACGATAAGTCAAGCCCAAGCCTCCAACGTCCCAGTCCCTGACATTATTGTTGTTGTGGTGCGCGCCGCCAGTGCCCGAGTAGTGTTGGACCATCAGACCCGCGATGCTGCCCGCGCGTTGGCTACGGAATCCTCACAGGCTTCCCAGGGAATTCACGTCAAACCTGCTTCTGACTATTCGGGATGTCCACCTCGTGTGGGAGGTTGAACTCCTGACCCAGTTGCTAACCACTACCTCATAGCATAGGTAGCTATCATGGAGCCAGACAGTTCCACGCCCGGTCGCGCCAGCGGCAGAAGTACCCAGGGGTTCACCGGATCCCTCCCCACGCCCTCTACCAGCAGCTCAGAACAAACCCGACAGAGAATGCAGAGCTCTTCGGGCGATTCTGAGCCCCATCCCCCAAGCAAGCCCATCCTTGTCGCCAAATACCGCGTAGCGTCGCCTATCCTCCGTCCTACGCCTCTCACGAGGGGGAACAGCCCTCTGTGCCCAACTGAATTGATGATGTCTTTCAAGACACTTATTACGTTGCAGTCTCTTCCGTGGTCAGTCTAATCAACCCCTAATCTACTCCGTAGACCGATTATGATGAGTCTCTTCATAGGCTCACTAAAATTAAGATAAGGCATTATTATATTCTTATATGATTCTTGTAGAGGTTTAGATGATGCTCTAATAATCGGGACCAGAGTCAGGTCAACCTTGGAGCCAGCATTGGAGCTGCTCGGTACCTCCGCACAAGTGGAGGATCCATTACCAACCCCAGCACTGGTACCCTTGGGTGCTATATTGAGATCCGACAGAGGGGGAAAACAACATGGGAGAAGTTTGGGTTGACCAATTACCATGTCATGCGTCCTTGCCTGGATGGAATTGTTCTTCGTGAGACCAAAGTCGACCCTCCCCAAACCCAGACACATTCGGCGCCCTCCTCCGGCCTCCACACCCATCAAGACTACTGAAAGACATGGCGCTTGGAACCAGTGTCTGGAAGGTTGGTGCGACGTCTGGGCCATCCCATGGTGTCTACAGTGAGTACAAAGTGAAGTGCACACTCAAGGATGATGCGCACGTCACGGCTATCAAGGTTGATGGACGCACCGTAACTGTGTCAAAGTACTCTGAGCAGTTCGTCATCATTGGCAACAACAGGCCCGGAGAAGTGGAAGGCAGGTTTTGCGGGCCTGGAGACTCGGGAGCTGTGGTTTTCAATGCTCAAGGGGAGGCAGTTGGGTTCCTGTTTAGTGGACAGACGCCGGATCAGACTCGCGCTGGGTATGGACTTGTGACACCCATTGAGGAGGTTTTCGCAGACATCAAGGGTTGTGCCAAGGACCAAATTGAGGACATCCGCATTCTCATGGCTTAGTAGTAGCAATCAATAGCCTAGAACTCAATGCAAAGAAAAACATCAACAAACACGGCACGTCAAACACAATATTGCAGCGTGCAAGCTGCGCATGTGCCGTAAAGCGCGCAGATGTTACGAGAATGGGATGGGGACAGGGTGGCTAGAGAAGTAAGTCATCCTTTTACCGTAGTGCTTCACTGACCTCTATTCCGGTATAAGTTGCTTCTCTCTGAAAGGCAATGGGAACTCTTACTCGCAAGTAGATGATTTATAAAGCCGCTCGCAATTCAATACAGAGTGCTTATTTAGGGGATATACCGTAACGCTCTAGGAGGCAAGTGAAACTACGAAACTACAACGGCGTCATATTCATAGGTCCCATGACTAACCCATATTACCTCCAGTATAGCAAGGAACTCATCATTGGAATCTCGCAACTTTCAGTTAGGTAGCTTCCCTAGAGATATTGCCAGTCATCTTACAAACCAGAACCAAAGACGCTATCCCTATGGTTCAACGTACCTTAGAGTTTACATACCCTTAGAACGATCTTCGGGCTTAATTAACTTATTAAGGGCCAGGCATGGCGACAGCACTACCTCCTAATGGCCCCCTGGATCTCGATGCTGGCCTACAGAGACCTCACTTTCAGAACCAAGAGGACAAAGACTCCAATGTCCCTATACTCTACGGCAATGATGGAGAGATCGAGGATGCTAGACTCCTCACCCCTTGCTCTCCCGATACCCCTATTGAGGAACTCAGAAGACGATATTGGCAAGATGGTGTAATCTGGGTAAGTCTGCACCTACAGACTTACAACAACTCTCTAATATTCCTCGTCAGGTGAAAGGCCAGCTCGACCCCGACCTCGTCAACGATTTCCGCGCCGCATACTTCTCTATGATGGACAATGGCACAAACATGCTAAAGCCTGGATCAGACCCCCGTGATGGGATCTTCAACTCGGACACAGACTGGCGCGACTTCACCCTCCCCGGAGGTGGCCGCCTCACAGCCGGTCTCCCTAACACTGGTCCATTCGCCGAGAACGCCATCCGTTCACACCACTGGAGCCGATACCAAGAGTTCAAGGATACTCTCGGGAAACGCATCGAGTCGTTCATCGGGGATATGCTTGGGTTTGAAGAGTTGTGGTGTTTCCCTAGGTCGTTGCTGAGATGTGCCGTACCGGGTGGTGAGATCACGCCTGTGCACTATGATCAGATCTTTCTGAGGGCTGGGCCGCCTACAAGTGTCACGGCGTGAATTCCCATTGGAGATGTTGAAGTCGAGGGCGGTGGGCTCATCTATCTTAATCGTGCGCATGACATTGGCGTCAAGTACGAGGAGAACTTTTCCAAGATGAACGCTGGCTTGTCTGACGAAGAGAGAATATCGGCGTTTAATAAGAACATGGAAAAGGGAGGATGGCTGGATAAGAACGCATCAAGGTTTGGCAACCAGTGGTCCCGGGCATGGCTTGTTGTAAGTAACCTCTCACTTCCTCCCTCTCAGCACTTCACTAACAAATCACAGGGCGCATACGAAGCAGGCGACATGGTATTCCACACACCATACACGATCCACGCCGGCGCAAAGAACAGGTCTCCCAAAGGCCGGATACGTCTCTCTACGGATCTACGATTCGTGGACAAGACCAAACCTTTCGACGAGAGGTGGACGTTCCTGGCCTTCTCAGAGAATGATCCCAACGTGGCCCGGAAGACGGCACTGAAGAAGCAAGCTTGAGTTGCAGATTAGAATATGCTTGTGTAGCATGACATTAACTATATCTGAGCTTGTATAAGGTTTTCTGCGTGAGGGTGAAACGGGAATGCATGGAGACAGTAACATCAAGGAACGGTAACAACAAAATGAAACATGGGCATACCAAAGTTTATCGTTGTAGCATGATTTCGGAGTTTTTACTCCCTCGCGTTTATCTTGTCCTCCGTTCCGCACCGCTTATAAAGCCCGAGCTGCTGATGCTGCAAGCGGCAGCGCTTGGACAAAAGCCCTGCTCGGGACTCGGAACCGCTAGCACCACATCCCGCGCGGCAGTTTAGATAGCTCCGACAGCGACATGACGTCGATCACTTTCCTTACAAGCGCACGGTAGAGTAGCAGCTGGCCTCCCCCCTCGAGGTTACAGTAGCCGGGGGGACGGAGTGTTGTAGCGTGACAACGCATCGCTTCGTCATGTTCCGCCAAGAGTTTGTGATGATGATAACTCAGCTTATGGTATGCTCTCGCAATCTGATTATCATAGCTTGAATGGTTCTCGGCAATAAAAAAGAAAAAAGGATGGTGTAGTAAGACTGAGAGAGATCTTGGCAGGGCTGGTAGGTATGCAATCGGGGTCTACGGTAATTACACTCAGGATATACGGGAAGCAAAAACTGGGACTCCCTCGATCTCTTTGAAGCATCTCCATTAAATACACATGGCAAATTCCGTTTGATCGGTGTTTCTGTAGACGCCGAGCACGCGAAGACGGGGGAGAGAACGACACATCTTAACTTTTTTTTTTGCTCTGTTTTGTTCAGGGACCAATTTTGTGTGGGCTTTACCAAGACTTTGTCCGGAAGGCCCGGAGATCGGGGGTCGGGGTGTACAATCACGGCGTCTGATATGTTACCCGGGGTGGCATCAAGTCCGCGACCCCGCTGACCGAGGCAGCTACATGTATCAATCGGCAGCCGCGGAACTGACATGGCGGGTCACGATAATGAATGATCTTATGCATTGGGGGCCTTGTTAAGGAGCTGTCACAGGAGAAGTGTCCCCCGCGTCTTTCCTATGCCTAGGCACGGTTATCCGGAGGAGGGCATCGTCAGATGATGATGGTAGAGACAACACCATATCAGGTTCATGTCGACGTCACCATTCTTTTTTGGCTTTGGGGCCGAAACATGACAAGATTTCCATTGCAGGCATGGTTAGTAATAAAACAGCAATACCGGTACGGTTGTAGCACAGAATCGAGTCTCAGAAAACAAGCGGTCGAAGTTTTACTCTTCTAATCCAGCCACCGCCAAAAAGTCCACGATGCCGCTTGCAGCCCAACGTCTAGGCGCCTGCAGCCACGCTGAAAGTGCACCTTGACTGATCACGCCCCCTGCAACATCCCCTCTGATAGGGTACCGGAGCTTGACCACCCCACCCCGGCTTGTTCCCTAGCTCGGTGCATGTTCCCTACCTTTGGACAGGGATAGGGCCGAGTGGTGTAAGTGGTCGTGTGCTTTGTTCTTGTACTGTAGCTTAGATGCTCGGGCAGGTAACCCATCTCGAACCTTGTGCCAAGTGCCTCCAGAGGCCGAGACACCCGGACAAGACTGACTTGTCTCCTTCTCCCCCATTCATCTGTCTTCTTAATGATCCTCGAGAGCTTTCTGACCCACTTGCCCTGGTTTCACCCCAGTCCCGTCTCCAAGCTCCCCTTCGCCCCCTCTACAGGTACAGCTCTTGATCTTCCGCTATCAAAACCCGCCGGCGGGCCAGCTTATTTGTTGTTTTGTCCTTGACATCCATATGTAATCGTTCTTTTACTCTATCTCTAATTATCTCTCTGTCTTTCTCTCTCTCTTGTTCCATTCCCTTTTGCGACATCGGGTCTTGTTCAAGGTGTTAAGGTCTTAACCGAACCATCCCTCATCGTGACAACATCGTATAAGCCACCCATATCGATCCCAACGTCGACGCTCTCCCATAACCGCACCAATATCCCCCGCCGTCATGGGAGTCGGTTCGTTCCTCGAGCCACTCATAGTGGTGACTCTCCTCTTTGGGGGCGCATACTTCAACCGCAACAAGGACTACAGGTTCAGACTCACAAAGTCGAGCTGGCCCAAGGATGCCGGCCGCAAGCGCTCCGATGACTTTCAGAAGCGAGACTCGACCGATAGCCTCATGAGTGGCTGGAGCGGTTCGCGCTCTCCCAGCATCGACCCCGACGAGCAGCCTATACTTCGCCGCCGCAAGTTTCAGGTCTTTGGCTTCAAGCGCATCGTGTCGACACCGAATACACTCGTCTTTGAGGACCGTCTGCTGAGCCGTGTCCTGAAAAAGTTTCCCTTCCTCGCTGAGGCTTGGTACTGGTTCCTCATCTACTTTGTGTACCAAGTCGGTCGCGCCATTACAGCCTTGACACTCGTCGAGGGCACCGTCAATGTTGCCCGAAAGCACGCCCTACAGCTCATCCACCTCGAGCAGAGTCTACACATCTTCTGGGAGGTGGATATCCAGAAGTGGTTCCTCGCGCGTCCTTCTATCCTCCACTGGATCAACCGCATCTACTCTTTCATCCATATCCCCGGCACCATCTTCTTCCTGGTCATGCTCTACTACTTCACCACCACTCGCAAGCGCCGTGTCAGTTCCCGCGCCGACAATGTTAATGTTTCAGCTGGTCCTGCTCTCTATGAGGCTCGTCGACGTACTATGGCCATGTGCAACCTCATTGCCTTCATCATCTTCACCAGCTGGCCTTGCATGCCTCCTCGCCTGCTGAGCGATCCTGACTACAAAGGGGCTGATGCTGCCGAGGCCAAGAGCTTTGGTTTCGTGGATTCGGTTCACAGTGGCACTGGTGAGAGCAGCGTATGGACTACTAACAAGTTCTGCAACCAATATGGTAAGTTATGACCCCTGAATGATGCCATGGATCTAGAATGAGTTGCTAACAATACTCAGCTGCTATGCCCTCGCTGCACTTCGGGTACTCTCTTCTCATCGGTCTCACCATCGCCACTATCCCCATCACTGGCCTCCGTCCCAACTCATGGAAGAGAATCGCCATTGTCGTCATGGGTCTGTCATATCCTACCCTGATCTTGACCGCCATCGTCGCGACCGCCAACCACTTCATCCTCGATGCTGTAGCCGGCGCCATTGTCTGCGGAATCGCCTGGAACTGCAACAGTTTCCTCCTCAACTTTTGCATCCTTGAGGACTATTTCCTCTGGCATCTTCGAATCCACAAGCCCGTCAACTACACCGATCCCGAAACGGCTGTCGAGTCTGAGTTTCAAACCGGTCTGTTGGCCCAGGATGTTTGAGCGTTCAAGAATCAAAAGAATGAGCCCATGTCCCGTTTATTAAAGAAACGGCTCCCCATTGATTTTCACGGTTCAGCGAGCTGTGCATATTTGATTCTGTTTCACATCAGGCTCTGATAGGAGTCCTGTTTTACTACGCGCAGAGTTCAAGAAACGCAAGGACGCCTCTGGAATGGCGAAAAGGCCTTGCCCGGCGACAACGGCGTATCAATACCAATATTCGGAGTCGATAATTCCTGCGACGCCGTAGATGGGTTATAGACGAGCTCACGGCGAACATGTTTACATACCACATGACTTATTGAATATGACTAGTATTCTAGTTTACACGAATAATAATAGCCCCGTAAGGGGACAATTTCACTTCTTGATTCTAGTTTCTAGTGACGTCTGAACGAAATGTGGAGTTGTCAGCTTTTACTGTCGATCGATCATGGGTAAATAGGCTATTGACAGCCTGACAGGGCTGACAGGAAACGGCTGACAAGGGCCATTGGAACTACCCAACAACTAGGGCGATGCAAAAGAAATAGTTTATGCAAGATAGACTTTCAACTATATGACTACTACATGTGTTGAGTACTTTTCAGATATAAGGTTCCCAATCTACATGATTTGGTTCGTAGCTCTCAGTATTCTTGAAACAGCCTAGGAACCAGACGAGCAACCCTAGTTCCTCGTTAAAGGAACCCAGTCTAGGAAAACCACTGGATAAGCATAAACAACTCAGTCGCGTTGACGTGGAAGCATACGTATCCTTATACGTGGTCGATGAAGCTATTCACGCCTCTTCTATACGCTGCGTGACGACGCTCGCTTCCCCAATGTCTCTCCCCCGCCAATGACCGCAGCAGCGGTACATGAGCTCCCTCCCCAGGCTAAAGACGGCCTCGCTGTCAGCCACATGACCCCTGCTAGCCTCCAGGCGCCCGAGTACCTGTCTCCCCACTGTAGAGCGCTGTGCCACAGCGTGCGCTCCAGGTACTCTGCTAACAGACAAGCCCCGCCATACGTTCCCGCGTGGCGGGGCACGTCGTCATCCGTCATCTATTTTGGAAGGAGCAAGTTCCCTTCGCTCATGCCTTGGGTCCATTCGCTTCGCTCACATGCCACCCCAAGCCTTGTCGTCACTTTTCAACCTTGTATTTTACTTCACAGGTGCCCTTCACTTTGAAGGTTCATCTTGAAATATTCTTCTCGCCTCTACATTCAGCTGAGAGAAGAACACAAACATCATGTCGCAACAAGACTCAGAGGCGGCTGATGCCCCGCCACGATCTGCGTCACCGTCCAATAGCTTCTATGCTTTGAGCGATGACGAAGAGGGCGAATACAACACCATCACGCATGCTGAGACTGGCAGGGGCGTGAAGCTGCTATTCTCTAAGAGCAAGGTAAGAGGTCCTGTTGCAAGCTATTGCTGGAACAAAGACTGACGACGACAGGTTTACGTGCATCCGACTCCATCCGCAAAGGATAACATCGCCGGCTACATTGCCCTCCTTCAACAGCGAGGTCATCACCGCGACGAGCGCCCCTCCTCATCTTCTTCCTACGAATCGAATTCCATCGCCTCGTCCGACCTCCTCCTCGCCTGGGTACCGGAATCGACGCTCGGCGATTCGGCTAGCATCTACGTCAAGGTCGATCTGTGCGACGGCGACTCGCCCCCCAAGCAGTCGTACCTTGTGCCTCCCCCTCCGACCGTCACAAGCCACGTCGGGTCCGTTGGCGGATACGCCTTTGCGATTCCCGTGAGCGCCATCTATTCGCTTCTCGTTCGGCCTCCGAGCCTCGGCTGGTGGTATGGCTCCGTCATCATCAACTCCCGCGCGGGCGACAGCTTTCCTGCCTTGTTCTTTCACGACAATGAGTGCCAGAGCACCATCCTGCAAAAGAAGAAGCTCGCTCGAGATACTTTCGACCCATTTGGCGAAAATGGCCAGATGTTCTGGGGTGGCGATGAGGTTGTCCGGTGGTTACGTCGCTACGTCAAGATTGAGCGCTCAGGTGCTGAGCCCAATATCTACTTGATTGAGCCTTCAAAGGAGGATAGTGAAGCCTTTGGTTCCAAGCTCACTTCGAGCGCCACGCAAATCGGTCGTCAGGATAGCTTTGCGATGCAGCACCGTGGTCCTGGAGGGCTATCAAACCGAGACGCACAGATGGATCCGTTCGTCAAGTTTGTGAAAGAGACTGGCTGGAACATTATGGAGAAGTTTAGTAAAGTCACCACGTTCACGCGAAGGGCAGCCCAAGATTTCGTCGACAACCCGAACTTGCCGCCACAGGTCAGGCGGCTGCTCAAGAACCCTGAAGTTCAGACCCTCCAAGACGAGTTTGACAGCGCTAGAATCTACTTGGCTCGTTGGGCTATGGGAATTCAGGAGCAGAGCGACCGAGATCGAAGACAAAGGATATGGTCCGCTCACGATGTGATGGAGCTTGAGGATACGGATGTTGGCGAATTTGAGCTACTTGAGGGCGCGAGCAGTTTGTCGCTTGAGGAGCGCCGGAAAACAGTCACCATAAAGGAGTGGAACACCTTCTTTGACCCCCAGACAGGTCGACTGTCGATTACGATCGACGAGGTAAAGGAGCGCATCTTCCATGGAGGTCTAGATGCCGAGGATGGCGTCCGAAAGGAAGCCTGGCTCTTCTTGCTGGGAGTTTACGAGTGGTACAGCACCTCGGATGAGAGGAAGGCTCAGATCGCCTCTCTTCGAGATCAGTACTATAAGCTCAAGCTCTCATGGTGGGAGAGGCTTGATGGCGATGGAGGCGAAGGAGAGACGGGCGAGTGGTGGCGCGAGCAAAAGGGGCGGATTGGTAAGTTGCTCCCCATCTCTCAACCCTTCTCCCCTAGTGATTATACTTACATTTTATCCACAGAAAAGGATGTTCACCGAACAGATCGCAATGTGCCCATCTTTATGGGCGAGGATATTCCTCATCCTGATCCCTCGTCACCTTTCGCCGAAGTCGGCACCAATGTTCATCTCGAGCAGATGAAGGAGATGCTACTCACTTATAATGAGTACAACAAGGATCTTGGATACGTCCAGGGTATGTCGGATCTTCTGGCACCCATCTATGCCGTGATCCAAGACGATGCCGTTGCCTTTTGGGGATTCCAAAAGTTCATGGAGCGTATGGAGCGCAACTTTCTACGAGACCAGTCTGGTATGCGCAGTCAACTTTTGACGCTGGATCAGCTCGTCCAGTTCATGGATCCAACGCTCTGGAACCACCTGCAGAGCGCCGACAGCACCAACTTTTTCTTCTTCTTCCGCATGATCCTGGTCTGGTACAAGCGCGAGTTTGTTTGGCTTGATGTGCTGCGGCTGTGGGAAGGTTTGTGGACGGATTACTTGAGCGCCAACTTTCATCTGTTTGTGGCGCTGGCCATCTTGGAGAGGCACCGAGATGTTATCATGGAGCACCTGAAGCACTTTGATGAGGTGCTCAAGTACGGTATGTTACTTGTCCTTTTCTTACTTGTTATATGTCAAAAACTAACGTCTTTAGTCAACGAACTTTCCAACACAATCGACCTTGAGTCGACTCTTATCCGCGCCGAGGCCTTGTTCAAGAGGTTTCAGAGACTTGTTGAGGCGGTTGACAAGAAGGGCAACTTCCCTGCACCCCGTGTCACTCAACAGAGTTCGTCGACCTCTTCGACTACGACCAACTCTGGGCCATCAACAGATGCCAAGTCACCCGGTAAAGGCAAGGCGCCTGAGCCCGCATCGCCTGCACCACAGCCAAAGGTCATTACCCCTGAGCTACGCAAGCTACTGAGCAAGAACGTAGAGGTACTCCCTAGGAAGACGGTGGCGCAGAAGGGAGATGGGATGCCGGCAAAATAAGGGACCGGTCAGAAATGAAAGAGTCTTGTTCAGGCTTTGACTCTGTATTTTAACAATGGCGTTGGGTCTGCACTTTTTTTTGATTCCGTCGCATGGAGTTGAGGATATAGTTGTTGATAGGGCTGCCTTTATTGCCCTCTACTACGGATACTCGGGATATGAATACGAATAAGCCTTTTACTCTCATTTGATATCAACGTAGAATCAATCACTTGAAAGACAAACTCCATTATTACCAGGCTTGACACCATTCTATGCTGTGAAAGAAAGAAAAAAAAACAGAGACGCACATCTAGAGTATCCAACTGGATAACGCAGATGCGTCCCCTCGCTCCTCTCCTCTTAGATGACCCCTTCATCTGTATCCTCTCGGTCCACTTGGTAATCCTCCTCTCCTCAACCCTCCAGATCTTCCACCACCATAGTCATTCCCACCATCCGACCAAGGCGCATTCGCTCCTGTGTACGCTGCTCCTCCTCCACCACCTCCACTTCCCGCTTGATCATACATTCCACCCGGCGCAAATCGATCCTCATAGTTTCCGCTTCCACCACCTCCAGCAGGAGGTTGAAACGGTCCCTGATTCCCAGTCTGTGAAGAAGGACTCGTCGTCCTAGATCCTCCCCAAAGCCTCTGCTTCAACCTCTCCTGCGCAGATCCACCACCCCCACCAGCACCAGCAGGCGGCACACTCGCAACCTCTGGTCTTCCTCCGGTCTGGTAACTAGCACCCCTCTGACCCGGCAGCGGCCTGCGCTGTATATCCCCTCCACCAGGTTGAAGCGCAGCAGGTGTTCTCCCCCCTCCAGCTCTCAAACTCTGCGGTGCTTGCTGCTGCTGCTGCGCAGGTCCGTTATCCCACAGACTGCTCAACCCTCCAGCGGGCTGCGGCGCGGGACCTAGACCTCCGTACCTAGCGCCTGCACCCGGGTTGTTGACGAGCATGGGCTGTGGCGGTTGCTGCTGGGGTGCCTTGGGATCGGGGGGGAGCCAGGCGGGGAAGGGACGGCCTTTTTCAGTGTAGTAGCTGCGGAGGACGCGGCAGACGTGGGTGTCGTCTTCGGTGTCGCCGTCTGCGTCGCCTGAGAGGAGGTTCTGGCGGAGGGACGAGATCTGGGATGACGTCTTTTGGACGAGGTTGGAGTACCAAGAGGCCATTGCTGTGGTCTATGAGGTTCTCAACCGTATGTATTGTGTTCGTTTCGGTCTCGTGAGAGTTGGTCGGAGCAAGCCAAGGGGTCGATGCCCAGCGGCTGGATCGGGTCGCCGTTGGGCTTGCAGAAAATAAGAGGTTATCCCTCTGGCGCAGTGTGTTGAATCTGCAGCCAGCTGCTGTTATCGCGAGTGTGGAAGTCGAGGGGTGAAATTGTAGATGGTTGAAAGTGACTGCGCTTGGAGGTTTAAAGAGGGGAGAAGAGGGACGGTGAACCGGTGACGTTTACAGGGGAGCTGGGTGGGTGGGCTGGGTTTCATAGCTGCCTGAGCTAAAATGCACTGCGGCGCAAGTGACATCCCTGTTGGTGTAGGGTAGGACTGACAGTCCTGGATGGACAAAATCAGCCTCAATAGGACTTCACGTCTCATTCACAGTTCCTAGAACAAAGATCAAATGGCAATCTGTATGGTATTTGAATGCTGGCCTGACTAATTATCTCGGCCCAGCAGCTAAAAAATCATGTATATCCCACGAGGAGAATAACAAAGTGTAAAAAGTATTTCTCCTTCATCCCCTTTTTTTCTTTTAGAAAACGCAAACTCCTCAAACGCCGAGGCTTCACTTTTCAGATGACACTCAATCACCACGCCAGCTCGTTGGTAAGGGTGAGCTTCTCCTTCTCCTCCTGCTTGGGCCTCTTGTTCTTCATCTTGATGGCCCGTCCGCGCTTTCGCTTGTTGCCAGCCTTCTCTGTCTCGGACTCTTCGCTGTCGTCGTCATCATCATCATCCTCCTCCTCGTCATCGTCGTCGCTGCCGAGCCAGTCCTCGAGATCGGCGAGTTCCTCCTCACTCTCATCAAGATCCGAAACGTACTCGACTTGGTTCTCGAGGTTGTCTTCCTCCTCTTCTTCGCTGCTCCACTCAACTTCCTCACCATTTTCGGTGAGACCCTTGTCCAAGTCCTTATCACGCTGACCCTCGCCATCACGCTCCATGGCGTTGAGAACCTTCTTCCAGATGTCCTCGCTGACGTTGAGAGGCTGATCACCATAAGCACCCTGTCGCAGACGCTCAACCAGCTCGCGCTCAATGGTGCGCTCCAGCTTGGCAGCCGCCTCGGCCTTGCGCTCTCGGGCCTGTTCACGGTGCTTGACCTTGGGAGCCAACTTGGGCACGAGCTTCTCACCCAGGCGCTCCTCCTCGGCGGCGATGCGTCGCATGCGGATCTGCACCTGCGTCAGGCGGGTGAGACGCTGCTTGCACTTGTGGATGAGGAACTTGGGCCAGTAGATGAGGCGCTGGTCGATCTGCTCGAGGGCCTTGTTGTAGTTGTTGGACAGCTTGATGCGCTCCCACATCTTGGACGGCAGGTGCGCACGCTCAATCGTCTTCATGTAGAGGTACAGGGTCTGCTTGGTCGGGTGCTGGCGCACCGTGGCGTAGCGCGAGTTTGCGAGCGGGCATGACTGGCGGTTGCAGAGGCCGGTGACGTTGTGCTCGTTGCGGCAGAAGTTTTGCTTCTTTTCGGTTCTATAGATGGTTAGTATGATCGCGCGTTCATTCCTAAAGTCTAGGAGAGCCTCAATGGGAGGTAAGGTGTTCATACTTTAGCTTGAAGGAGCAGAACTGCTGGTTGATGATCTGCCAGATAATCTCGTCGGAGGCCATTGTAGCGATGGGTTTGCAGGTCCTCACGACCTGAGGACTTTCCGACTAAAGGTCTTTGCAGCACAGACGTGCAATCCGGTCTCGTACTCGTAAATGAGTCGATATCTCGAGTTGTCGTTCTCTGTCAAAAGAGACGAGAAGATGTAGTAGAGGAGACAAAAGATTGGACAGCGGGGCCTTGATAGAAAAAAAACCGACCTCAATCTTTTTTTCTGGTCCTCGACGGGGAAGGACCCACATTCTGCTCCCGCGCGCCAATCCTGGACTTTGCTGACCAGGGGATGCATCCTCACCGCTTTCCCACTTGAGACGAGGCTTGTGTCTCTGGAAAATGGTTTCTCCGAAGCTGACGCACCCCAGCCGCCCACTGGCCGCGGCTCTGGTTTAGGTAGGTGCGTCACCTGGCGCGTGCCGAGTACGTACCTCTCGACTTGACAGCTGCTCCAGTCTGCGATAGCATCACTCATCCTTGGAATCTGCCTTGTCCAGCCGCGCAAACTCCTTCTCCGCCAACGTCGCTCTCTCGTGTCGCGTGTGGATAATCTCTCAATCCCGGGTTAAACAAACCTCTCTTGACCTCTCGCTTCGACTGTTCCTCCTCCTCTTTCCCCGCGGGGAAGCTCGTTCCCATCGCCGACATCGCCGAAACCACACTCAACAACCCCCTCCAGACTCGCCCAAGATGCCGACCGCCGGCCTCAAGACCATCATCGCCCTCTCCTTCGTCCTAGCCGTCGGATTTCTCCTCGTTATCCTCTCCTGCGCCCTCTGGAAGGTCTACTACCCTCTCTTGGTCGTCGCCACCTATGTCGTCGCTCCCATCCCCAACTGGATCTGCGGCCACTGCGCCAACCCGGACGACTTTGTCGAGAGCTCCGGCGCCGCTGTTCAAGATCTCGGACGCTTCTTTACGGGTTTCTTTGTAGTCATGGGAATTGGTATGTCCCCTTTGTCAGCTAAGATTGTTGCGCCTGTCAGCAATCGAGGAATGCATGTTTTGTAATTGCTAACTCCTCCTAGCCCTACCCGTTGTCCTCGCGCATTCTGGCCTCATCGAGATTCAGGCCATGATCATGTCCGTAGTTGGAGGTCTACTCATCTACGGCACCATCATCAGCTTCGGCATGTTCTTCCACGAGGAGCAAGACTTTTAGATGCGCAAACCCCGCGAGAACATCATTTGACGCCCGCAATTTCCAAGCATGGGGGAAAACAAGCGCGGCAGCATAAAGAGGAGGATAATCGCCTGTACATGGCGTGTACGTGTACGATCAAAGGAAGAAAGAGAGAAAGGGGGAAAGATGACCTTTTTTTGGCATTCAGCGGGTTCTTGCAACGTGACGGTGTCAAGATTATCCATGATTGATGGGTGAAATTTCTGGGTCTTGGGACGATGACAAACAGGGGTGGTGATTTTCTTAGTTTATCGTCAATGGTAGACTGTTCTTGTTGCCATGATATATATGTCTCTTTTTTTTCTCTTTGCTGTTCCGGTTGCTATTCCCATTTCCAGTTGCTTGCGTCGTCTCTTTGTCTAATGCTGTTGAAAATCCGAATCCCTATAAAAAAAACTCCGTGGATGTGTACGTTGAGGTATCATGTCCAAGTCAATGCCAATATCAAAAACCCTCCTCCCCTTGAAATCAGGGGTAAATCCCAAATAGCCACCCCTTCCTAGGCCGCGTCTCGGAATACACCGAGAGGACCAGCTAGCTTGGTAAACATCTCATCCCTCTCTCCCTCAGGCGTGCTGAGGATCGTCACGGCACCGCCGGCTCCAATCCTCCAAACCTCTCTTGGTTCCGTCTCACCCTCCTCAGGGGGAGCTTCTTCATCATCCCAGCGAAACATGGTACGGATCGTCACGCTCCAGTCTCCAGCTCCCGTGATGTCCATGTATCCAACAACACCCGAATACAGGCTTCTCTCCTGGTGACCTTCAATGACTTGCAGAATCTCGCAGCTGCGCTTCTTGGGCGCTCCCGTCATGCTTCCAGGGGGAAGAGCCGCAGCCAACGCATCAAGACCCGTATACGGAAAGTGAGAAGTCAAGCTGCCACGGCGGGCGCCGTCGATCTTGTGGCCTTGACGAGGAAGTTGGCCGTTGACGACTGTAATCATCTGGAACACGGTCGCGTACTCCTCCACCTTCATCAAATCTGGAACAGTGACATTTCCAACACCACAGACGCCGTGTAGATCGTGCCGGACGAGATCGACAATCATTAGGTTCTCGGCTACTTCCTTGGGCACGTGGAGGATCTTCTCAGCCTGGGCCAGCGTTGAGACGGCCTCTGACTTGCGGACAGTGCCCTTCATGGGTCGCATGGAGCACAACCCGTTGCTATCGTGCCGGAGGAAGCGTTCAGGGGAACAGCTCAGCATGGTTGCGCCACCGAGACGGATGAAGGAGCCGAAAGGGGCTGGTTGTCGTTTTCGTAGCGTCTGGTAGATTTTCCAGGGGCTGCTTCCATCATATCCCCCTCCTGCAATACGTTGTACTCTCGGTCTCGCCATGGTCGTCTGTGAAGTGAGACAAAGCTCATAAGAATCCCCTGCCGCGATAAAGTCTTGACAAAGCCGGACCTGCTCCTCATATCTGTCGCGCTGGGGTGTGGTGATTTTGATTCTGTCATTCCTCGTCTGGATAGCGTTGTTGTTGTTGACGCCGTTGCGAGCATTTGACCCCCAAACCCCTGAACTTTTAATCTTGTTCGTCGTAACTTCAAGCCATGTATCATCCGAGCCTCTCTGCTTCAAGTGCTGGATATAAGCAACACCAGCTCGGTGATCCAAGACGATGCTTTTCGTTACCCACGCCAAGCATATATCCGGTCTCTTGTGCCCCCTATCCCCCGACACCAACTTCTTCTCCAGCCCATACAATCCCATCTCATAAGTGATGAAACCCATGAATCCGCCCTTGAACGCCGAGCTGGACTTGTCAGAGTTGGGAGGGTGACTCCTCGCCTCCCAAAAGTCTGAAATGACCTCCCATACATTGACGGTGCCGTCCTCAAGGTCGACTCTCTCGATTTGGTCCTCGCTGCCAGCTGTACCGGTAAGTCGAACCGTGACGTGATTGTCGGATACGCTATACTCGAGTCGTAGAGCAGTTTCCACTTCGAGAGCCACGATGCTGCTCACGGCGAGAGCATCTCCATTCTTGGAGCTTGATGAGTCGAGGATAACAGACTCACCCCTTGCTAGACCAAGCATCTCGACCATCTCGGGCACACCAACACCCTGCGGTAGAGGCAACACACGATGTGTATACTCGCAATCTCTCCCATAATCCCTCAGCGAAGTCGCTCCAGATCTCGACCACCAGCCCTCCCTCGACCTTTCCCTATGCGCAGCCACAGATTCGAGATGATTCGGCGGCGACAAGGTCTGAATCTCCAATAGTGGCCCTCGAGTCCGCCGTCCATGGACCTTGTTCCACTGCAGCGCCGCATGGAACCAGTTGACAAGCACGCCCTTGGCAGCATTCTCAGTGCAAACTGACTCTGGGTGATACTGCAGACCCCAGATGGGTTTGGTGATGTGTCTCACGGCCTCGAGAATGCGCTCCTTTCGACCATCCTCGCGAGTCTCCATCGTCCACGCCAGGGGAACCAACTGCGGCGCCGACGCGGAAGGCTTCCATCGATCCTCGTGCTTCCACTCTGCGTTATCCTGTCCAATGTCTGCACACAGACTGTGATACAGCGTCGCCTTGAAGGACGGAACACCCTGAAAGATGTCCCCCGAGACGTCACCACGATGCTCAATCTCCCTCACCATGCCGTGCAGACCCCTCTTCAACCTCCGAACAGCACCGCCATGTGCCGCAACAAGACTCTGAAATCCAAGACATATGCCCAGCACCGGCACCTGCAGCTCCTCAGGCAACTTCCATAACAAGTTGAAAGCCCCGACATCATCCGGGTTAAGCGGTGAACCGGGACCAGGCCCACAAACAACAGCGTCAAACTGAGCGAGGTTATCGACAAACTCAGCCTCTGTCCACCTGGTAGGTGTCGCCTCCTCGTGGTCCCCCGTCTTTTCAACAATTGATAGATCAATCCTCACGACAAAGACGTCGGCGCCGAGGATGGTTCTCAGCAGGGAGACGATGTTGTTGGTGAAGGAGTCGTAGGCGTCGATGAAGAGGATTCGCTTCGGGGCCTTGACCGAAGCGGCCTCGGAGTCACCCGTTGCCATGTTTCCGTAGAAATGATAGAGACCGAGAACCAAGAATGATGAACAAAAGATGATACCAAGAAAGAGACAGACAAATCAACCCGTCGTGAAAAAAGATGATGACCCTGATAAGCCTTCCGGCGTCGGCAACCAAACTTTTGCCGCCACAAGCCGGCGCTGACTCGGCATCAAGAGAATGACCGTTGAATCCCGTTAAACTCCCGCAAGCAACAGTACGGGGAGACTTTGTCCTATCAGGTGATCGGATTTAAAAAGTAATTGAGTTAGTGCAAAAGGGAACTGATTCTGGTGCTCAATTCTTTTCTCCGGGCGGTGCAAAATTGCGCTATCAAGACTAAAAATTGTGGCGACCATGCAAGAACTTCTAGAACGTTGCAGTGCAGATCTTGAGTGACGCTACTGCAGGGTATCACATTGTCTCAACGATCAACTACCAAAGACAGCAGAATGAACGTTAGACATGGATGTAGTTAGGTATCGAGTAATATTGATAGTCCCCTACATGGTCTTTTCCTCCGCTGATATGTATCTACTCCACCCAATGGTATGCGCTTCCTATCGCTCGCTCTATTAAAGGCTCATCTCCAGCAAAAACTCCAGTCTCGCTCGCTTGAATCCTCATTGATAGATAACCCAAGTACACACACTCTCTACTTTCGATCCCTGGTCTTGAGCAAACATGGTTGTCTCGAGTGCCAGATCCGTCTCTCCTTGACTCCAAGCGCCGCGTCCATCATAGTCTGAGTCTCTGAGCGAGGCCGTGTTGGTGACTTGACCGCCTCTGGCTCTTCCCAGACTTGAACTTCTTCTACTGAAGCCGAGATCTCAAACTCGCCTCGGCAGAGCACCGTCATGCCCAATGATACTTCAGCGCTTTGATGGCCCTCCAACGTGGGCATCGGTTGCTGCAGGGTACCGTTCCACGCAATCTTGCGTGTAAACTCCAGGGCAACATTTGCTGGCCTGTGGCACAACGCCGGCAAGATCCTGACCAAGGGATAGATGGGCTGAGACGTCCGGTTGGTGACGCGCACCTTGAGCAGCATAAACTCATCCACGTATGCAGCGTCCTTCTCGGCAGCCTCTCCATTGGCGTCCTCGACCGAGATCTGAATATCAACCTCGTCCACCTTGATCGCCTCAATCATGCGCGTCGTCAGTCGGATGTTTCTCAGGTCGATCGTGCCGCTCCTCTTAGGTAGCGACAGCGTCTTCCACGTCGCTCTGAGACATCCTAGGATCCTCTCCCTATACCAGAAAGCTTCGCGATTCGCTCGCTCCATCTCGGGAGAGATCTTGCTAGCGCTCACCACGAACTGCCGGTTTCGGGAGGGGTTAAGTGTTGGTATTGTTGCATGAGGATCTTCCAGATAGACCCTCTTGACCGGAAGAATGACACGGCTGGTGTTTCCGGGAAGAATATCCTCTTCCACAGAAACTCCATCATCACTCTCCAGATGGATCGCCATCTGGCTCGGCCAGGCGTTGCGCAGATCCACAGACACCAGACAGTACTCGTCAGCCTTGGCCGCGACCGAACTGCCCAAGCGATCCCAGAATGGTTGCGGAATCTCGCCGTGCACCGGCAGAGCATCGATGCGAGAAAGCTCAACACTGGCGTTGACAGTAACCGTCAGATCCAATGAAACCTGCCGTGTGTAGAACTGCTCAGTGATCTCATTCTGAGGGCATCCGAGATGAGTATAATCGACCTGGATTGTCGCCCACGTTAACCCTGGCTTGCCAAGGATCTCAAACTCAAAAGTCGCCTCTCCACCAGGCGCAATGTTGCGACCCTTTTGGTTCTTGGGAAGTCGCAGAGCCTGCCTCTTCATTAATGCCAGCTCATATTCGTACAGCTCAGCCGTTGTCGCATCTCGGTTGTTGATGGCTGCTTGGAGCTGCTCCTGTGTAGAGTCCTTGAAGGAGAAGAGCATAAAGTCTACAGCCGTTTCAGAAAGGTTCTGCAACGTTACTTTAAAGACCTGTCTCTCGCCTTCTAGGATCATGAGTGAAGACTGTGCCAGAGTCGTCGACTTGACCACAACCAGTGGTTGCGCCTGGATTGCTGTGAGACTCAAAGATTCCGTCTCAAGCTTGGGAGCGAAAGGCTGGACTGTTGTCACTGCTTCCTCAAGTGCCCCCAAGCCCTTGGCCTTGACCTTGGCATCCTGCTTCGGAGTCCACGGCATGGAAAATGTGGGAAAGCGTCTCTCGCGGCAGCCTCGGACTTTGATCAAAGCTCCTGTGATGGTGACAGTACCCGCCTCCTTGGCGCGTCCTCTCAACCGTATTACCTGAGTGCGATAAGGCCCGACAATCGTTGCCTCGGGAACTGCCTCAAATGCCACTCCCTCTGAAGCAAGCTGGATGTTTTCAACATCCACCTCGATATCATAGGGGTTCTGGAGGGTGATCTTGAATGTGGCATATTCATCAGCCACAAGCGTCTGATTCACCATTTCATCGGGCTTCTTGAGGAATGGATTGTAAATGAAGGGGTCCACGTCCTGGGATGCTCGACTGGCAGTGGCCCCAGGGAGAATATTCCTCTCGTGGGGTATGGGTGTTTTGCTGTTTGGTGAAGGCTCAAGCTTGATGTTTCGGACAAAGAACTCATCCCAATATTCCGCCGCCAGGTCTGAATAACCCAACCGCTGAACGAGGTTCGATGTCCTCGAGATGTTGGTGGCTAATCGGACTTGTTCGTCTCGATGCAGCATCGGTGATGCATCTTCTCTTCGAGGTCCAGGGGCTACCCCTGAGCCAGCCGTTCGTAGGAGATCGCTCGAGAACCGTAAGACACCATCAAAGTCCGGCAGCGCTTCCGAAAAGTTGATGCACGCCCTCAGAATGTTGAGTTTCACATCGGGAAAGCCAAAGAATCTCGCCGCAGATTGACCGCGTATCCTGGCAATCACTGCTTCATCCGAGTCATCATCACCCTTTTCAGCACCAGGTTTCCTCGCCATGTCGTAGCCTATAATGCCGTAAGACCTGCACAATAGACCCAACAGCGCATCAATCCCTTGTTCAACATCGCCCTCTCCAAGATCCAAGGCCATGACGCCACCGCTAGACCCTCCTCCTGAAGCCAACGAGACCAGTCCAGCAGCAGGATGAATGCCCATATCTGCAGCTCCTCGTGTCCGCGCTTCCACGAGACCCCCAATGAGAACAGAAACGAGCTCTCTTATCACCATGGCTTTCTTGCGGTGAAGCCCAAGGGGCCCCAGCACCGTTGCTATGCCACTCAGTATTGACGCCCTGTCCACCGTAGTGAGAAGTTCTGAAGCCCCAGAGGGAAACGCCTTGAAGAGAATCGTCACAATCTGCTGCCTCGTGGGTGTTGATAGGTATCGCGGTGATGGAACCGTTGGCTGCTGGTCAGGATTCTTTCCAGTCACAATCATCGCAATTGACTTGTCATTCAAAAAGCCATCGCTCAAGTGAAGTGCCGACTGAATCTTGGCGAACCGAATGTAGGTCTCTGATAGCGGTAATGGCGGGAGGTTGTCTGACGATATCCTCGTGTAGAGCGCAATGATTCGATCGAGGAGCTCCGTCATTACTGACTGAAGATGCTTGAGATGTTTAGGTTGCTCAGGGTCAGTGGGTGTCGTATCTGGTGCCTGTTTGTTGGATGGTTTCTCCGTCCATTGGAAGCACACACTGGGTACCACGAATTCCAGCTTCTGCCAGGCAAGGAGGAACAAGTTCACCAAGAGGAGCTCAAGTGCTTTGCCGTGCCAAACATGGTCGTTTAGAGATCGTGCAGTCGTGGCGGCTTCGATGAGCTCCCTGATAGAGTCGGTCCACCGTCCGGCTTGGAGATACATCGAGCCCACAATGACAGCAGCCCGACCTTTGCCCTTGAGCCTCCATCTGTCATTCACGCCCCCGGAGCCAAACCCCTGAACCGATACCCTGTCCCGACTTGTATCTCGAGTGCTATCGGCAGTGTCTGGTCGGGTAATCGGCTCTGGCGTTGAACTCGTGCTCGGGGTAGTGCTCTCGATACCGTCTGACGTAATAGGAGGATTCGAAAGACCGCTCCTTGTTATCGTCGACGTCAATCCCGGTGTCGAACTACTCGAATGAAGTCCGCCACGGCCGGTCACAGGCATGGACATTCGCGATTGGGCCCTATCCATGATACCGCCTGCTGAATTAGAGCGAGCGGCATGACGGGGTGCGTACTGCGTATTCCTCCTAGACAAGCCGTTGATGCCCCCTTCACCACCCCAAGATCCGCCATTAGTGTGTCTCGTAGGATTATGCCCCGGGGATTCGATGTTGGTCATGGCCTCGAAGGACTTTGCGAGTGCAGTCATCTCGGCGAGGAGGAGCGACGAGATGTCGCACATGACAGTCTTCATGGTTGTCCTCTTGCAATCTTCCTCTGGAGGAATAGCCACGAGACCCTCAGGTATCGGAATATCCGAATCTTTTGGAGCCATATAGTCAAATACCAAGACCTGGTGCACCAGGGCCTTGGGGTAGTTGTCGCGCAGGTCCTCAAGCTCCTGGTATAATGTCCTGATATTCTTCTCAGCCGTCGATGGGCCCGTGCCGTTTGCCGAATGTCGCTTGTTAAACGTTCCTTGATCCAGCTCCGTTCCATCAGCCAGAGCTATCACAGCAAGGGGTTCCCGGTATAGGTCGAAAGGCGAGAGGGCGAGATGTGAGGGCGGAGGAACGTGGGTGACGAGGTCGTATATCATGGCGCCGTCCGGGTACGCTAGGGGCGAGAACATGTCTGCGCAATGTCAGCGCTTGGATCATCCAGCTAGGATGTATCCCATCACTTACTCCTATTCGGCCGCCCATCGGCGCTGATGTCGCGGAGGTGGACGACATGTTCGTTGTGTAGGCGCGCAACAAAGGTTGCGAAGCGGTCCGCCTTGATGTGTCCCAGAGGCAAGAGAAGCGCCTTGACCCTTGCGGGGGCGACGGGGAGCAAAGGATCCAAGCTCATGCTAGCATCCGGTGTTTGCTCA